TGCGTGAAGGAGTTACCTTCATCCATGTCTATTGCTTGAAAGTTCCCGGCCGACACTGTTGAGGTGAAATACAGATTCAAACTTTGTTCGCAGGCAAATTTAGGCATGCTGTTCTTACGTTCTTCCTCATGCCTTTTTCTGGGCACCAAAGTCGGCTGTGTTGCACGTACGCTTCTGTTAGCGTGAATGGATTGCCCGATGAGGCGCGAAGCACTGCTCAGCTGATAATTTTCAAATACCGATACGCATCTACGTGTCTTCTGTTTTTACTTAGAGCAGGAGGTTTATACACTTGAGTGCTCCGAGGACAGCTAGCCATCGCACCCTCGTAGCCTTATTGCTTTAGTCCCTTGTACATTATTGGCCAGTCTGTGAGATTTTCCCCAGAGATCTCTCTTTATGGGTATATGCCTGCTTTTCCTCTCTTTCTGGCATCGTAGTTTGCGTTCAGGCCTGCCTGGGTAGTCTCGATGTGGGGGGAAGTATTCCTCTGTCTTGCACACAGTTGGCCTCGACGGGCATTGCAGCAAAAGGCCTTCCAATCTAGAAGGGAGGAAAGATGTAGCAGGCAAGACTGCACCTATGCAATTTTTGCAAAAATATGCCTTTATAATAAGGAATAAGTCAAGCATTGATCGAGTGGTTTGCCTTTCCATACTTCATTGATTGTGGAGTAGAGTTAATTTGATGCAAGACGAAGTAGTGTCGCTTGCTAGCGTGCCAGGCGTGATATACAAGTAGCTGTGGGACGTACTTGGAGTGCCTAGAGGGTGTTGCACACACATTCTAACGGTCCCTCTCTCCGCTCGTCGCAAGGCTTTTGAGGATGGCACGTAATAATGGGAATTTTTTTTATAGAACACTTGTTCAATTTCTAATAATTTTTGTTTCGAGTCTGAAGTTAAGTGTGTACTGTAAAAAGCTTAGACACAGGGTAGCAGGCAATCGTCTCATGCCAGTACAGCTACCGTGCAGTAAAGCAACTCTACCATCGCACCTCCAGCTAATTTCTTCGTAATTAGAGTTATGCTGCCTTCGATACGCAAACATGCAGAACTAGAAGCCTTGCACTCCTGTAGTACCGCCGCCTTTACGTTCTGCTAGCGCAGAAACAGGACCTTAACCTTACAACAAAACAAGGCCTTTGTGTGACTAGAGTAATTTAGGAGGAAAAGTTTTGCCTGGCTTTCCTACAACTGAGAATTATTCCCACATACTTAAGCTTAAAAGCTTGAACTTCATCATAAGCATGGTTGCAGCATGATAAAATGGAACATCGCTATTGTTCAGATAACTGCTTGTGCCTGGAGCGGCAATGGCATCCACTGGGTCAGCGGGAAAGCCATTATTCCCGAGGCCCCAGCTTGGCTTGCACACAACACCGCAAGTGGAGACAGTTATCGCCATATGAACAGCCTTTGATTGTTAACATCTCTTAGAGCTTGCTGCTTCGTTGATGCTAGAATTTGCCGTGAGTAGTGAAGACTTCTTTATCGGTGTTGGGTTCTGGCTTCGACACGTGCTGCAACGGGCCCTGTGGGTGTGAAAGCATGGGGAATGGAAGTCTAATTCCAAGGGCCTCTTTGCGGAGTTATATCACTCATGTCCAAGGCACAGAAGACTATTTGTTCTTTATTTGGTTTGCAAGGGCTTTAATCAAGTTTGAGCAGAGTGGTAATGGGGCTTGCGATCTCGGCAGGTGTGCACTTACACCGCATTAGAGACCTTTGCGTCCACATTGTTTTTTTAATCTTCGAATTTCATGGCAGTTCACCTATAGAGCTAGTCCAAAAACATTTTGTCTCCCGAGGCTGAGGTCTGCAGAGGCAGGCACCAAGGTGGCAGAGGAACTCCCTCACGTAGTTCCACTGCACCTGTTGGGGGTGCACTCGAGACTCGTCTGGCCCTTCATGATTCCTAGAACCCCCATTTCTGCCTGATAGTATTTATTCGCACAAATTTTGCAAAGCAACCCACTGTTCGAGGGGATTGGGAGAGCCAACAACCATGAGATATGGCACTTTGGAGAGTTAGCTATCGCTCGGGGTTCACGGCCAAAGTCCTCATTGGTTCAACTCAAGTGTGTCAGGGGCAAGTATTTAAAGCACTTCTGAAGCTTAGCGGAGTGTCTGAAGGCCTTCATCACCATTCATTGCCGGGAGCTAGCAACTGGTGATTATCAATACAGCTCGTCACCTACAGGGCCCGTAGGTCTCTGCGTGTTAGTGCAAGGGAGCAGCTTCTAACTGCCAAGAAAGCAGCTGAAGATGTGGTCATTGTTTCAGTCAACTGCAGTCTATTGTTTATCCTAACCCCAAAGCAGCATACTTTGCGGAGCTGTAAAACCTGCAAGTATCCTCTCCTCACAACTCTCCAGGTCTCTACGCCCTCGTGCATTTCTTCGAAAATTCCATTTTAAGTTTTCTTGCATAGCCTCATGATTATGACGCATCCGTAATTAACATATAGCTGCAAAACTTTACACCATCTGTTTAGTAGCAACAGCCCGTACCACAGATAAGCCTAACAAATACACCATGGCATGTGCTTTATTAATGTATGAATCTTGGCGGAATCGCAGCCTAATGTTCCATTGAGAGACAATCAACTCCAAACACAATAAAAAGGTTAATAGAAAGTTGTTGAACGCTTCCCCCCAAAACGTTAATGCGTTCTCGCGCCGTTCATAGCTCTTGCTATTAGGGGAATGGGAAGGCTAGGGTACGCATACCTGCATCTACTAAGCTCTCCGAGTATTTACAACTAGCAGCGCAGCATGAAGCGCGCACACGCATAGCACTGCGCCTTCTCTTATCCAGCTAAGAGCACTTGGCAACAAATGTGGTACACGGGCAGCCAAACCCATAGGTAAATTCATCACTAACCTGTACGTAAATATAACTCTCGCAGCAGAAAGTGCTTAGCGTTGCTTAGCTCGTTATATTTAACACACTTAGAGCTGCAACCCACTATCTCCACAAGGCACCCCGCTGTACTAGTAAGCATAGAGAAGACATACCAGTGCACAGCTAACTGCATTGCTTGGAGCTAGCTCTTCCTTTTGTGAGTATTTCGCAGTACCTGTATTCGCGGCAGTGCGCATTCCTTCACCCACAAAAGATATGCATTCCTCTGTAAATATTTTGGCGTAGAAACTAAGCGTGAGTGTATTCTTGCTTCTAAGCCATGGCATTCGCTCTGGCGGTTGGGCTGGATTCTACTATACTAAAAGTGAGTGCTTTGCTGATGCTAAGTCATGTCATTCATTCTGGCGCGTGGGCCGGCTTCTGCTGTCCCTCCAGGTCTTCCTCCTCCATCAATATCCATTGCCGGTACCTTCATCGAGCTCATGACTCTCCGAATTTCAGACGAGGACCTTTTGAATTGAAATGCTGAAATTTAGTTTGACTTGCTAACTGAATGCATCCAGTACAATTGGATGAACGGTGGAGCAACTTCATCAAACCGGGCAGGCCAAACATGAGAACAGCACTCGCTCAAAAATAAACCCAGGCTTAGCAAAAGTAGTTAAGCCTCCTAACCGAATATCATTATAACCTTCTTGAGCCCTTTAGTAGGGGTTTGAACTCAAGGGGAGAGAAAACAAACAGGGTACAGGTTGCTGCACTTTTTGAGCACTGCGAGCATTCGCATGCGCACGTACTTCGCAACTTAGCGCAGAGCCATCCAGCGTCCATTCTCGTAAATATTGGCCTAATTATGCACTTAACAGAAAATAGAAACAGCCAAATATTGAAGCCAGCTCGTGGCTATGCCAGAATTTAATTCTTACAGTGTGTTGGAAACAATCCACGTGTAGGTTGGCACGCTTTACTCGCTACGCTCCATGAAGATTTATTGCCAAACGAACTTGAATTGACACTATTTTTTATTTTTGTTGCAAAGCATCGCTGGATCCACATAATAAGAATATATGGTTGGCTGGTGTGCGCTAAGCTACTTTTGCTGTTTTGCATTGACGTCTGGCCTGCTCAGAGGCTGCAGGTACTTAGACAGCAACAATCCTTTCTCTCCTCCTGCCGGAGCCCTCTTGGCAAAAAAAATCCACCATAAGTGTCTTTATGGCGAGCAGGGAATAATGTCCTTGCATGGCAGGGGGCCTTCTCAGGGTGACGCGCGGAAAGCAGGTACGGTGCCCGATAAAAAGAGCCGCGCCTGATTGAGGGGTAATTTGCACTACACAGTTCACACAAAAATTAAAATGATTTCAAGGATTTCAGAGGAGAAAACTGTTTTTTTTGGCGTTTCTTACCATGTGCCAAAGGTGGAAACTGCGAGGGCTTCTTGATGGCATGCGACAACATAGATCAATCGAATCTTGTGGAAGCTACAGAAAGAACTAAAGCCTTTAAAATTGTGTACTCTGTGTACCTAAAATCATCCCACTGGCTTTTATCTACAAATAGCGGCGCTGATCGAAGGAACTACCTATCAGCCATTGGAGTCACTTCGGCTCAGGGATTGCGGCCTTACCAGTGGTCTCTCGTCTGTGCAGGATCCTGCGCCATTGATCGAATCCAGCGAATTTATTTTTTTAAATACACTCTTGTTGCGAATAATTGTTTTCGGTATTGCTTTTAGACCAAGGGCCGCTTTATCGTCTCAGCTTTTCGCCGAGGTAGCACAGCAGCCCACATTCGCGTCAAAATGGGATCCTATCGGCTATGGTGCCTTTTTCTTCTTTGTGCCTCTGTACTTACACTACAAAATGATCTGCCCATTGCGCTGGCTGCAGGTGAGTTTTTACTATGAGTCATCGAGCCTAGAGGCCTAACAAGGACCATTCACTGCCGAGCTTTGGTCAGGTTCCCTCCAGAAAACGCATTCAGTTACATGTTGTCTGTGGACAGTGACATCCGCTTCCCGTGCCCTTGTTCTGATTCGTAGAGTCCGGAGGGTATGATCTTGAAAATCCGGGGGGAATGCCAACACGGAATCGAGGATTGCAGTTCTTATCCAGGGCCTGGAGAAGAGTGACAATGCCCGTGAGCCAACTAAGACCAAGTGAACAGCACGCATCGCCACACCTAAATTTTATTGGGACTGTACCGTTAGGCACAGCTGGGCACGAAGGCTTTGGGGACTTGCATCGAACCGTGCGACCTAGGCAGTATAGGGGAATGGGGCAAAGCTGTCTTTTCGATGTTGTGACTTAATGCAAGGCAGCATTTGCGCTAAAAATTTATTGCAAATACTCAGCAGCTGGTGGTTCGTGTTTCAGATTCGGAGGGTCCTTCTCAGTCTACGGAATGCTCTACGGCGGCGTCCCTCGGTCAAACCCGAAGAGCAGCTCAAAGATTTAGAAGGTGCTGCCTTAGGTGCGCTTTTGGTAACCGAATACTCAAAAATTCTGGTTTATCTTTCCTCACAATAGGTGTCTCCTAGGTATTTTCGCGTTCTTAGTACAGCTGGCAATAGAAACCCGGCGCCTCCTTCGTTTGTGTACTGCAAATCGCAGAGTACATTGATTGCCTTTCCCTACTACCCCGCAAGACGACCCTTCAAGCCGCCGACATATGCGGCGGTTTGAAAGACGAGTCGATGAAGCGTAACTGTTCTCTTTTTGCCCGCTATATTGTTACACAGCTCAACGAAATCTCAAATTGCCCCTTCGGGCCAGACCTTGAATCCAAGACGAAATTAGGTACATACTAGGAGATATTGGAATGGAGTCTTGCTGTTAAGCAAGAAAGAGAGCACCTGCTGACTTCCTATAGGCTACAGAGGGACAGCCTACTCACTCTTGTTTGCCTTGCTTTGGGTTACAGATTGCTTTAGGAAGAATCGCCTCTTCCTTGTGCATCCGTTGCTGCACGAGAATATATCCGGCGCTACCAGTACGTTCCATGCATGCACGTTTTAAATGAGGTTTTCGTGCGTTTCAAATGAACATTTCGCAATACGTGCAGAGTATACCTATAATAGGGATCGCCGCTTGCTGTACAGTGCAGAATAACCGCCATGGACAGGCTATGATGATTGTACGATGGAGACTCGGATCTAAAAAAGTGAATGTCCCTGATGGCTTGTTTCTTGCAGCACAAGATTACAGTGACATGACGGACTGGCTAAAAAACCTGAAAGTGCGTTGGCTGCTCTTTCGCTGTTCTCCGTCTGCGCAACGTAGAGTGCTTAGTTGCACAGTACCCTTCTTGATTTCCTCTAACATGCTGACCTGTTTGATGACTTTTCCAGATCAAAGAGCACCCATCAAAGGATTCTCCTCCTGTTGCTGAAGATCCCCTGGAGAATGCCTTTGCCTTGCTGGACTCGACCACCATGGGCAGTGTAGACAACCAGCACATTTTGGTCGGACAGCTCCTTAAAAAGAGCACGGTGCAGCGCCTAAGCATTAGAGGAAGAATGCAAAGGTGGTGGAGAAGAATAAGAGGAAGACCATTACCAATGCAAACCAAGAGAGTGCCAGATGCCCAAGAAGTAGGCTCCACAACACATACGCTTTGCCACGGGTCTCTGCAATTTGGGGGCTCACAGTTAAGATGTGGATTCGATTGTGCCTTGCAGATTGTCAGCCAAGGCTGCGAATTGTTTACAAGCATGCCACCCCATGCAGACCCCTTGGCTGTGCGCCTGGTGACTGCCATGCTAATTAATGGGTACACGTGTCCCACAGAGCATTCCTTACCTCGCACTCAGAGGGTAATGGTGAACGGAAAGCCGAAGAAACTTAAGGAACGCAGCCTTGTGGAGGCCGCAGCCTTTATCGCTATCGAGGCGCTTTTCAATGCCAGCGACTGTGCAGAAACCGAGGATTCAAAAGACCCAACCTGCGAACTTATAGATCAATACATGGCCATGCAAGATCAACAGAAACTGACCCCAGAAGACGGCACTCAAGGAAGCACGCGAATTCCAGAAGACGTGCCACGAGCCTCCTTTGTCGACTCTGGGGAAGATGAAGCACAAAACCTTGAAGACCCCACCACAGATCCCCGAGATTTACCCGGTGCCGCTGCTACTGACACCCCACAGCCGTCTCAAGGTGCGAGCTACACCCCTGAAGATTTAGGCGGCACCCCTGAAGATTTGGGCGGCACCCCTGAAGATTTGGGCGGCGCCCTTGAAGATTTGGGCGAAGCCCCTGAAGATTCGGGCGGCGCCCTTAGAATAGAGGAGATCGGTACACCTGGTAGCCCACCGCGCGGACGTACGGAGGAGGAAAAGGAACGCATCCGTGTTTTCGCCAGGAAAGCGGCTGCCAGCGCGGTTGTTATGGCTCGTATAGGTGAGTTTTGAATGCTTTCTATGTTAGGCTTCCTTGCTCATAGTAGATGAAGGACACTTGGGCATGCCCCCACCTTGGATGTGCCCGCTAGCGGTTTTCTTGCATGTGGTATCACGGGCAGGGGAGACCGATGAGAGCACTGAAAAGCAACAATCCCTTTGAAGACCTTGACTGAAATTCTTTATGTATCCATGTCCGTTTTCAATCGTCGTAGGCTTGCAAGTTGGGAGGCGTAATTCTGTGGCTTTTCGGCTTTTACTAAGGAGCTCAACGTTTTGTCGTCTCACTGTCCGCCTGTTATTGGCGTACATGAAGGACAGGGATCTGCTGCCTCAGACAGACTTTTCCCTCTTCCTGAAAGACCTGAAGCGAGGAAAGCTGTTCCTGAGTATTTACCTCAAGTCTTTTGTGGAGCTCAGCACAGGCAGTACCAGTTTCGGCTACCTGTCGAAGGTAATTGCTGCAGCTATAGCTGAGGAGAGGATCGTGACTCACGCAAGAGGACAAATGGTACAATCCTTTCTGCAGGAAGGAGTCGAACCAAAGCAATTGGGCCATGCTCTCGATGTCGACAGCCGTACGGCTAAAGTGTTAGCCACCGGCATCAATGTGGCTACAAGTACCTTGCTAGTCGTCCTGATATTGACTTTAGTGTTCACAGCTGCTCCAGCAATGGCTCCCGTGGCTGTGATCTTTGCCATACTTGTTGGCATCCAGGTTTTTGTCACTGTATTCAACTTAGTTGTGCCCCGAACCACTTGGAGTAAGATCACTGGTACAGTGGATGATTTTGCTGGAAAGCTTGGCATCCGAGTGTAGATGCATGAGACGCAATATCTTGTGCCATTCTTACGCGCTCTCGCGTGGCAACAGTGGTGGACGGCCAGTATATCCTGCTGCGGATATAGATTTTCGGGTCATCTGACCTATTTCAATGTTCTTTTCGCCCAGCATCTACTAGTGCAGACAACCGTTAAGTCTGCTGTTGCTGACACCACCTGGTACATACATAGTTCCTATTGCTTCAGGCCGATGTGTAGCCCCAATAGCAAAGTAAAACCCTGTGTGCTTTATACAGCAAAGGCACAGCTCTCTAAAAGTAAAAATATTTCACAGCCAAATGCTTATGAGGTGGGAACAAGTGGTCGTCTAGTCTCAATAGGGAATGGAGCAGTTCGCATTGGAGGCTGGTGTCATGGAGGTGTACTTACTGCTGCCCAGGGGTGCTGTATTCCTTTCCAGAAGAAATGCCTGTAGAGCAACAGTGTGGTTTCGGATGCATTCATCAATTTTACAATTAAGCAGCTTTGTTAGCTTTTTCCTCGAGGTCTTCGTGATCCCTTTGTGCCTGTGGAAATGGCAGTTACTAAGTTCATCCCTCTTGTCCTCAGAAATGTCTCTGTGCTTGACAGCTTGCGACTAGATCTGGGCCCCCTTTCCTTCGTTACTTGCAGCCGTAAACAACGCTGACTTAAGACCTACAAGATCCGCTCGCAGGCCCTGTTCACGATAATCTTTGGACGCCAGAAAGGTGTTCGCCTACAGGGGAAGACTTCAAGGGGCTACTGCTGTCTAAATTCTTGCGTTCACACTCGCGTACATAGGCCTACGAGGCACCGTCTTGTATCATCTGCTAACTTTCCATTTGCCGTGTACTGGTAGCTGTCCGGTGGTTTGCCGCACTTGAACTGCACTTTTCGCTGGGGTTCAGCTTGGTGTGTGACCGAATACAGGAGCAGTTACATAGTAGTCGAGCGTCAATATGGGAACCTTATGTGGAGCGGCTAGTGGTGGACATCGCTCTCGTTCAGTCCTTTGTAAGTTGTTGCTCTCCTCTTGGAGTCGCCGCGCCTTTCGCCCCCTCTGAGCATGTCATTATGCTGGGCCGTTTTCTATCTGCTTCTGCCGGAGCATTTGCATCCATACCTCAAACGATTCTTCTGCCTTACTGTAAACTCGCCCTTTCCTCGCACGACCTCTGCCTTTTCTGTTGCTGACTCTTGCCGGTCTCCCGTCTCCTTGCCGTGTGCCTTGCTGCTATGGCCCCTGTTTGGTGGCTCCTGCTTGGCCTGTTTGGCTTTTAAAGGACCGGGAACTACGAGATACAGATGAGAAACACAAACAGAAAACGAAAGGTCAGAGCCAAGGAACACGAGCGTAGAAAGTGCCATTGGCTTAGTCGATAATTTCTGCTTCAACTTGGCTCGCCTTGAGAAATGCGCGTCCCCAGCAGCATTATCCAATCCATTATGAAGCAAGAAAGCACTAAATTTTCAAGGAATAAACACATTCAAATGCCCTAAATTCTCATTGGGGGCTTAGGAGGTCGCACAGGCATTTTCCTGCGTAGTGGGTGACTTCGCACCTGTATGAGTAAACGCGCATAGCCTAGGGTAGTGGATCATGGTGCAAACACTTACGCTAAGGTTCCCGTAAATGGCCTATGGCGCATAGCCAGGACCTGTAATCTTTCCAACAGGTATGGACTGCAGGAAGGCATAGGGGCTATCCTGGCTTTCAAACTAGATAGATCCTCCTTGCCTCAATTAATAGTGGATAGATTGTAAGAGAAGAGGATCAAGAAAGGTTAAACGAAGATAGGCCTACAGCTTGAGATTGAGGATACTGGAATTTACTTGCGTACTGTACTCGGGGGATTCGATCTAATCCATGATGCCTATGGGAAGTGAATGCAACGCATGAGCATTTGCGTTGACTTTGATGTAGGGGATGCTTGGTCACCTATTGGGGCGCCTATTAGCTGGGGAGTGTCTGCGCTGTGTCGTTACCTTAGAAAATAGCCTGAAAAGCTACACTCAAGCACTATCAAGTGCATCGATCTTATTTAAGTCAGAATTCATTTAAAATTCACTAATTGTTCTGTCTGTTCGCTCATCCGATTCATGTCAGAGTATTTCTAGTTAGATACTAGAAGACGGAATGATACGTGCGTGTGCAAGAGATGATAGCAATAACTAGCGGTCAGTGCTCCAAGTGCTTTGAGGGCCCTGAGGATGCATCTGCTACACCTCAGCTACCCCTCTCCTCCCATGCGGTAATCTCCGAAAAGAGCGACCACAAGAAGCAGGCAACGTTTCATGAAAACACTGAATAAATTTGCATTATCTGTATTAAGTGTGGGCTTAGACGTCTTTCCATGGAGGCCTGAGCACGAGGGCTACAGGTGACAGCGCCGCTTGGTTCGATTCAGCTGCTCCTAGCTCATCCAATGGCTGTGAATGCAGTGGCGCGTCGGGTTTCCCCCACAATAGTTGTTTGGCCTCAATGAAGCTATTGGGTAATTGGATAGTTTGATTATTTTGGGCAACAGGGTGGAAAGGAAAAGCCATCTGGCGGTGGAAGTTGATGGTAGGGCGACGCCTGATTGGGTGGCAGAGGCCGGCCTGCAAGCTGATGTCAATGCAGTAGCTTCACAGTTGGTAGAAAGTATGATTCGTCAGCTAGCGAAAGCTTGTGCATACGTGAATGTGATTATGCCTACCACGAAAAGTGTGAAGGCCATTGGGATTGGCTTGTACTAGAGGATTTCATCACCCGGTTGAGTAGTAGTAGCAGTAGTTATTGACGCATGTATATTGTACATGGAAGCACTACAGAAATGACCCTTTGTGAGACGAAGGCGTTTGCTTGCAGACATTACTATGAACCATGCCTTCCTACATGCCTTGGCATCTTCATTTTTACCATTATCAGCTTGAGAGCAAACCTTGGGATGACTGAGCAAACTGGAATAGGAAAAATAATATTAGATTGACATGTCGATAAATAGTAAGCTTCGTTTCTCAAAAGCCACAATGTAGACGAATAGCTGATCATCAGTGATATATCTGGGGTCTATCCGAAGTGTGACTTCAGGTGGTCGCAGGATGAGCAGTGACTCAGCAAATTAGAGCTGCCCGGTGGGACATTTACAAACGGTGGACTAGGTGTGGCTTTAGGGGCAAATGAGCGCAGTTGCTGTGTCTTGAGCTGGATTGGAAGAGCTACAGCGGGAGTAAAAGTCTGTGGCTGTTGGTATCCTGTGACTCGGCCCTAGCCTTGAGCTTAAGGTGGGCCATGAAAGAAAGCCAGAGGGACCTAACACTCCTTGGGATCCCCAGAGAGCATCTTCAACAACGTACCTGTTTCTACTGCGAGGGAGTGGGTCACATCGACCGGAACTGTAGGCGCGTGTAGAGCCAGAGAGCTTGAACAAGTGGACTGGGCCCGCAGGGAGACTGCTAGGCTAGCAAGGGATGCGTAGTGGGGAAGTGAATGACTATAAGCGCAGGCTGCGGCGCCTGCAATGGATGTGTGGAGGATAGACCCGCAGTTGGGTACCCACCATGGATCAGTTCTGCTCTTACCAAAATGCATGGTAGAGGCTGAGTATTGCGAGCGTTATCTAACACTTGATGCAAAGCGGGTCTTTCATCCTAGTAGGCGGCTTAAAGGCGCGGTCTGCGTTTCACTGTTTAGGTGAGTCCCTTAGACTCGGGTTTGCTGGGGGGTGGCACAATGCACGGATTGGTCATGCTCCAGCAGTCCAATGCCACTTCATATTGGAGTTGTCCCGTAAATTCGCTCCGTAAATTCATGTTGAACCTGTGCACTGCGACACAATCCCAGGTATGCCATGAGTGACCTGATGGAAGGGGCGCATACGTCCGCAGACACCTGTAAGGGAGGTTAGTATGCCATGTAACACTTGGAAGAATCCCATCTTGGTCCTCCCAACACGCCACTTTATCTGTAGTGAACGGGGGGCATTCGATACCTTAAAAAGGCGGGCTACAGTCTTTAGGCGGGCAGCTGAGCAAGGCAGGAAGAAACGACAACTCTGAGCTCGCATCCCGTCTAAGTGTCTTTGTAAACGGTTAATTATCAGCGACTCCAACTGAGCTGCAGCTGAGGAACAGCAGGAATGTGCATACATAGAAGGACTCACAGCAGTGCCAAATAGTGATCTGCCTGCAGGATAGCCACCTATTCATCCAGCGAATTGTATTGAGCAAATCCTTAAGTCTGCTTCAAGTTGTGTTCCGCGATATCGGAAGCCTCTAGCATGAAAAAAAGATTAAGAGGCAGGCAGATGATTTGATGAGAGGCATATCTCAGAAATTACCTGGCTGTCCTAGCCTTAACTCTGTATTGGTGCCAAAAGAAGGTTAAAACGCGGCCCATGTGGCTCAAATTGAACTCCCTCAACTCTACTACTGCACAACAGAATTTCCCGATGCCTCGTACAGGCGAATTACGAGACAAATCACACGAGGCGTCAGTCTAATTGACAGTTGACTTCACAAATGCTTTCTTCCAAATTTCCATTTCCCTTGATGACAGGCACGAAATAACGTTACACCCGCATACTCCCAAACTCGAGTACATGGGTATGCCGCTTGAACTTTCTAATCCCCTAGCCGAGCTGCAACGGCAAACTATTCTCTCCTTTCGAGCCTGTCAAAGATAGCCATATGGTTGTCTGCATGGATGATGCCTTGTCCCTCAGCCGATACGTTCAAGTAAACCAAAGGCACCTACAGCTTGCGCGTCCGCTGATGTGGGGCAAAAAGTGGTATGTGAAGACACGAAAGTGCTCGTTTTTCATAATAACAGTTGCATTTGTAGTATTCCACATTTCCGCTGCTGCAAATGCGCCCCATATCCACACAAATGGAGGCAATCAAGGCATGGCCCTTACCTGTAAGCACTTCCAAGGACGGTGTGAACTTCTATGGCCTTGCATCTTTTGACCTTAGTTTCAGTCCTCGGTTTGCTTGGATCGCTTCCCTCATGACTACGTTATTTTGAGAAAGCGCAGACTTCGACTTAGACCGAGGATGCCAATGCACAGGAAGGACACTCACCCCTCGCCGTACCACCTCTCCACTGGCGCTGCCCAACGATGTGCGTCGTTGCTTTCCAACATATGCTGCTAGTAATGGATCGGTGTGTGCTATTCTCTTCCACCGGCTACAGGCTCTCCAAAACTTCGAATTATTGCTCTGCATTCTTCTCAATCTACCGAAACCCAGCATCCTTTCATACTGTGGGGACAAGGATTTCTATGCGGTGTGGGGGGGCGTGAAAAAGTGCCGGCATTGTTATATGGATCCAGACTCTCAGTCCTTTTTGTACCTCGCCAAGAGCTTTTAGGCCTTTGAAGACTTTGACGAGCCTACATTTGGTTGCTGGCTTGGACGCCTCTTGCAGCAAGACTTTAATGCGAAATACATAAAGCTCAACACCAACGCGGTCGCCGAGGCGCTCTCGTCACACCCAGCGACTCAGAACTGTTCAGCGAGATCGCTCCTGTGTGTCATGACTCACCGCTGCCATCAAAATTTAGTACGTCTTATGTTTTCTACACCCATGCATCCAAATCATTTTATTTGGCCACCTAGACACTAGATAAGTAAACAACAAGCTACAGTTTCGCGCTCCGGTGGCAAAAACAACATAGGGGGAATATGAACGCGGACGACACAGGAACACAACATTGTACAGGCAAATCAAAAGCTAGTCATTCAAGTTGTAGGCCGGACAAGCTTGACATGCAGAGAAAGCGCTTGCAAGCGCAGACAGAGAGGCGGTTCCACAGGGTTGCAGCGTCCCAGAGCTAGAAACGACACTACATTTTAACCTTGAATCCCCCATTTAGCTCCCTTGGGCAATTCCCTGGTAACTAAGTTTTCTGTATTGCACAAGAGTGGAAGTCCATCAGCACCTAGAGAGAGATCTAAAGCGTCGCAGTGCCGGAAGAGCGTCAGGTAGGCTCGTGCTGGCAGCTAGAATGCCCCTGCCGAAATGGGCTAGAGTCAGACTGCGCCTCTTACACCTGTCTGAAGGGGCAATCGACGAAGAAAGGGGGCACAGTCTGTCTCTGCTCAGTAGACTTCAGTACGCCACCTCTTCGTGGCAACCAGCTGCTTTAAAAACGGCTCGAATGCCATATTGCATCGCTCCGCAGCTGCCTGAAGGGCTGACTTTATCGGAGGCAGCATATCCCTCCTTCCGCAGGTGTACATCACTGCCCCTTGTTGCAAGAGGTCTATAATAGCCCCTCCATCCTCGTCAATGAGATGCTGAACAGTAATTCAAGCACAAGTCATGCCAAAGCACGAAATGTGCGTCCACCTTAATGGTCTATCCATTGCTGCATTGCTTATATTTACTGCCAACCGGCGGCGGGGGGACTACCAAATGGTGGTGGTACTGGCCCTTCAATGAATCAGGATTCGATCTTTGCAGGCCTCAGCGCAAGTGGCTGTGGGCGTCACACTGAAGCCTCGAACGTATTCTGCCCCGCCGTGAAAATGAATGCAACGCACAGTCTGAGTACACTACGGTGTAGGTGTAGAATCTACGTGAGGACATACCTGCACATACAGCTTGCCGCCACCGGGTGCCTTCATCTCCCTGGAATACGCGAAACGGAGTTGCAGCGTTTCAGTGGGCAGTCGCCTAGAAAGTTCTCGCCATTCGTGAGCATAGGGCGTGGTGGATGCCCTGGCGGCCCCAATGTAGGCAACCACTCGGCCTAACGAGAGCCGGCATGACAAAGGGACAGACAGCACAGGGGGCTGACAAGTGAGGATGACCCAGTGGACCTGGAAGAACCCGTTTCGTCCAACGCAGCACGCAGCCAAGAAGCGCCAGAGTGAATAAGAAGAGAGAAGGCCATACAGCTAGGCATGGGGGATGGGGGGCCGCTACAAGAAGGCCGAGTTACTAAGAATATGAAAGCGGCACAAGCAATGGCAGAGAATTTGGTAAGGCAGACACTGGCGCCAAGAATGAAATCCACCAGCCTTATGTGTACCTTCTCGGGGCTCCGCCAAAATTCGTCGTAAGAAGCTGCGAAGGGGTGCCACGCCGGTACCCGTGCATGCGAACACAATTGGCGTCTTCCTATCCTCAGGAAGTATGAGGGCAGCACCCACAGGCCCTGATGCAATCGAACGACGCACGAAGACGACGTGTCTTGCGGTGCACTCAAGTATCGCACGAAAAACCCACAGCAGGCTCTCGCGTTCCATCTTCCAAGCAAGTAAGCTCCCCCCAGAGCATAGCCAGGTTTGGCTCCTCGAGGTGAGATACTGCAGGAAATCCAGGAAAAAGGGGTGCTGTGAGTTTACCAGCTATTTCAAACTGCGTGCCGATAGGAGCTGTGCAGAGTAGGGAGGAGCAAAGGCCATCTTTTGAAGGATCGTGCTGGCCATCGGGGCCCCAGAAGCGGTGGCGACGGACGCACTGCGACACCCAACAAGCACATGTTGCAGGGCGAGAGTGCAGGATGAGCGTAAGTACGAGGTACGGACAAAACGGGCAGTAAGAAGGGTTGAATATGCGTTTACGTAAAAGATGCCACATGAGTGGCACCTGCACACCTCCGGCGCTCAACGGGGCCTCCCAAGGGCTCCTACAGGAACCAGTATGGACGGCCCTTGTGGAGCTGTCCGAGGTAAATAGTTAGCTTGCCAAGGAAAAAGAGTGACGAAGACCTTCGTCAGGAGACAGTAGGGAGGAGGCCACGCTGTAGAGCCTGGGTTTGGCTACGGGTCCCTCAGCATTGTGGGAGCCCTTTCGTGTGTCTGCAAGGTTCACAAATGAGACACTCTGGCCTTCCAGGTAGTGAAAGGGTGCTCCGGTCTTCGCAGATAGAATTGATGGATCGTAGGAGAACACCAAGTGGAATGCTTCATCGGGCGGCCCCATGTTCTCCTCTGGTGCAACACGGGCCAAAGCCTCAGCAGCTGCAGAAGGCTGGCACCCCGGGGGCAAACGGGAGTATGCAGAATAGTGGGAAGCCAGTTCCCGGTGCTCCAAGCGGATCTTCAATGTATCTGCCCGAGAGAAGCTGTGAAAAGAAAGCACATGCACACTAGTGCAGTCCCAGTGACGCGGGTTCCCCAACGCTACCAGGTTTTTGCGTTGGGGAGGCAAAGGCAGCTAGGTAGCCAGAAGAGACAAGGGGGCAATGGCACAGTAGGCGAGCAGTGTACAGGAGGAAGAAATGCGGAACCTCACAGATTGATAGGGACAGGCATAGAGCTGCTACCGGCTCGACTTCTCAGCCCAGGCCCCGCAGCATGCCCAACCTCCTCGGCCTTCCATCTGAGTGTTACCAGACAAGCAAGCATTCGCGTTTGCAAGCTTCCTTCGAGAAGAGTTACACGCAAACTTCGCCCGATATTGGCTTCCTTCTTGCTGCGAAACATACTGAAATCAACCCGTGCCCGACAAGGAGGAGAGCGGCAGTGCTTCTAAAGTCGCTCACCCGTAAGGCCGGTGCAGGAATTCGTGGGGGCCCGTAGAGGGCGCCCGTGCGGCCCCCTTCGGCGCCTGTGGCCCCACAGCGGGACCAGGAGCGAATCTAAACGAGGTGCACTTGGGCGCCATACTCAGCAGGAAGAGGATAAACACAACCTACGGCACTAAGCACAACGACAACACAGTCGTAAATATCCTATGCTCTAAAGTACCCCTTGTGCCTTTGCCGCAGCAAATACCAACCTACCAAAGTAGTGCTCAGACGGCAAAAAGGATTGAAGGCGGACAGGCTCACGCCCAGTAGGCGCGGAATTCGCTTTCGGGTCTCACTGGGGGCCGAGGGGCCCCCAGAGAGAAGCTTGGATTGCATTTTGCTGTAATGCGCAGCTGCAACCGAGCCTAAAGGAGCCCAGGCCGTAGACTGCACGCCCCTAACCCCAGCACTCAGACCTCAAATCCCATTGCGGAGAGGGCACGCCGTGGGTGTTCCTTGGGGGCTGGGATACACAGGAGCCTGCCGCGTCTAGGAAGGCAATCGAGTCTCTGTCTGAGGGGTTTGAGCCGTTGGCAGCCCTCTACGCAGGAGGTGTCCTTAAGTAGAGTTGTTCTTTGTCGAAGGGATGAAAACTCAGGAGCAAACCAGAGCGGAGAAGAGAGACTGACAGTCGTTGCCCTGAAGACAGGGATAAGTACAAGCCTAAACAGGCCTGGTGCACCGGTGTAGGGCGCAAGATTTTGTGGATGGCTTCGAGCATAGGTTAAGCACAGAGCCTTATCTATATTAGATTTTATTAAATAATGTCGGTTAAGGGTTGAAGAGTGGAGAAGGGTACGTAGGGGTCAGGGGGGCCCCTCAAGGGGTTCCCCAGGGGCCCCTGCTAACCCCCCTGCTCCCCCCCCAGCAGCATACGGAGCACCCAAGGCAGGCGCCGAGACGCTTCTTACGGAGATGCTCACTTGCATCTTACAAAAATACCGCTCTTTCATCTTATGGACCATCTTATGGGCTATAAAGAGGGCTCAGTGCTGCATTTTCCATCGAGGACCCCTGCATGGGACTTAGGTTGAGCTGCAATATCTTGAGCAAACTGTGATAATCTTGCTTTTAGCTTCACTCTCAAAGAGCTCTTCAACATCACAGCCATAGAGAGCGTGTGTAGACGTGTGAGCAAGCTTGTGAGACCCTAGACTTACAGGATGTTCCGTGGCATGTCCTCTCTGAGAAGGAATCCGACCCCAAGAGTGAGAATCTCTACGTAAAAAATTAGTGCTCGGCCCGTCTTTGCATAGAGGGCTAAGGGTGATGCGTGGGGGGAGCAGCCGTTCATTTTTCTGGAGGCGGCAGCTGAGCCTTTCTCACACATTTCCACCACATATTTCAGGCCGGAATTGGGCTGTGGAGCTACCCAGGACCACCCCGTTGTGTTAGTCAGGCCTCTCTTGCGCTGCATCATTACACAGTATAGCGGGCTAAGTTGTACTAAAACGCGCCTCTTCACATCAAATATACTTGGCGAAGAATTAGCAAGCAATCCTCTGAATGCTTGGCTTTCTCATATATATTTATGGCCGGGTACTGTAAGTTATATACTAGAAGACGGAATGATACATGCGTGTGCAAGAGATGATATCAATAACTAGCGGTCAGTGCTCCAAGTGCTTTGAGGGCCCTGAGGATGCATCTGCTACACCTCAGCTACCCCTCTCCTCCCATGCGGTAATCTCCGAAAAGAGCGACCACAAGAAGCAGGCAACGTTTCATGAAAACACTGAATAAATTTGCATTATCTGTATTAAGTGTGGGCTTAGACGTCTTTCCATGGAGGCCTGAGCACGAGGGCTACAGGTGACAGCGCCGCTTGGTTCGATTCAGCTGCTCCTAGCTCATCCAATGGCTGTGAATGCAGTGGCGTGTCGGGTTTCCCCCACAATAGTTGTTTGGCCTCAATGAAGCTATTGGGTAATTGGATAGTTTGATTATTTTGGGCAACAGGGTGGAAAGGAAAAGCCATCTGGCGGTGGAAGTTGGTGGTAGGGCGACGCCTGATTGGGTGGCAGAGGCCGGCCTGCAAGCTGATGTCAATGCAGTAGCTTCGCAGTTGGTAGAAAGTATGATTCGTCAGCTAGCGAAAGCTTGTGCATACGTGAATGTGATTATGCCTACCACGAAAAGTGTGAAGGCCATTGGGATTGGCGTGTACTAGAGGATTCATCACCCGGTTGAGTAGTAGTAGCAGTAGTTATTGACGCATGTATATTGGACATAGAAGCACTACAATAATGACCCTTTTGTGAGAGGAAGACGTTTGCCTGCAGACATTACTATAGACTATGCCTTCCTACATGCCTTGGCATCTTCATTTTTACCATTATCAGCTTGAGAGCAAATCCTGGGAGGACTGAGCAAACTGGAATAGGAAAAATAATATTAGATTGACATGTCGATAAATAGTAAGCTTCGTTTCTCAAAAGCCACAATGTAGACGAATAGCTGATCATCAGTGATATATCTGGGGTCTATCCGAAGTGTGACTTCAGGTGGTCGCAGGATGAGCAGTGACTCAGCAAATTAGAGCTGCCCGGTGGGACATTTACAAACGGTGGACTAGGTGTGGCTTTAGGGGCAAATGAGCACAGTTGCTGTGTCTTGAGCTGGATTGGAAGAGCTACAGCGGGAGTAAGAGTCTGTGGCTGTTGGTATCCTGTGACTCGGCCCTAGCCTAGAGCTTAAGGTGGACAATGAAAGAAAGCCAGAGGGACCTAACACTCCTTAGCGCATCCCCAGATAGCATCTTCAACAACGTACCTGTTTCTACTGCGAGGGAGTGGGTCACATCGACCGGAACTGTAGGCGCGTGTAGAGCCAGAGAACTTGAACAAGTGGACTGGGCCCGCAGGGAGACTGCTAGGCTAGCAAGGGATGCGTAGTGGGGAAGTGAATGGCAACAAGCGCAGGCTGCGGCGCCTGCAATGGATGTATGGAGGATAGACCCGCAGTTGGGTACCCACCATGGATCAATTCTGCTCTGACCAAAATGCATAGTAGAGGCCAAGTGTTGTGACAGATTGTTCTCAGCTCATGACTGAAAGCCTGATGGATTCTCAGAATCCTGATCACCGATGGCGCTAGCACGGTCTGGCGTGGCGCTTTGACCCGCTTGCACATTGACCATGCTAGGAATACTGTGAATTATCCGTAGGCAGAGCGACAGACAGGGAACACTGGCCGCTCTCTCCTGCGATCTTGGCAACTTTATGCTCAAGAAAATCCGATTGCTTGGCTTCACGGTCTTCGTAATGCTGAGTGTGTGCGTAATACAACTGCACACAAGTGTTTCCAACGCTCTGCCGCATCCTTCGTTTACAGTCTAGAGCTGCCTTCCGATCTGGGTCAGAAACTGGCGATCCGGAGATAGCAGCTAACTCTAACATCAAACGCATTTAGAAGACATTCATCCAGTGCACACAAATATGTACGCAAAGCTCAATAGAGACAAGCCCTGAATCATAAGAAATGTGAGTCTGCTGTGTTTCAATCCTGGAGATTTTGTCCTGGTGAACTGGCACGCTTCACGATATGCACCAGAAGATGACTAGACAACGGCGTTTGCAGCCAGGCGGCCAGAAGCATTTAGCATCCTCTCACAGATCACTACTCTCTTACTCCACCATATGTCCTTCATGTTGAAGATGCCAAAGAACTATTAATTTGGCTTGTTGAGGAAGTTTTGGAACTCTCCGAGTTAGTTTCCGACCTTGCCGCACACGCCAGTAGCACTAACAAAAGCGGATGATCCACTGGGAGCCGTACAGGTGGTGGCGTTTAGGGGTACTTTGCGGGAGAACACATTCGACGGGCGTTTCTAGTGAAATTGGGTGGAGATTGGCAACCTCAGTGGTTGACGCGGAGCAGTTGCTGTTTCGTTGCCTGCTGGAGAATATATATCTGTGTATGTATGTCTGTATACATATTGCGGCTTTGTTTTATTTACACTGCTAGTGGCCATGGATGGTGTTCGTCGAATCCTTTGGCAATCATGCTATTCCATCAAACGTTGTGCCTAAAGCAGCTACCTTCACTTCTGTGTGTTGCTAAAAAATTATCAATTATTGTTGCTCGGGTGTTCTCTACACTTAGATTTGTGTGCAGTAATTCTCGGGAACGTTGTTTACACATTCTTCCTTATGCCTCTTTTGGGGCTTCGGAGTCGACTATGCTGCATGCACCGGCTGTACTGGAATGCGCAGATTGCTCTATGAGGCGCGAAGGGGCTGCTGAACGAGAATGGACATGTTGATACACCTGTTCATGCATATTCTGCTTGTCTTCCGTTTTCTTGTAGCAGGGCGCCACGACGACAGCGACCCATCACACAACGGCGGTAGTGTTGGTTTAGACCCTCATCTGTTTTTGGCTAGCGCGTGTGCCTGATTTTCTGTTGATTTGGCTTAAGCGCTTATTGTCCATTGTACTTCTCTCATTTACAGTGGTGTCGTTTGCTCGTGGGTGTGGCAACCCACCGGAAAATATTCCGCTGTTATATGCGGTGGGTTTGGGCGTACAAGCATGCTACACGGGGACATGCTTTGACGACTAAAAGGGGCAGATGTAGAGGGATAGAGGTATACTTGGACACTTCCTACAACAGTATTTGTATTTAAATACGTATTCGCAACATTTTGATTTGTTGGTTTGTGAGTACACAGTGCTTCTTTCTTGAAGGAAACGGTTAGCTCCATGCAAAAAGACGCAATGCTGTGTGCTCGTGCGCTGGATGCTGTATGCAGCTAACTGTGACTGCTCGGAGTGCTTTATAGAGGGCAGCTACGCGCACCTCAGCTGCCCCTCTTCCCACATACAGATCGATGGGGCGCAGGCAGCAAACGGTGAGAGTTTTGCTCGAAAGCATTCAATAGCTTTCTACTGCGTGTCACTTCAGTGTGGAGTAAAGTGCCTCCCTGCGGATACGTCAGATAGAGCACTCAAAAAAGGGACATGCGGGCATCCTGAACATTATAGTACTCATCTTTCCGTAGTGCCAGGTTCCAAAATAGCTCAGACGTAAGATTTAGCGAGCCTTAGCAGTTCAGGGGTGCTCTAGATTGGCAGTTACCTGGAAGCTAGGGGAGAACGGGCTAGAAAAGATAAAGAACGGAATGGCGGAGATATATGGTCTTTTGAAAGGTCTATTGCTTCGCGCACGAAGTGATGAAGAACCTTAAATGGCTGAATTGTCGGGATGTTTTCAATAAGGTCTTCAACAGGGGCCTCCCTTTCTGCCTCTGTTTTGTACTGCCTTCATGCAACAACTCGCGCACGTTCTCCCGAAATTGCACCTAATAGGCTCGCCTAACAACTTCTATCCATCTTTCAGGAAGACTCTAGTAGTGCTGCCTTCCTGGTAGGCGCTGACAGTCCTGCAATCAGCGCTGCAGAGCTTTTCTACATTCCGCCATGCTTACATTTTTTCATTTATGTACATACCGACTGTGGAGGACGGCCCCTAGCTCTGTCTGCTTGCTGATGCAACTGAATATCCTGCTACCTTGCCCCATGCTTCAGGCATTCCCTTGCTGCAGACTGCCCACAAACATATGAACAGCCTATCCTTAGCTGCACTTTTGCTCAGATACGAAAACCCAGTTTAGCAGCCACCCTATCCGTCAGTCAAACTCTGCCGCTAGTTCAGTAGGTAGTCGATGTTGACTTCCCAACCGCACAGTTTTTTCGACATGCTCACCGAAGGCGTACATCATGCAAAATAGTTTATACACAGCACAAGTGCGACAGAGAACAGAGTGCTGAGTCTCGCCTTCATCTCACCTAAAACAAGAAAAAACCGCATGAAAGATTAAATAGCCCAAAATAGATTGTACACGATATAGAACGCTTCAACGTTGGCGATGAACATATCCCCTAGTACATGGGCACTCAAACCTCAGCAGGTCATCTACCAAAGCCCCATGGACAGTGATTTGTGTAGAGAACAGAAGCCTTGGGCCCTGCGCCTTCTGCCGCCGTTTATCGATACCTTTGATGATCTTAGAGCTTTTTCCGAGCTCAATATCTCCATGTGGGCATAACTTTTCGCAAGAAAGGGGTACATTTGGCCTTGGTCGTACCAAGCGATTCGCCGATCCTTACTCCCTAGAAGCATCAACGCAAACCGCTATCCTAAGCTCTAAACTCTTTATGTCATCTTGTGTGATGTAATTATCATGAAGCCCGCGTATTGGGAGTTGGGAGGTGGCGTTGACTGCGGCTCAGATGTCGGTTTGAATCCACCGCAACAGGAAACTGCTTCTGGGGATGACTCGCTGGTACATAACATCGATAGGCAACCGCCGCTCCTGCCACAGAGGCAGAGGCACATGCTGCCTTTGTGGATTGTCTTAGCAGGGCTACTTGCTGCGTTGGTTGCAAAGGGCCTCGTCTCGCGGCCGTGGGATAAGAGGGAGCAAGTCACAGGTCCTATCAGGGAGAGGTCCGAATTTGGTGGAAGCACTGAAGTACCCGCATTTAGCGGTTCAGACCCGGCCCCACCAAGAAGTGAATTTTCGAAAGAGCACCCTTCCTGGGCTGCCTTGATTCCAGGCGATGACTCCTCTGTGCGCAGCACGCAACTGACGCCGCCGTCGATTTCCCCCATGCTAACACAACCGGGTGCTCTACCAGACTCTTCATTATTAGGACCGTTGCCAGTAGCGTCGACGGAATTAGGGGATGCGCTTGCAATGGGCGACTTGAGGACCCAGCCTAGTCAGGGTGATAGGCAAGTTGACATCTTAGCTGCGGATCCTGCTCAGGACGCACTGTCCCAGCGGACTCCGCTGCGACTGAAGGCATCAGAAGCAATGGCGGCAGCGAGGAATGTAGACATGATGGCTATAAAACCCGCCTCTAGGGGGGGTTTACAGGAAACGCAGGAGGAGATGGTGAGACGGCAATTTGATCTGCCGCTGAATAAGGTGGGTGATGGACTGTTGGATGTAGTAAGTAATGCAAGGAAGCTGCCTTGGAATGCGTGGGACTACGATTCGCGTATACTGCGCGCCAAGAGCGTTATCTTGGAGAAAGCGAATGAGCTGGAGATACTTAAGGAAAAAAGAAATGAGGCCTGGAAGGCCTGGAAGGACGTCAGACAGAGGGCCACCGCTGACTTAGGCAATCAAGAAGCACAGAAGCAGGCTAAGAAGCTTGCTAAGTTGTATAAATCCCGTTTGCTTTCCGAGAAGGCTCTGCTAGAGTCGCTAGCTAAGCTGTCTAATGAATGGCAAGGTGAAGCTTCGAAGCCGCTCTTAGTCGCGGCATCACTTGTGTCCTCTCCGGACTTTAAGACTATTGAGGATATTGGTTCTTGTCATGGAAAACTCCTTAGTGCGCTGGCGGTCGGTAAAAAGGCTCTTAGTGGCTCGACGGGCCTTCTGAAGCAGGTGAGCGGCAAAAACTATTGTAGTGTGGTGCTTCCAATCGTCAGCTCCCGATTGGCTGAAGTTGACCTTTTGATCAAAAGCATTGACCTCCCAGAGACTGCAGTGCTCACTACCGAACTGAAGAATCAGCAGATAGAGGCAGAGGATGGAAGGAATCACGCCCGCAAAAGGCTTAAGGAAGACAAGCAACCCACGTGGATTGCCAACATCTTTTAAATGGCACTGAAGCATCCGTAGGCAGAGCCAGTACATTTTGTTTTTCTCGTCCCTCTGTTCCATGAAGCCTTGTTGGTCCCGTTGCCTTGGATGCACTCTTCCATCGACGCAACATACTGCATCCAGTGTTCTCCTTGCCCCTAACTGTTCCGTCTTGCGGCAACTGGGCGCTGCGACATCCCTTCAGGTCTTGGGCATGGTGCTCTTAGCATGAAGTTTATGTCTCAGCAGACAGAGTTCGGCGACGCCACGCCCAAGTTGGTGCGAGGGTCACTCACTTGTTTGAAGGTGGCCCAAAAGCCGACTAGTAGTGGACGGTAAAGTAACAGGCGGGATGAGGGAGGACGATGGAGGTTCTAAAGATCAGGGAGCACTGGTTTGATGGAACTGAATTGAGCAGCATGCTTTGCCTTGTTCCTATCGCTATTCCGTGGGTATCAGATGTTTGCAATAGTGAGAAGGGTGCCTATCTTAAAGGAGAGGGAGGCGGCATTCTATCGAGTGCTGGAGGGGAAGTTGGTGGTGCATCAATCAATCTGTGAGCCCTGAACTTGGGCTGATGTTGGACTCTCTCCTCGATACGCCGGGTAGAGGTCATTCGTCAGTGCCTTGTGCGCATGTTGTGAACAAGACTGGAAGGGAGGGACTGTCCAGCAAGTGATTTTCTAGCCGCTTAATGTGTCATTATGAGCAAACCAGTCGTCGTTTAGGTAAAGGTAACAGATTGGGTTGCATTTTGAACTAAAACTGACGCTCTTGCAGCTGCAAGTGCCCAGGCAGGAAGGCCCGCCCCCATTGGCGAGCTCTCGCAGTTTGCCTTGCTTGAAAAAAACCACCCTACCACAGCTCCTCAGGCCTAGTGAGAAGCTTTGATGGAAATGGAAGGACAACGCATTTTCGACTGTCCGTCTCATGAAGTATGAACGAGCTCAGCAATGAAGAGGTAACGACGGTGAAAAAATGAACTTGCGGATATCTTCGGAAGGCTTCTACATGCAAGCGGCTTTTTGTCATCGAAAGCTGCATAACAGGTAAAGTAAACGGAGGCGTAGGCTCTGAGGTGCAGTGAGTATCAGAGTGACGGGACTGCAACGATTTGATGAAACTGTGGCTCAAAATACTGTGCACTTTTACCCATGCATTCGGCATGAAAATGCCTTTTCCTGCTGACAGCTGTACCCTCAAATCAAGGTTCCATTCACGGGGTGGCGAGTCATGGCAAACAGCGCCTCGAGGGTACTGTTCCTCCTTGATCTGTTCAACTTCTTTCTTCCCGTGTAGCAACGTACAACTTTATCACTTGAAGGCAACTGAGCGAGCAGGGCAATGTTTCTTGACGTGTTCCAGCTGTGCGTTGAATCTTAATGGCGTTTGTGGGGTTTAAACTCCTGTTAACTGGACACGCAGATACGGGACTTGCGTAGTGTTGAGCAACTTTGCTCCCCAGCACTTCCTTCTAAATAGTGGAAATCTTGTCGTATTTGAAGAAAGCACTAAAACTTTTAACCTTGCATATCACTATAAGATGTTCTCTGTAGTCGACGAGAGCGTACTGACCAGCAGTGGATCAATGGCTACACCTTAAATTTGGGTTTCAAGAAGTCTGGGCAATATACCAAACCTACGCGCAAGGCTTTACAGGTATATAGAGTTTTCCTGTGCTGCTGCTGTAGATCTCCATCCATCCATATTGGCATATTCTAAGATTGTCTAAAGGGGACAGCGAAGAAGGCGAGTGCATGTAACCTTCTTGCTGAACTTCTCTGTAGGGGGACACTTACCACCTTAATCTATACAGGCTTGGTAGAGCATAAACGAATGTTTTTTTCGAGAGAACTTCTCTTTTAACTGCCGGCGCCACTCAAGGGTTGCTCGCATCAGGGGAAAAGGACTGCCAGGGTGCGCGTTGCATCCCTCCTCAAGCACTCCGAGAATTCATAGCTAGTCGCACGCAGTATCTAGTGCGTGCATAAACCTCAATTATCCTATTGTATTAAAATAGGGCTACTCTGCAGTACGAACAGCTATTCCAAGCAGCCAATTGTGGGATTTTTCTTGATTATACGTTACGAGTGTGGTAGAAGGTGGCAAAGCTTCATATACGCCTATTGGGCAGATGCCCCTTACTAGCAGATGCATTTCATATTGGTAGCCTATTGTCACAAAAGAAAATTTTCCAGTCACTTCTTCGAGCAGTAATCCAAAAACACAAAACCAGTGGGAATACGCATAGTAGTTTCGCAGTGGAGCAGAATGAGGCCAAACTAAGCCCTGTGAGCTAAACTCGAAAACGAACAAGCTAGAACACGAAGTTGCTCACTGCTCTATTTCTGGGAGAACTGCGTGGAGATTTTGAGTGTGGGATATTTGGCGACTGAGTCGCTCCCAAATGAGGTCCACTACCAATTGCTGTAGCGCGTTAAGCGGCAGCTAGACACTTTCCATTACAAAGCTTATATTTTAATAGCAACCAGCAAATAATTAGCTGAGTGCCTTGTCTTCTCGTATCCCCATCTCAAAGTACTGTTAGCTCGATACTAGAAGGAGCAATTATGTTTGCGCGTGAGCTAGATGCCTTGTGCAACTAGTGTGAATGCGTGAATCGCCCAAAGAGCGAAACGCTACTCGCCATAGCGGCCCCCGTTTCCTCGTGTCAAAATTAAGAGGGCCGCGGTCAGGGAAAGGAGAGAGTTGTTTTGCAAACGCTCAACAGCGCTCCATCAAGTTTGCATTGATTCTGGAGATGAGTCTCTCCATAGAGACTTTAGATGAAGCGTTGCAGCAACCTCTTTGCACATGATAAGACACTTCAACAGCAGAAGACATATAGATCCTCCTATCTCACGGCGCTGACCTACATTCAAAAAATGTCATCGTCCTCCTCTTTGTGCCTGTCATTTCGTCCCGTCCTGGACGTATCTAAGTCTGGGGCGAGCTGCCTTGAACTCTACACAGCTAGTATGCACTCTGTGGTTGTAAAATTGCCTGAAGGTTGCCTTGGAGCGACTTGAACTGTAAGCAGTTTTCGGAAGTCATGTACATGCTTCAGGCACGGCTTTTACTAGATTCATTGGTTCTGTGACACTACTGTGAGGGTCCGTGCAGCAGTACCCCGGTCGTAAAAAGCAAGTCCTCCCCGTGCAGGCCCCCTTTGCCTTTATAATACAACAGTTAACACACGACTTCTTTGCAGCGGTGTCATTTTAGATCCACAGGCGTTAGGGTGTATTAGGGGCGCAATAAAATAGCATTGCGCGATTGTTGCTGCAATCGGCCTGCCTTCCCCCGTAGACGGCTAAACAAAGAATACGATGACGACGTGGAAAAGTGTCTTATAAGCAGGTGCTTGCGTAGACGCGTCTGTTACTGAGCGGTCTCAACATTTGGAGTTTCAAAATCCCCTTATGTGTTTGGACTTGTTGCCCTTCTTTTAAGTTATAAGGCCTCCTTCTCTTGTCACTCCGATTTTATGCTCATGACTACAGATGGAACCAGACTGATTAGACTCGAAAAGGCCAACACCCCTGTCTACCGCTCCGCTGATGTCGGCTTTGGATATCACAGCAAGGCTTGGGCGCAAGCCGGGCCAAAGCAACCACACTTGCTGCAGCAACCCCAGCAGTGGCATGCACCGCAGAGCTTACAGACTACTACTTACCCTGTATTCTGTCCCTGCGCCGTTCTTTGCCTCTCGCTGTTTTTAGAGACAAAGAGGTTGTTTTCTCAACACCACGCAAGGAGGGAATTCTACCGCGCAATCTAAGGTCTCCGTGAAGGGACGCTGAAATTCATTAGCTGCAAGCCTTATAGAAAGCTACTTAGGACATGGACCCAATTTCAACACACGCCCAGATATTCTTCGTGTGTGTGTCGAGTACCGCTGCATGCAGAATAGCCAAAAAGGTCCTGCCCTACTGCCGCTAGCCACGTAGGCTTAAACGCGGAAGCTTTACAAATGGAAAAGGCAAAGTATGCAACAACTGCTTATGTGAAAGTAAATCCTAACAATACTAACCCATAACCGGGAGCTTTTCAAGTTAGAAGTACATATAAAGGTATGTACTCCCGGCAGAATGTCTGCCAAGGGATTTGATGAGCACTTTCCATGGCCACTAGCAATGAAAATAAAAAAGCCACGATACATATATATTTCCACGCAGACAGCCAACCCAGCAACTGCTCCGCGTCAACCACTGAGGTTGCCGATCCCGACCCAATTTCACCGGAAACGCCCGTCGAATGTGTTCTCCCGCAACGGGCTCCTAAACACCACCATCTGTACGGCTCCCAGTGGATCATCCGCTTTCGCTAGTGCTACTGGGGTGTGCGGCAAGGTCCGGAAAAAACTCGGAGAGCTTCAAAACTTCTTCAACAAGCCAAATCATTAGTTCTTTGGCATCTTTAAAATTAAGGGCATTTGATGGAGTAAGAAAGAGTAATGATATGTGAGAGGATCAACGATCCTGGCCGCCTGGCTGCAAACGTCTTTGTCAAGCCATCTTCTGGTGCATCTCGCGGAGCGAGTGAGTTCATCAGGACGAAATCTTCAGGATTGAAACACAGCAGACTCACATTTCTTATGATTCAGGGTTTGTCTCTCTTCAACATAGCGCACACTTTTGCGTGGACTGAGCAACTGTTTTCTGAATTCGTTCAATGTTTTGATCACCAGTTTCTCGCCCGTATCGAAGCGGACCTACAGACTGTAAACCAGGGATGCGGCAGAGCTCCAGTTGCATGGCAAAGCTGGGGCAAGATATAGACTGGGTATGCTTGCTGAGTGCGTAGACAAAGAGCAGCCCAACAAAAGGCCTTCGCAGTCATATTATTCTGGGAAACTGTCGGGCTTTGAAAATCGCCGAGCTCAGGACTGTATGCGCCGCTTCACCTGCCGACAATCTAGGCATGACAGTGCGTACTCCTCCGACGCACGACGCATCTAAGGCGAAACCCGAATGACCGTGAGAGCTTTTACACTGTAATGCAGATCCCACATGACCCGAACTAACAAGACGATCTGCGTTGTGTAAAACGGCAGTGCAAAGTGGGATTCGGATGCACTGACGACGGAGTCCTCGCTGCTTTGAACCACAGTACGCCATCCTCGACGTGGTAGCGCTTCACCCTTTTGCCATCCGGATTTTTGCTAGTAGAATCGGATGCACTGGTGTCAAAAACATAATGCGCATTCAATGTCGATAGTAGCCGTGAATCATAACAAACAGGAGCGATCTCGCCGCAAAGCACCCAGTCGCTGGGCGTGGGCACCACATTGGCGATGCTCTTTATACATTTCGTTGTGATTGCGTGCTGCAAGAGGCGCCCAAGTTAGCGTACAACTGTAGGCTTATCAAGGTCTTCAAAGTTCCAAAAGCTCTTCGCGAGGTATAATAAGGGCTGATGGTCTGGATCCATATAATAATGCCGGCACTTTTATCGCCCCCCCACACCGCATAGAAATCCTTGTCCCCAGAGTATAAAAGGATGCTGGGTTTTGTTGGGTCGAGAAGAATACACAGCAATAGTTCGGAGTTGTGGGGAGCCTGTTGCCGGTGGAAGCGAATAGCACACACCAATTCATCAGTAGTATGAGATGTCGGGAAGAAACGACGCTCATCGTTGGGCAGTGCCAGTGGAGGAATGGTAAGGCCAGGGGTGAGCGTCCTTCCTGCGCACTGGCATCCTCGGTCCAAGTCAGAGTCTGCGTTTTCCCAATGCAAAGCAGTCATGAGGGAACCGCTCCAAACAAACCGAGGATTGAAACTACGGTCAAAAGATGGAAGCCCATAGAAGTTCAGACCTTCCTTGCAAGTGCTTACAGGTAAGGGCCACGCCTTGATTGCCCCAATTTTTGTGAAGCTGGCGCATTTGCAGCAACGGAAACACGAAATACCACAAACACAGTAGACAGTTACAGTCGTTCTCGTTAATAACGAGCACTTTTGTGCCTTCACATACCACTTTTTGTCCCACACCAGCTGACGCGCAAGCGGTAGATGCTCTAGAACGTATCGGCTGAGGGCTAAGGCATGGCCCATGCAGACAGCAATGTAGCCACCTTCGACATGCTCAAAAAGAGCGATTGCCTTTGCCGTTGTAGTTTGGCTAGGGCATCAGCAAGTTTAGACGGCATACAAATGTACTTGAATTTGGGAGTATGAGGATGAAACGCCGTTTTGTGTCTATCATCGGAGAGAATGGGGATTTAAAGGGAAGGTTTTTATGAAGCCAACTGTCAATCAGACTGATGCCTCGTGAGGTTTGTCACGTAATTCGCCAATGAGGCATCAGGAAGTTCTGTTGCGCATTGAGAGGCTTACGGCTCAAGAACATCCTCCACCTTGCAACCGTCGTTGCCACCAGCAACGAGATGTGCCCCGAGGCGCTGGTCGACACCCGAATGTTGCCATTTTAAACAAATCATCCCCTTGCGTCTCCACCTCTTTATGCTGTGAGGGCTTCCAACATCGCGGAACAGAGCTAGAAACTGACCCAAGGATTAGCTAAATACGCTGCGCTGGACGACCACAACTTGGCCAGCATACTGGCAGAACGTCGCTATTCAGAACTTCCGCAAGCCCTTCCTGAAAGCTGCCCATTCGGGCTTTTCCTCGGCTGAACAGTTCTATCGAGTTCTCTGATAATGAGCTGTTTGGAGCGCCACTTAGATTGGGTGCACGCTCATGACTGTCTTTTCTTATTGCTCTGCTGAGCCGCTCGTATAGACTGTGGCTCGCTTTGTTGAGATACCGAATCTACCTTGTAGGAAGGCATTGCCTGTAGTAGTTTCCATGATCAGTTGACTCCTTTTGCGTGCAAAGAGTCACAGTTTAAGCGCCTTTCTTCCTAATACACAAGCTTTGAAAAGTATAGCAAGCTATATCTTCAACCGGTTGATTAAATCTTCGAGTGATGGCCATCCCTAAGGCCCGCACACTTTTCTGGTCAGTATAACTGCATCCACATATCCAGACAAGTTACTGGCTTACAAATTCTGGCTGTCAAAAAGCTCTGGAGCTACTGTATCCACATTAGCTTGCAAATAGGCCTCTGCCGCCCAAGTAGGCGTGGTGCCACCTTCAAATTTCATCGCCTGAGAGCTTCTCCTTTCTCCTCTGTTGCCGAGGTGAATCAAACTATCCATTTACCAAACGATTCATCAAAGCCAGACATTATTATGGGGGAAAGCCGACACGCCACTGCATCCACAGCCAATGGATGCAAGGGCAACGGCTGCATCGAACTATACGGTCGTGCCCGCTGTAACGCTTTATCGAAGGTCTCTGAAAACTAAATGCCGGCTCAATGCACACGCTACAGAAAGTTATTGAGTGCTCTTTAGACGAAATGCTGCCCTCTCTTGCTCCCGCTTCTCAGAGGTAGGGACCGCATTGCTACATCCTCTAGGCACTCCGAACATTCACAGCTACCTGTACATAGCTTCTACCAGACACGCAAAAAGAGCTGCGTCTTCTTATATCGAGCCAACAGTTCACTGCAGTAGTGTAATATGAGGAAAAGCAACTCAACTACTCTATTGCTTACTAGCATCTAATTGATATATTTGGTGCGTTGACAATGTTTCCGTGCAGTTTAGCTCGCTACATTAATCGCCTTATCAGACATGATGCCAGCTGCCTAGGGGTGCAACATTTCTTGGCCGTGCCTCGAACTTGGCCAAGAGGGTGATGCGCAGCAATGAGTCTTTATATACAAATGCTGGCTGATATGCAATTTACCTGCTGTTGTGCAAATGCCAAACTATGAGCTCGTAATTTTAGTGGATGTAGTGGTGCACTTGCGAAAACTACGGCAGCCCAAAAAACAAACCAGCAGTCAAACAAGCATGCAAGAGTGTGCTGTAGTGCGTCTATACGTTCTACAAACTTATGAGGCGGCTACATAGCCTGCCACACTCACAGGATTCTTTACTTAGAGTGCTGCTGGAAGCATGCCCAGGTTTCATCTTAACCATCAACGCAACTCCATAAAGCGCGATAGCGCACACAAGCACCCGGACATTTTGAGTTTCTTAAGTTTTAGTGAGAATCCCTCAAGTTTGCTGATGCTAATCCGGTAGTGGTGGATTGACGGCCAAGTAGCGTCTTCTTCCGTACTTCTAATTGGGCAGAGGAGGGCACCGCGTGGGCGTCGTTTGAAAATTCTGCATTGCTACACCGATGTGAAGGGAAGCGTGGCGGTGGGAAACCCGTCCGCACGCAGCGTTACAGGCTCCGGAGTGGACCTGTTCCGACTGTAGGGTCTCCTCAAGGCAGCTTTATCCGGTAGTCAACACTCTACCTAAACCCTTCTTTTCGCACAAGCTCCCAAACTCGTTATGAGCATAAACACCTGTCAACAAAGACGACCAGCACCTTACAGATTTGTGCGCCTAGAGTTACACACACTCTTTCGATCCATGTGCAGTGGCCTCAGCTCAGTTTCACGGCGAATCGCATTGTAGCTAGTAAGCATTGTGCTGCCTGAAGACGAGGAGCGAAATGAAACACGACGTTGGATTTACGCGAGGACACTGGTACAGAGTGGCTCCCTTTCCGAATCGTTAAGCTAAATACGTGATAGGGTACTGATCATCTGTACATAACCCCAAAGGCTTTATTAACGCTTGCCCGTTGCACCGTAGCAAAATATGGGTCAAAAAGATCGGGCACATAAGTTTAAAATCTTCTGTACTCCATCATAGAAATTTGTGGTGTGAGCTGAGAATCAGCATGCAGAGGGCAACAGCTTTGCAATCTTAAGCTAACCCTAGAGTTGTATTGCCTTGTTTTTTTCTATGGGGGATAAAGGCTTTCTAAGTACGGACATGGATACAATGTGCACATTGGACCAGCCGAATAGAGATCTTTAGAAAGATAATTGGCAGTCTTTTGCTCTGAAAGAAGCTTTTAGAATATAGCTGATGGTGCAGAATTTACTATAGCTAGGTACTCTAGAATGGACTAAGCAGATGCGTGAACGCAATTTGAGGAAGGCTAGGTTTGCCGGATGGCAACGCGAGCCCTGTCTTACCGCAGGTGGTCTGCTGAGTGCCAAAAACAAATTACACACGAGCACATAGAATACTAGCCACTAATTTACTTCCTACACTATGGTAGCATATACTAATATGCAACGTACATGTTCAATCTAGACGGGGTGTACTATGTAATGCGCTGTGAGTAACTCTGATGGTGTGCCTATTGAAGTGGAAAGCACTAAGAAGCACTGCGGTCATTTCAAAAAAGCAATGGTTGCACCGCATGTGGTAGAACACAGTATTCAGAAGAGTCCCTTGAAACGTATGGCAAAGAAGCCTCTCACTTGGGAAAAAGCACGCGACACGGTCTCGCCACATGTTTTGCAGTGACTTCGTGAAGCAGCGGCGTGGCTGTCATCTATTCGCCGCACGGCTACGTGAGCGTGTAATGACCCTCCTTAAACCTTTGCTCCGGGAAGAAAGCAGCACATACCACACGAGTCTGGTCAAATCGACGCCCGTTCAGCATGAGTTGTGCCTTTCTGGCAGATGTCACGTCTCCGTAAACCAAAAAGACCTGAAGTTCACATAGCCGGGCACATGGTCTGGACAAATACTGCAACTATCTCAGAGACACAACGCAACTCCTGCAAACCTTGAATAGATAATGTTTCACGAACATGGCAATGCCACAACGTCGAAACGAGAAGCATATCGGCCTACCTTTCCCACTCCAGGCTTGTATGACAAGTCTTGATTTGGTCTCGGAATGACAACTTCTTCTAGAGGCCCATACTTTTCTGCCTCTAAGCGAATGTCTTTAAGAGCTGCCTCATAGCTCGAGTCCGTCATCTGCAGTCGTGCAACACATACGAGCTCGGCCAAAGCCTGTCCTCAGACAGGCATTGAACTGCACTAGGCAGCAAACCACTGAGATTCAAAGACCTTTATCGGCTTCACAACTGATCAGCAGATCCTGCGTACCAAGTCTTCCTGGTAAATTGTATTGAGCAACTGCACAATGCGTGAGGGCTTCTCGCCGATAGTTCGGCCTGCGCGAACCTGCGATGAGAGATTTGCCACATCAAGACAGCTGTCTCAATCTAAGTGCTCTAAACTCCTAGCCTCGATCAATCCACTCTTTTGATGATGAACTGAGAGGGCCCACAGGCACCCCGAGACCAGTGAAGGCTGCCTCCTGTGGATCCGCTAGGTTGAATCCGGCGTAGTAAAGCCGGAGTGTTCAATGATACATAATATGGTGCAATGAGAAGCATGCACAGAACCAACCTGGATAGCAACGAGAGGATCTGCGAGGACCGCATAGGAGGTCGAGGACGGGAGTGCTGTGACCTCCGTAGTGTGCTGTTTGGTGGGCAGCAAGTCGGGCATAAAGTTGGAGCGCTGGACACTCAGCACGCTGGCGCCGCATACGAATCCGTTCAAGGCCTGAAATACAAATACAAGCAGCAACGCAAGCCAAAAACCTATGGACTAAACACAATCAACAGAACGACGCTCCAAACTGCTAAAACTTCCGCGCTGTTGCTCAGCTGCACCTTAACGCACTTCTATGGCCTGGTCCGTTACATCTGGATCTTCATACTCGAAAAAGCCGTAACCCCGGTGCTTCCCTGTTTGTCTGTTCTTGATCAAGTTAAGTACTCTAAGTTTGCCGAATTGCTCGAATAAGTCGCGCACCTGAGCAACATGCAAAACAACCCCAAGCTAGGACATAGTTCGCTCAGCCCTACTCATACTCTCCTTGGACCGACACTTAGGTCATTTCCAAAATACGCCGAGCCTCTGTGGGGACCTACAAAAAGCTGGAAAGTTCCAGCCTCCCACGGAACTGCTTACGCTCACCTGATCCTCCCCCATTTCTTGAGGCAAATTCTGGACGTACAGCTTGCAGTCTGCACTCCGCGGTGGCGCCGAAGCGCGAACTTCGTTTGTTTCGGGTCTGCAAAGCGGATTCCCACGAAGAAAAAAATCCAAAGTAGTGAACCCTGGCCTCCCTCCCCCCGCTTACGAGTCTCAGCGATGAACGTCACCTTTCGAGACCTCCAAAGGGTTGGAATGCAATTGCAAGGAACATGAGAACCGACTGACCCGAGCAGAATCACCCTACACTCAGGAAGAAAAAGCTCCGAAGTCTTACTTGGGCAATCTTTCTAGCTCGGGTATGTGTGCTGCCTTTGCAGGGTCGCCACCAGGCGGTTGTACGTAGTCCTTTGGCCGCAGCACTTTGAGGGAGTTGTTGTTAAAAGTTATCCCTGACACACACGTCGAAGCGCAGCAGCCAGCAGCCAACGCATTGCAGCCCCCTGATGTTAGCTGCAGCCGACTGGCAGATGCCACAAGTCCAAACGCAGACTTTCGCTATTCCGTGAGGCACGCAAACACACACCGACGCACCGTCCAGTTTCAAGCAGAGGGTGACCCAGTCATGAGACCGTAGCTCGAGAAAGCAGTAGCGGCTGTTCTCTTGAAGGCCCTCACACCTTTCTACTGGGAGCAGCTGAGGCTTGTCGCTCGCTACAGCCAGGTCTGCAAAGCCGGTCTGTGCGTTGACTGCAAGCAAGGCGCCGTTAAAGAACCCGCAGATGTCTGCCTGCGTGGTCCCTGAGGCGAAAATACAGAAAAGACTCGCAAGAGCCTGCATATCGCTCCTTCCTCCATACATGCGGAACCGAGCGGCGGAGCCTGAGCTGCAGCACGCCAAGTGCCGAAGCAGCAAGACGCTTGTGAATCGTGTGTGTACTCTGAACCGTTCTTCAAGCGACCTCTTAACGCGAGTCAGCAGCCATGGGGCCAAAGAATCTAAGCAAGGAGGCTCACCGGGAGGAATGTTGCTGATAAATAGCCGACGAGCGTTCCGATCTGTATCAGCATGGCTGGGGGTGCGCAACGCAGCTGGCGAAGGTTGCCCTTGAGGAAGAGTTCCCATGGAGGCTCCACATGGACCGCTGCTCGCTTCTCCTAAAGCAGAAGGAGGCGGGGGGGAGGAAGGAGGTGGAGGCTGGAAAATTGCGTTGAGACTTTGCGCTAGCTTGCTGCGCGCATCTACTGCAGCTGCTGCAGCGGCAGCTGCGTCTTGGCCAGACATCATGGGCGCATAGGTCGTAGGAACCTTGCTGGCTGCCGGCACGATCCGAGTGAGTGTCGCCTTCGCATCATCTTCTGTTGCCTTTCGAGCTGCAGCAGCGCGGGCCGCTGCTGCTGCTGCTGCTGCTGCAACGGCTGAAGAGTCCGATCCGCCCTCTCCATCCCCTCTGAGTTCGCCGCCTCGGCGTGCCTCATTGCTCCGAGACCTGAACAGTATGCGCACATTGCAGAACATTCGTAGATTCGAAGGCGCTGATGGGGTGCCAGTCTGATGCGCAGACTGCTGCGGCATGAGCCATCAGGCGAGCCGGCAAAAACCACTTCGAGTGTCTGGAGCCTGGTGGAGCACTGGAAAGATGAGAGTGGATTCCCTATGAGAGCGTCAAAATCGGAGTGCAGGTAGGGTATAGAGGCAGCTGAAAGTAAGCTACATCATCACTGACTAGCGGCTAAGACTATGTAGGTTGACCGACCGACTCCGACTCTTCTCGGGGCCATTGTCGCTCGCCGCCTGTGGCGGCATTCTCCTAGTGTCGTACTGCTTGCTAGGAATATGATACAAATGGGATGTAGGCGGCTGTTCGTACTGCGGAATCGACGAGGCAGTGCCAGTTGCCTCCTGCTTATAACTAGGCCAAAGCTTCTTGAGCTCCTGAAAGTATGAGTAAGCGCCAGTCACGTGTTCTTCAAAAGGGAATTCAGGCACTCAAGTGGGGCTTGCGACATAAGAAAAAGGAGGTGGATGCGGCCAGGGGGGCAGGCATTAAATTTCGTACAGCAAAGCCCAATTGTACGAAGGCACTAATTCTCTCCCCAAAGAAAGGCAGCTCCAAGCAAAGAAACATATTTCAAGAATATCTAAACTGAAGAAAACAGACCCACGGACTAGAAAAGGAAACAGTAACGAGATGCTTTCTTGAACCTTGAGCATGCAGCCCCATCTGCCACTCCAGCGTCAGTGGTTCGGCGGAAAGGACTGATGATGCCTTTACAATGTTGTTATGCCATGTTTCTAGCACCACAGCTTTCATCCTTCCTAGGCTACGCGAGTAGAAGGTACCCCAACTTCGTCATCCTGAAATGCTGCCTCTTGTCCAGCGAAAGAAGTTTTAGCAGAAGGTGCAGAGTGCGTGTAACTAACTTATTAACTATTTTGGAGGCGGGACACGTTCCTGATAGGCTGCTAGTATTTCAATGTTGGACTGTGCCTTATAACTAAGGTGTATTGAATAAATACTGATCGCAGCACAGTTTGTGGCATGGCAGCGGACTTCCAGCTAGCATGCGTTGGCTACACACTCATTCAGGCTTATTGCAAAAGGGTCCATGAGCTGCCTCTCGGGGGGAACAAAAGCAAGCTAATACCGGCAGTTGCTTTCACAGTTTTGGAAGAATACGACCCATATTTTCGCAGAGGTATTCCACAAATGGCGTTTGATCCTGTGGTTGTGAAGCTCGTAGTGCCTTGTTAGATTATAGAACCATCCTAACATGTCAATGTACTGCGATGCACGCCAAAGTGGGGAGACCTTATGCGCCTGGGCTGAATCAGTGCAGGTGCCCCGCAGCCCTAATTCGGTACGGTAAGGCTTGCCAGGCATGTGGCACTAAATGCCGTACAGAGTATGGTCCACTAATCCAAAAGCAATAAAACATGACATGTAAGGTGTTCAGAGGCTGTAGTTTCTTCGATTGATTCATCGGAGCCGCGCGTCCCGTGTGGCAATTGTGTCGCTTGGTAAAGAAAGCCCCTATCCCAAGACGGCACACTAGTGCTGCTGTGCATTGAGTGGCTCGGGTGCGCATGGAATATACCATGTGAAAGAAGTCGTTGGACCATTATTCGGATCCGCTATCGCCGGTCGATTCACCTTCCGTTGACGCTTCTGTCTCATCGCTTGACATTTCCTCCTCACTAGTAGTGGTGTCTTCGCTGCCGCTTGAAAGTTCTGTATCACCGTTAACTACCTGAATGCGCTCTCCATGAGAAACTGCTGTAGAGCTTGGTACTGCGGCTCTACTAACATGGATATTTTGAAGGTCCATAGAGGAAGCACTGGAATTCGTGAGACGAGCTGTAGAATTTTCTGCCGAGGAATCTGTCAAGCCTGATGATGTCTTTGCTACAGCTGTCTTTTCCAAATCGCCTGCCGCAGGAGCCAGACCTGGCTTACTCAAATCTCCGTGTGGGTCGTCCCCACGGAGTTTCTTCTTGGGAAGCGGTGTTTCGGCATCTCGCTCCTGTGGAAACAGCAACACGTAGAGGCAGGCCGGCTTCGGTTTCTGTTGTGGCAGAGACAGAGACGATAATAAAATCTTAGAAGTACTGTTCCCAAGCCAAGGAAGAAATCCATTAAGCAAGAGCCGTTTTATGTCTCCTGAGAAAAGCATTAGTTCTCAACCCCGCTATGTGACTGGAAGTGCTCACTGCAGGACGATAATTAAAACACGGCGGATCGGAAACCTATGCCTAGAGGTTAAAAGACAAGCAAGCTATGAAAGAACTAAGAGGAAAAACCATTGGGCTCTAGAAGCACCTTGTTTAACGCTCGCATTTCTTCAGCCTCTTTGTTGAATTCGACTCTACATGACATGGCGAATGAAACAGGCTGGAAATATTCTAACGCATCTTCGAGGGACATAGGCTTCTTCGCGCCTGTAGATCCGTTTGTTTCAGGCCCCTCACGGCTAGAGACATCTACTTGAGCAGCCTCAATCGCTTTAAGCAACATTGTATCGGGGATTGTCGTCAAATCCGCGTGGTGTGCCCATGTAAGAAGGTCTGAACAGACGACATACACGCTGCAGTACCCCGATACAACCGCACACTTGGCATGCCGTATGTGTTCTGGCGCAGACAAGTGACATGCTTGCAACGTCACGGGTAGAAATGCACAGCTATTAATCACTTTAAAATCACCAACAGTTCCGGCTCAACGCCGAAGTCTCCAGAAAAGGCATATCGGATCGGTATTTCACACAAGGGGCCTCGAGCAAGCATCGATTCAGGGATACCAAGAGGAGAGCTCTGCACATCAGGGTTTGTCTAGTGCCTAAGCTCCATAGTGAATATTGCACATGCTATGAAATGCCATACCATCTTCCTCGAAACCTTCTACTAGCTGTGGAACCATTCCTAGCAGTTCACCATCCTTCCCTGCACAAATGCGCTTCCGCAGATTACCTCTGTAAACCAAGTACACGCCTCAGGGGGCTTACGAGCGACCGCCTGGAAGGGTGCAGAAGCGTAAGAAACGAAGGTTTAACGCGATCGTGTTTTCGGCAAAAAGGTAGCACAGTGCTGCTCTATGTGAGTTCCAGCATTGGCAGTGGCAACGGTAGCGGATAGGGCGCAGAGGCTCACGTTTACAGCGCTGGCAATCCAGCATGTCGTGCGTGTCTGAGCGCGTTTCGCGGAGTTGAAACAAATCCTTCACCAAATCAGTCGACAGCCTGAAATACAAGGTGCAAACACTGCATGACCATGAGGTGCTGTGATGGTGAGGGATCAAAACGGAAAGCTGGATAGCAGATAGTGACGGGGAGGCCAAGAGCCAGAGGCCTTTGGGTGTTTGTGGGTGGGGTTGCGTACGAGTCCTTTATTTGATTTTCTCCCTCACTAACCAGCATGGCACTCAGACCATCCTTGCAGATTTGCCTCTGCGAGCATTGCTCACCAGGCAGCACATAGGGTATCTCACTCCGATCAGGCACGCACAAAAACTCGCCAGCGATTGAGGACAGAAAAGCATCAGAAAGCTGCGTAAACCAGATCAAATTTTACCTGGTAGATTTTCTCTTCAATAGTCCCTGTGCTGAACATCCGATAAATATAGCACGTCTTTTTTTGACCATCTCTCCAGACGCGCGCAAGAGCCTTGCAACACAGCCAAGCACACAAGGACTACAGATGTGCAAGACCTGCACCAATAAAAGCTTTCTTTCGGTGAGAGCGCAAGGCACTGCAATGTAGACGCTACAAGTCTGAAGTGCGAAGGACGCATGGAGTCCACCATCTCTCCTTGCAGAACTCAGCTTCGCACTTGTTTGTCATTAGCGGGGTTCCAGTCAGGGTCAAACAGGACGAGACGGTTCGCGCCCACCAGATTGACACCGCAACCTCCTGCTTTACTGCTAAGCAAAAATGCGAAGCTTGTAGCTGCTGAGCCGTTGGGGTCATTGAACTTCTGCAGGCACAACGGTGCAAAATCTGCGAGAAGAGCAGACCCTGCGTTTTTGCCGGAAGGCACATACAGAGTGCGAGCCTGAAAGATCCCCTTGCAATCGATTGCAGCACCCCACCCTCACTCAAAGGAAGTGTGCACCGCAGGAAGCTCATTTGGACAAGCCTTCACAGGTGGCCGACGTAGACCTCACCGTGATGAGGTCGTGTCGCTTCTTTATCGATGTAGAGCCGTCAAGACGAACACACGGATACCCCGAGTCTTTGCAGAGGCGTTCAAACAGGTCTAGGGTCTGCGTGTAGTTACTTATCAGCACAACTTTGTCGCTCGTGTTCACACGAATGGCATGGAGGAGCCTGTCAAATCAAACACAGGAGAACGGACTATCTGGCTCATGCCCCACCACGGCTGCCGACAGCAGCATCAAAATCCAAGAGCAGCACGATTGCGTGCACATACCCGGCAAGGGCAAGATTGGGCAGACACACACACTTTGCCTGTACAAGCAAATAATCTGGCACAGCAGTAGCTGCGGGGAACATGCTGCTCATCATGGAAAACTGCAAGTAGTACTACCACCAGCTGCAGAAGAAGTATCAATGGGATTTTTAAAAGAAGTGAAGTGTAAAACGTAGACGCAGAGACTTGCCTCGCAAGCACCAGCATCTTTCCCGACACGTCTGGCCGGATCGACCGAATTCGTGTCTTCGTGCCCTCGAGATCGAGCTGTTCAAAAAGCTCTGCACACTTTTCAAACCCCTGCAGGTAAATCAGAAAACGCTTGGCACGCATAGCGATAGATAGTGAGCTTGGCCTCAGCAACGGGTGGCCCAATGCCGAAAATCCTAAAAAAACTGTGGCTGAAAAGCACAGAAACAGTGGGGTAGCCCTCTAGACAAACACGAGGGCGGAAGACATGCAGGCTAACAAGCGAGTAGGTCAAAACCAAAAAGGATAGTAAGGCACCATGCCGCATCTACAGTGCATCGAAAGGCGAATCGACCACCGATTCTGGTGCCCTTACTGTGAGCGCCATACCGTCAAGAGCAGCGACTGGTTCTTCACAAGCATCGGGTGATTGCAAAGCTTCATGAGCCCCTGAATGGACGAGAGGACCTTTCCGGTGAGTCCTGAAGAGCCGCTTGCATCGCCATCGAGGAGCTTGCGGCAGCTGAACAACAGCACACACAAATCTGGTGGGTCGGAGCTGTCTGACAGGAGAGCCACCAGTGCCGCCGACGAGCTCAGTGGAGACACTCAAGCGGAAGGCTGCATTGGGGGATAGAGCAATGAGTAGGCATCAACATACACATACACGTAGACACACGTACACAGAGAGATTGCTGCTGGATGCGAAGATATATTGCCCTTCGGGTGTTCTCACCACTTGGATTTGAGAAATTCCTGGTAAAAGGCAACTTGTAGAGGGGAGAGGTTGCAGAAGAGGTTCTGTTCGAGACAAAGACTCGCACGAAGCAGCGGCGGTCTGTGGTGGTGCTCTTACTGAGAGACGAAAAATGCCTTAAGGGTTCTGTCGGGCAGCGCGTATGCTAAGACTTCTTGGGACACACGCGCATGCAGCACCACCTAAGACTCACAATGATGATTTTGGGGGGCAACACTTTTGCAAGCAGGGCGTTGGTGCGCCGAAGAATAAACATATTCGTGATAGAGGACAATTCAGCCAGTCTTTCCGCTGCCAGTTCCTGTTCAGCCTCTGTAGCGCCTGGCTCCCTTCCCACGAGAATAGGCGTTGCATATCTTCTACGAAAGGTGTATGCGTCTCCTGAGGAAGAGTGCAGTCCATACGGCACATGAACAGATCTCACATGCCACACACTGGCGAGCCTACAGCGGAATGCGGGTCTGATAGAGCCTTTGCGTTCGCTTCCATATGCGTCTCGTCTACGTACTTTAAATCGCAGTCTGTGGTTAAGAGTGAAATGCGACGCAAGATAGGCAAGTTTCAGCTCTGCAGAAGCGCACAAAGATCCTGATGGGGCACTTACCAACGACATTCGGATTGCAGAGCGATACGAGAGCATAAAACTCGTCAAGGTCATTCTGTATTGGCGTGCCGCTCAGCAGAAGGCGCTTTTTCGCGGGGAGCTGGCTGATCGCTACAGCCGTCTTTGTCTTGTCGTTCTTCAGGCGATGGGCCTCATCGCATATAACCAGATCTATCGGAACGGATGCCACCCGATGCGCATGCGCTCTGAACGTCTCGTAACTTGCAATAAGAACACGGGACTGCAAGCACACCCACTTACACCTTTGAATACAGGCGTATACACACGGCTATACACACATTCACACACAGACATATACTCATGGGCATATGCACGAACAGGGAAGCTCGCCAACATTGGTAGCAACCCAGCACACATGCGGTAAACGGCTGGAACCGCCCGCACATTGCCTTTGGTAGCCGCCTCTCTATGCACATGCATCATGGCACGGACACACTCGACTCCAGGTTTACAGTCGCTCGCAAGACAGAAAGCAGCAGGCTCAGGAGAGGTGAGTGCAACTCTTCCGTGTTGAGGCTCATGCGCGGTCTTCCCCCTGTAGGCCTCTACCGTAGCAGCAGCACGGGCGCCTCGATCTCTAAACTTGCGTGTAGGCTCTAAATGCCAAAAACGCCAGAGCAAAGCTAGCTAGCTGCACAGGAGGCACAGGCCTAACCGGGTTTCGCGTTACTACTACTGGAGATCACATGCCTGCCGATCATATTTGAAGCCCTCAAACTTGGACACGACTTTGTCTTTGCAGCTATCCGCCACTGCAGTGCACGGGCATCGGCCCTGTAGCCACTTCTGCAATTCCGCTGCCCAGTTGTTAACCAGAGACGCCGGGCACACAACGAGAGCCCTCCTCGCCGCTGAACCCCTAGCGCATCGCACACTACTACAATGAGCAGCTCCCCCCACCCTGTTGGGAGGCAAGGCCTCTCTGCCACCGACTCTCGAGGACGAAGCGTGTGACTCTGCTCATGGGCGTTTGCCAGCAGCGCCCGAGGCACATGCGAATGCAGTTGCTGCCGCTCTGCGCGCTTACCTGGTGCCGTGTCGATGCCCTGTACCAAAAGAGTCCAGAGGACCGTGATGCTCTGCAACGTCTTCCCAAGACCCATGTCGTCTGCCAGAATGCATCCGTAGCCGTCGAAGTCTCTAAGGCCCATGAGGCAGTCGAACACGAAGCGTACGCCTTGCCTTTGATGTTCACGGAGCCACCTGGGAAACAAACAACAAGACAGCTCCCGTCTTCCACTGCGCTTCGCTCCTCGCGAGCGCTGTATATTGTGGGTGCTGCAGGGGGGGCAGCGGCAGGCCCGCCGAGCATTCCATTCGCACACATTCCTGGACGCAATGAGTGTAGCGCCGGAGCAGCAGGGGGAACATTCCTGAAGGCTCCGCTGCCCCACAGAAACACAACGCTGCAGAAGAAGCTGGCCCACCTTGTCAGCATGGGGTCCACCTCAACTTTGCGTTCGCCATCTTTCTGAGGCTCGTAAAGAATGAGGGGTTCGTATGGTGCGGCATCCGAAGCCGCTGCAGACGTTAGAGGAGGTGGACTCTTGAATTGCTTGGCGCCAGTCAGGAAGCACGAGGAGCGCTTTAAACGAACTCCTAGCGTCTTGCGAAGGCTCTCCTCGCTGCATCCTGCAACGCGGCAGTAACACTCAGGCACACAGGAACCCCACCGTATATGGAAATGCTACAGCACTCTAAAGCCAGTTTCTGGAGCTATTAGGCTTAAATCACTCTCCACAAGCGCGCGCGTTTCGGAAACAAGTAATTGCGGTTTGAATTTGAACGGAACAGCTTAAGCAGATGACACAAGAAAGCAGCCTTGCCTGGCAAATGGCCCTTCAGCGGACTTTTAAATGGTCGAAAAAGAATGGACGCCCCAGCTTCGACTGTCAGGAGAGGCATAAGAGGAGCCCGCACGAGGCAGAGAGCCACTCCACTGGATTCGGCTCCTCCATCGCCACCCTCCCTGCCCACAAGCTCACAGGCAGGAGCACACTCCATACTTAGCTTCTGACTTGGAGACCCTTGCCGTCGGGTACTCCAGGAGTTGCGCTTCTTTTCTGTTTATGAAAAAAAGTGGTAAGGGGGGAAGGGGGTGCTACTGGGGTAGGTTTTTACTGGGGGCGGCGGGTGGGAATGCGCCTCATCCTCCTGGGGGTTTGCCCTGGGGGGCTTAAGGGGCCTCCTTTCGTTGAGCGCTGCTCGAAGAGTTTTTCGCAGCGATGTTGTGCCGGCAGTGCCTAGGCGACTCTCCTGGAGTCAGCAAGCGGAGATGGAATGCTTGCCAAGGGCGACTTCATTGGAAGGACGAAGCACCGAAGTTAAGGGCAGCCCCCAAGTTCGACCAGCGAAGCACCCAGCCTGAAGCATCGAAAGGACGCCAACTCAGATGCTTCTAAAGACCTGCTGGCTGTATCACGTGGATCCTATCTGGGGGCGCTTGCTTCGAGAAAATCCTGAAACGAGACCGACTTTCCATGCATATGGTAGGCAGGGGGAGGAAGAGGCCAGGTTCTGCATGGCTTCGTGCGTCCTCCGACTCGGCAGCCTCTTGTGAGTTCGTTGGTAATAATCGCGCCACCTCGCCTTCTGGCTTAAAGGCAGAAGATTCCCGAGAACTAATAGTGGGAGCCACGCGCCAGGAGAATTGCCAGTCGTGCTGCTGGTTTTAACACGTGGGGCAGGATGAGAGTTGCTATATTGGCTAGAGCTTCACTACAGGTGGTCCAACAGGGCTTGCGATTGAGCAAACGCGTCGGAACCAAAGCCCTTGACCAGAAAGCCTTGGGCTGTCGTAAAGTGGTGGGTGGTGAACCAGCCAACGACCCCACAACTTCAGCCGGGCATACAAGCCCAGTAAGTCAAAATTACTTTTAAAATCGGTGTAAGGCACTATTTACTTATTCTTTCAACGCCATCGAGTGGTGCACACCACAGGTCGCCGTTGATTTCACCCAGGCAATCGCGCCGCCGAGCAAGCGAAGGGCTTAGAAGGAGCCCAAAACGCCAGATCGCCCTGCTGCCGTCGAAGATGCCTTCCCATGACAAATCAAATCACCACTCACGGCACGGAAGGCATCATTAAGTACATCACTCGCAGACAGGCCTAGGATATTGTCTAGTTAAAGCATTGTCTGCGGCTTGCAGGATACGCGAGTTCAGAGATGGCCCGATCTCAGTTCCACACACCGAGCCCATTCAAAAGGTCCCAATGACAGACTCCTCGCTGCCATAGATGGCCGCAGTATGTGTCGTGAAGAACTCAGCAAAAGTAGCCGGACAAGCATTTTCGCGCGCCGTCACAGTAGACCCAAGACACCCTTCGGCCCCCGGCCGGCTCACATGACTCACTCAGCAAGACTCTGAAAGCCTGAAATAGTTGGACAGCACCACTTGCCATCTAGCTTGCCGCATGTATTAGTACAAGGGTATAACGAATATATGTACCCCTCGGAAATACGATTGGGCTGAAGGCTACATCTTGTCCCTCTCCAACTAAGGTCTCGTAGGGAGACACGTATACCCAGAATCTTTACACACTTTACAGAGAGTTTTGGGGTGGTCCTAAGAAAAACTCCTGCCCTCCTCTTTCGGTGTTTCTCAGACTTCTCGCCATTAGAGGAAAGAGGGCTACTTTGGATGCACGTAGTTGTTGCGCTTCGCACTACAAGCATTCACAGCAGTTGGGAATGGCATCTAGCGCAGCCACCCAGCGCACACAACTTTGCGTCTACTTTCAATCTAGCTAAGGTTACTTCCAACAAGTACAATATACGATCAATCAAATCGTCCTGCCATTTTCGGTATTTCCCAGTAAACATAACTAATGTAGTAGATTTAGCCGAAGTGTAACTCAGGCCGCAACACTATCCCTCCATGTGCCTCCTACACGGAGCTAATCTTCCGGATGTAGCAACTGCATCATGGAGAAAAAGGCAATGAATCATGCCTTGAATTGCTGCGACAGTTGCAAGGCCGTCCGTCGAAGATATCGACTTCACCACGTTCCCCTTCAGCTAAGACATCTAGCTCCACCTACACAAATACCAAAGGCTCCTAGTACCAGCATGCAAAACTAAGCTGCAATATTGAACGGAATGTGCTGGTAGTTCACAAGAATGCGAAAATAGTCACTTTGGCGGCTTCTGGCCCCCCATCGCTGCACCATGGTCCTTGGCTGTCTAGTTTTCATGATAGTGGCAGCCTTCGGCCCCGAAGACCATGCGACCAGTCCACTGTTGTGCAGAAATAGAACCTATACACGTGTTGTGTCAATACCACTGAATAACATGAAGCGACGCGGGAGAAGCAACCCTTTATGCATGAAGATGTCGGCGCAAACATATACAACTTTCAGTAACTCTGCAGACGTGTACGGGCACATGCGGCAAACAGTCTCCTAGCTAGTTGGCGAGCGCCTATTTATAGCCGTTGCCAAAACCACCGGGATATTCCAAAACTCGGTTGTGAAAACTGAAGCACTACGCTTGCCGCAAGCAGCCAAGGCCTTGAAAGTGTCAACGCACAAGTTGGTCTACAGAGGAGGCCCGATGGGGCAACTGACCTTCACGAATACATCTGATTCGTTGTTGCTTCAGGCAGTTTTGCCTGCATGCCTGCAGCCATACGCTCACCCATGAACACACCAGCCTTCGCCATAAATACCGAAGGCCATCTAATATTTGCATATTGTTCACCTGGTTGTGGCGCACTAAACATGCTTTTAGGGAGCGCCTGTAGCCCAAAAGGCAACGCAGAAGTCCGAATGTATGCATACCATTGTGCGCTTCGGTAAGCCGGAGTTGACATGCCAAGCGAGACCTGCGGGAAACAGACTCGCTTGCGGCGTGTTTAGAGAGCTGCCCACTAATACGACATTCAGTGAGAAGAAAGGCAATGATAGGGTTTCCAACTGGAGGCCTAACAGTGGCCTACGTGGCTTCGCTTCCTGGGGCCACTTCCAGAAGATCCGTTTCTTCAACTTCTGCCTCTGGAAACTTCTCAAAGTCCTTTGGCTGCAATCGCAGCACCCCCGCCCCCCTCTTCGCCTCCAAAAGAAAGCAGCAGTGGCAATTCGTACGCAGCCGCAGCGTTACACGCGGGTGCTGCTTGCGACTATACCATGATGCTGGAAGGGCTCCCTTAACAGCAGGGTCGAGAAGTGGCGACTGTTGCTATGTGCGATGCCCTCCTTCCAGACACGAGCAACCAGATGGCGAGTGTTAGCCACTGTTCTAGAAGTTATTTCAAGGGACTCACACTGAGAATTACATGGCATGTGCTGCAGCCGCAACGCCCTCCGCAGGCCCCTTCCATATCGATTCCATTTTCGAATGCAACCGATAAAAGTGTTGTCCCCGGCTATAGGTCACACAGCACACGACGTTTGAGTCAATGAGTGGCTCACTAGCAACCCAGCAAAGTAGCCTTTTAGGGGAGCAAGTGCACTAGCTCGTTCGCTATCCGGCCCCATCCAGAAACAGGGACGCCTAGAATGGGTATTCGTTGGCGCGTCAAAATCGACACTGCATGAAGCTGGGCTATGTACTTCTGGGGAATGCAGCGCGGGAAGATGCATCGCTGCTTGTCCAGCCTACACGGTAAGAGCACGGCAGTTGCATCTTCTCGTCGGGGGAGACGAAAATGACGATAGACGGGGACTCTTGCTGCGCCTCAGCTTCAGAGGCAGCGCAAGGAGGGCGCTTCGCAGACTCTGTGACTTCCGTTTTGTGGGATGCGCAGCGCTGCTGTAAATAAGTCAACTTCAAAGGAGCACTTGCTGCCCCTGCTGGAAGAAGAAGCTGTGCCTCTCGACAGCTTCCAGTTTTGCAAAAGAAAGAAACCTGGAGGCTAAGGGCCCTCCTATATTGCGGTAGCCTTCCCAGCATCGCCCCAACTTTGGAGAAGGCTGTACACCTGCAGCCGAGGGGCCCTCGCTTGTGCGCTCCTCTTCTGCTGCCTTCGCAGAGCACAATCTGCACAGCCGCGATTGCCTCAGGCAAGAAACAGAGATGAAGAAGCTGGTAGAAATGCTGTGCGAGGTTTGTTCGGCGCCCAAAACAATAGGGCCTCAAGCACTCCTTACGTTGTACCCTGGTGTTGGAGCAGGCCTGCGCCTTCTGCTATAAAACCGCGGTAGCATCCCCTCCCACCAATGCAATGCCAAAATACGCGACGATGAGTTCCCAAATTCGCTCTAGAGAGAGGTGCTAGCAGCGGAACCTGAGCTGCGAGTCTCCTGCTTTCCCCGAAGGAGGGGACCCTTGCTCACATGCAGCATGCAAGGGCCCCCTCCGCCGATTGTCGAAGTCTCGATTAAGAAGCTATTCTATGCAGTCTAGCTCACCAGTATATCCCTTCATAGCTTTTTGATTTTCGCACTTGTTGGGTAGGACAACGCCTGTTCCTTCGCCTCGAAATGCTCTGAACCCCCACAATTCATCTCTCCAAGGCTTCCTGCGTGGAAGGCGGGGGGCCGGAACGGGGAAACAAACGAAGGAATGGGATTCGGAGGCTCTTCTAGGCGAATTTTCGGGGTCTGCAGCTCTCTTAAATGTAGAAAGCTTGGCCTCTTCAAAAGCTAGAGGCTCTTCCTGTGCGGGCATCGTTTGTGATCGGGGTTGGGGGTAGGCGGGCATCTTGAAACAATGTCTCCTCCGAAGCGGCGCAGACCAGGCTCTAGCAGGAGCACTATCCACAGAAGCCACAGCACCACGCGACTACCGTCTTGCCTGCGGAAGGAGCTGAAGGAGCTTGAGGACCCTAGCAGTGGGGTCGACTCGGGAGGGTCCTCATGCAGTAAGTCTTTTACGAATTACACGCTGCCTAGTAGCCTTCCTTGCCTAAATCCCACGCATTCGCATGGCACGACGCTTTCTGTAGAACCCCCTGATTCTTACATGGTGCCATTTCGCCGCTTTCTGGAATTACTGCAGTGTCGGATGCCGAGCAACAAGGACTTGGCCAGCAACAGCAACGCCAGCTGCCGCGCAAAGCACGGAGGAAGCTCCTGCGTGTGCAGCAGCGCCAGCAAAAGAAGGAGCACCAAAGGGTACGAAAGAGACAACGAATGGCGCAGTACGCGGAGGATTGTACCGGTACTCAACAGCCTAGTCCCGCCACACGGAAAGCCAAGGCGCCATCTCGGAAAGCCGAGGGGCTGAACAGGCAGGCTTGCTCATCAGAAGAGGAGGCTGGCTGGAGCAACGGCTCTGATGGTGACTACGAGACTTTTGGAGTGTCGCGAGATAGTGGCAGCATTGGTGCAGCAGCTGCAGCGCTTCAGCAGCAACAACAAGGGCAGCAACATGGCCCCGACTTATTGCAGCGTGAATTGAACATTTTAGAGAGGCGACTGGGCCTACGCAAAAGCGATAAGCAGAACATAGAGGCTTCACGCGCCAAGGCTCAAGCTAAGCTGCGAGAAGAGCTCAAAGGAGACGGCTTTGATTTGGAGCTGCAAGATATCCTGGATGATATTCTGGTACGACCTTCTTAACCCCTTAGATGCATTGTAACTCTGTTCGTCTTGCTACTGCCGAGTTGGCGCTTTCCCTTCGAATTGCTTGATCGCGACAAGCGCATCGGTGCGGCTCTTTCTTACTTGCTTCACTCTTAAGATATTCCTCCTCTGCCCAGGGTCTCAGGCCTCTGAATTTTGGCCTCTGTGCGCGTCTGCTTCTTTGCAGGCAAAAAAGAGCTTTAAGGGCAGGCTTAGCGACGTGGATGCTCAAGAACCGGACGGTAAGTGTGGTAGAGCAGAAGCTGAAGCCCCTTGCAGAGAGAAAGTGGTGATAGAGCCCATGTATTGGGGGAGCGAGGTGCGCAGAGTAGCAGGGCCAGCATCCTGGCTTCTCCAGGCTATCAAAGGACGCCAGCTAGTGCTTCATTTGGCACGGAGTATTCCGAGAAGGAAGACGGTGGCAATGGAGGAGCACGACATCCATGTGCATGAATTGTGCCCGCTTAATCAAAATCTCCTCTAAAACTATGGGAGAAAGCTGCAAACGTGATTTCTGGTTTGCAGCAGTGAGGACCGCTGCACGTTCTTGGCAGTTTCTTTTGATGCACAAATCCTGCATCGAACATCGCTCGAGACGGTCTGGCTGCATCGGATTTGATACCGTGTGCTGTGTTTGCAGGCACAAGCGAGGCCTTCGATGCCGATTCCGTAGGCACACGCAAATCGGAGGATGAGTATGAGAGGTATGGCGTGTCTCTGGACAGCGGCAGCATCGGCGCTGCAGCTGCTACGCTCAAGCAGGAGCAACAACAGCAAAAGGAACATCCCGATGATCGTGACGCCCTGCGGCGACAGTTGCAGATTTTGGAAAAGCGGTTGGGCATTAACCGAGGCCGTGGACCTGAAACGGAGGCTCTCAGGGTTAAAAGGAGGAAAAAACTAAGGGAGGAGCTGGAGGAAGACGGCTTTGATTCGAGCTTGCAAGATATTCTGGATGATATTGTGGTGTGTCTCGCTCCCTAGCTTTCCTGCTCCATTAGCCTCAAGCGGCGCAGCAGTCCATAGAATGGTGCAGTGCGAGGCAATCGCTACATGCACACGGCTATAAGACAACATGGGACGAGCATGCGGACTTCTTTGCAGGGCGCTGGAGAAGAACGCGAGGATGCTGCTGGCACAGATGCTGAAGCGCCTGACGGTAAGGGAACTCCAGGGGCAGAAAGCAAACAACACCGTGTATAGAAAATGACTTGCAGCAGCAGGAGAGCCCGCCATCCACAGCGACACAGTATACTTGTGTATTCCGATCGTCTGCGCTATGTTTGCAGATGAGGCCGGAGCATTAAGCGGGTACGAGGAAGAGGACGCCTATACAATGGACGGAGATGCCAACTGGCCGGAGGAGCGCGATTCTGCATCAGATACTGATTCCTCGGATTCGGTGAAAGGCATTGCAAGCGCCCAGGAAGGCTCTTCAAAATCTACTCAGCTTCGTGAGGGGCATGAGAGTGCAGCTGGATCTCAAGTGTATGTGGCTCCTCATCGCCGACGGGAAGGACACGCGGGTTCTAGTCACTCAGCGCAAGTATTATCGCTCGACTCTATTAAGCTGGAAGTCGTACGCGCCCTAAATCGTGTGTCCGAGGGCAATACCGAGCCTGTCCTCCATCAGCTTTTGCGAGTTCTACAGCGCAGCGCAGCTGAGGTGAGGATGCATTGCAAGTGATGTGCGTGGCAGAACAAGCACACCTGGCGTCTTCTGCTTTGTAGGGCTGCCTTTATGATCCCTGCTTTGTGTAGTGCTGAGAGACACATCAGGAACCATTTAGCCTGCGTGACGCCCCATATGTGTGTGGATTTTCTAGCGAGACAGAGCACATCGCGTGTCTCGCACATGTGGGCTGCGACATCATGATGCTCGGGAAGCCATCAATTCTAAAGTAGAAGGCTTCATGCAGGTTCTGTAAGCTGCTGTAGGCTGCACTGCCTCAGGTACGAAGGGAGCTTGGGGATGGCGCGGAGGCGACGGAGGCGCTGCAGACGTATACATCTCGGGTCCGACAGCTCCTGTGTGATCAGCTCATGCAATCGTGCATAAGAAGCCGCTTTTCAACCAATTCTTTGATTGCCACCCAAACAGCTCTGTGCTGCGCCCTTGGCAAGATGTGGGACATCGAGGTAAGTGGTGCGAGGGCTTTCGAAAAGACCCAGGACGTTTAAGCGAATTTCCTCCCAGTTCATGTTCGTTTAACATCGATCATGTGGTCAGGAGACATTAGGCAAGAAGGCGGAGAAAAGTTTCGACGAATATGCATGCTACCCTGTGTCCCCTTTATATGACTTCAGCTGTGCCACGATTTTCTCGTGGCGCTGGCCATTGATTTCTCCAAGCATTTCCCAAAAGCCTTGATTCAACGAACTCGCCAGCCGGAGAATGGAGCGACAGACACAGATTCTTTGATAACCCGTCATGCGGTCGTGGGCTTTTGCTGTCTGTACGACTTCGGCTTTGCTTCTCCGCGATTGTTTGTGGAGCTTATACAACGGGTAGCCGGGTCACAGAGAACCACCACGGCAGCTGGTGATACCGTGCCTACCACTACGGAGCTATCAGATTTTCGAGTAGAGCTGCTGCTTCTACTACTCCGGTTGGGGGGTGAGAAGCTTCGTCAAGATGACTCAGTTCTGTTCTCCACTACTTGGAAAGACCTCCAAGGACTTGTGAAGATGCTGCAAAATGATTCCCGGGCCCGGGAATCTGGGCAAGCGCTGTGTGCCACGGAAGAGCACTCAGCTGAGACAGGTGGGCTTCAAGTACTGTTTTGTTTACTCCTCAAGCAGGAATTCCAGCGGGAAAATGAATCCGTTTGTATGGGCGATGTGTCTTCTCGGGCCATGTTGTCAGGTCGCCAACGAGCCCTACTATTGGAACTGCAAGATCTGAAATCTGGAAAACAAAAAGACAGGTTGATGGTCGTTAAAGCTTCTCAGGATGCCATGCGGTAAGGAGCTAAACAGCTGAAGCTCAGATTTGGAACTGCTAATCACCTGTGACGAAGCTCGATGCTAGGACGGGTGCTTCTTGTATAGCGCGCTAGCTATGGTTGCCCTGAGGGCACTGCTTTCATGTGGTGATAGGCGTCTTAATGCCATACTCGAGTGTGAATGTAAGTCCCCGCCTGCACCTTGCGAATTTTTCAGGCGCTGGCTGAGAACTAGCTCGGTCTTCGGCCCCACGCTACTAGCAGCACAGTTCCAAATCGATGGATCATGGGTAGCTTTAGAGCGTGGACACCGACCGGATCTCTCATCTAGAGCTGCAGAGGCTGCTAGATTCCAGCAGCATCAGCACTTACAAGCAGGAAGCGCTGCTAGTGCTCCAGATGCAGTGGCCGTAGGCGCTGCCGCAAATCGTCTACAACAGAAGGCCTCGCTTCTGAGGTACGCGCAGTGCTGCGCAAGAATCTATGACACCTGTCTGCAGACATGCAGGGAACGTTGGCTTATTAGCAGTAGCTTCTCAGTAGATACCCACTCTTGGGCCTTTTGTGGTAGACAGCCAATTGATGCGCAGTGAGGCGCGCGCCGCTGAAGATTGGGGCTTGCTCCGTCGTGCGTCGCTGCTTGCAGGTTGAACACGGAACTCCAACAGAGGTTGTTTGAGTGCTTCATGATGGCTAGCAGCCCAGATGACTGCTTGCGGCTACTTCAGAAGGCTGGACATCTCTCACTGAAAAGGAATTTCGTGAGTCCCGCCTCATGTGTTTGGTTGCTGATTACAGCATGCACAGCAAAACGAGACTGAAGGCTTCACAAGGGATACGCTGGAGGGCACGGAAGGAAGTTGAATCCGCTGGGCAGGGCTAGTGAGAGGCCGCACATGCCTTACTTGCTGTCGTCGTGTTTTCGACGATCACACTCTACTTTTGAGGGCATAGTTTTTGCTGAGTGCTTCAGGTTATTCAGACTGTGGCCGTTGCGATGCAATGTTGCTTACAAGAAAAGCTCTACAACCCTTTCTACGGTATTGTGCTCTCTCGCCTGTGCGGCCTTTGTGGCTGTGGAAATACAGCAAATGGCTGCAGCACTGCATCCTGCAAGTGTTTCCTTCTATGCGAGAAGGGAGCGGCTCGTTATCGCCGTACGATCCAGCGGGGGCTTGCAGCCCAGGCTTCCGCAGCTCACGGTTTCTCCGTAAGGCGGCTGCTAAACCTGGCAAAACTAACTGCCGCTATGGTAAGTCGCTTATTTGAACTGCACATTTGAGGGGGTCCCGTTTGGCCTAGCAAAAAGTTATGCACCTTCAATGTATACATACCCAACATGGCCACCCTTTCCGTAGTAGAAAAGCGCTATTGCCGGACCGAATGATTTCATCTCATAGGTGGCACTTTCGTTTGCGTTGGATTTACAGATTCGCTTACATGTTGTTGATCTACGCATCGTCCGCTTCTTGAGCTTCGACAGCGCAGGGGAGGAGCAGGGTCCTATGGGACTTTCCGGGAAGTTGGGCGTTTTCCTTCGAGAGGTGCGTGGCATATAAACCCGTCCAACCCCTGTGAATCCCAAAATCCAATAATAGCGAGCTCGGCATTGTGGCTTTGCCTGCCGATTTAGCGAGCTCTTTTAATTTTGCATTCGACAAGATGGTCTCACACGACGCGTGGGTGAGCGGTTGCGTGCGGTGATGCTGGCTTTTTCTGTGGCATCTGCAGGTTTGCGTTGAATTGCTTTGCTGCCCCACGGCTGCAGCATCCCCGTTTCCGGCAGCCGCAGATTGGGAGCAAACTGCTGTTGGGCTTTTTAAGTGCCTGGGCCCGATGAGCGATATTTGCGAGGCCTTCATTACGCTGATGCAAGACGTGATATTGCCGGAGGCAGAAGCGTGTGATACCGCTGCAAACTCCGCGGGTGCCGCCAGCAAGGGTTGTGCCGAAAGTACACTGAAAGTGTCCGTAGTGAAATCAGCGATACGCGCTTTGATGGCTTATCGAGAGCCGGAGGCATAAGGCATAGCACGCGCTCTCAAACTGACTTGCGTCTCGAGAATTTTTGCCATCTCTACGCGCGTCGACGCAAAAGCCTACTGTTATCCCCCTGAGCCTTGCAATGTACTACCACGCTGACAGGACAAGCAGTGCAACACTCACGTATGGAGCAGCTGGACAATAGTGACGAGTCCTATCTACTAGCGCATATGGTTAGTAGGCTGAAGGAAGCGCCTCGCAGCTGATTCTCCTGCACCTAGCCTCTAAAAAGTCTTTCTACACTTTTGCTGCACATATCCACGGTTGATATCGGAAAACCCCGAGTACAGAACGCACAGCTTCCGCCTGCATGTGCGTGGAGTAGTGCTTATTCAAACACGACGTAATTGCGTCCGGTTACTGTATTAGTAAACTAAGGTGGGGCTGACACTCTCCCCCAGAAAGGTTACTAGGCCGTGCAATGAATGCTTCCTGCCCTAACGCTCTGCTTGCCGGGTAGAACCTGCGGCTTCTGGCTGCGAACGTCATTTAACTGCTATTTGGAGACTGGGCAACATGCGCGTCAAGGCGTTTGCTCGTCTCCTTCCACGCTCCGGCGCACTGGCTGACCAATTGATACACCGCTGACCAGTTAATACACCGTCTCGCCAGTCCTTTAGACGCGCTAATTTTTTAAAAATCCTTGTACATTGCAGGCGGGGAGCTCGTTTCAGAAGCATGGGCAGCATTCAACTTGCCAGCAGCGTCACAGAGGCACCTCTCGAGCGGAAGGCATCAAGGCATTCGCTGATCTGCTGTAGGGCTCGTCGGTAAGCTTCCGCCTTGTGCGGTTCCACTCCTCTGGCTAATGTTAAGCCCCGTGGAATGCGCCGCTCGCGACTGCACCGACTCAACGTGCTGGCCAATTAGGGCACTGACATGTTCCACCTGCTTAGCCCATACCTCTGCCAAGCCGCCACCAGTAACAGACATTGCTGCTAGCCCTCTGCTTGCGCCCGAGGAGGAGCTGCTCCCTCCACTCATGAGCGGAAAAAAACCTACGCCCTCACTTTCGGGAGCGCCGCGCTTTAGCCAAGACTGCAGGCCGCGGGATACCGAGTCAACCGCTGAGTAAACGAGTCAGCGCATGCACAAATGTTCGCTTTAGTCCAGGCAGCCGAAGCGAGAAGTATGCGGAAGCCTGCAGCTCCTCGCCATCTCTAATTCCACAGACTGCGTTACCTAGCGTGCAGACGCATACTGTCCCCTAATCACGACCACCCACCGTACATTTTCTACGCCATCAACGCTTCCTGAAATCGCCTTACCGTCATCGAGTCTTAGCCTGTGCATCTGCATCACTGATTCCTTTGGCTGGTCCGGCTTTTCTTTCCTTGTCTGTTCACTGTCAGAAGAAACTGGCTGAGCCTCCGTGTCAGACTTCTTGTCGCAGAAGGGCCGCACCAGCGCGGCAAACACTGCAAACGAGCCACACCGCGTCAAAAAGCACGTTCAGCGCCCTTCCTTACACATCCCATCTCGCATGTAACAGAATATGCCAGCACCTGCACGTGGTTTCTAAGGGGATGTTAGGGCCATGCCCAGTGTGGCATGCGCGGCTGATCGGCAACTCGTACCTGGAAGGGGTGCAACAGGCAAAAGAGAAAGCCGCTCGTTCGGCACGAGGAGAATCGGCCGTGAACATTTTGCTCCGCTGGTGCTGGTGGCAGAGACATGGGAGACCTCGCCAGCCTCAGAATCGTTCGACTTCAAGAGAGCGAACAGTAAGGAACTGGAGGCAGCAAAGCCGGCCTTCACGCACCGTCTGAAGCGCAAAAGTGCAAGATTAGTTACACCAGATGAGCGCTTCTTCCCGCGCGTAGGGCAAAGGCGCCCCTCCCTCTGACGTCTGCTGAAGAAACCTTTTGGGCTCCGGCAGCAGCTGCAGGCACAGTCTACGACGACGCCTTACGTCAGCTTTTCGGCAAGAGGTGGGTGCAGCCACTGCCGTCCTTGCGAGGCTACTTTCACCAACGCCTCTGCACTATGCTGGCTGCGTAGTCCGTTCTCGATGGCTTTCTGAAGGGGTCTGGGGAGCGCCTCAGGGGCGTTGAGTGTTGTGTGCAACAGAGCGGAGGGTGGCGGTGCATCCAAGGCAACTGCCAGCAACTCGACGTCGACGAGCAACTGCAGCAAGAAGCTTTGGTCCTGAAAGAGCGCATGCTGGCTCTGCTGCCGAGGGTGGTATGCAGCCTTAGCAATCGCGTCAGATGCAACGATGGCAATCTCTTCTGCTGCGACAGCCTTCAGGGAGAAAGACAAGAGCGGCGCTGCAGAGAGATCCGCCAGCCTGTGTTCGCACGGCCAGGGCGCAACGGCGATCATGGGCGCAATGCAGCTTGCAGATGCAAAGCAAGCGCCATCGTAGCGTGTCTGTTCCTGCCGCGAACGTGCTGCTCACACTTCCGTGCGAGCAGCACGGTGCAGTCGAGATCGACTGATCGTGTCGCTCACTTGAGACGCCGCGATGCCGTCACAAGGCGCCGGTTTAGCTCCAGCAGCAAGACCATGGCAGCTCCGGATATCCCGAGATCTGGCTCATCCGCTGGGAAGACAGAAGCAAGAAGGGAGCACCAAAGGAATTATCCCCAGGAGAGGCCTGCCTCCCACGCAAACAGTCGTCCAAAGAGCCGTTCAGGGAATGCCACTTGGGTGGCTGACTGGCTCCACACGGGCAGAGAGGGTTGAGACGTCCACGTTTGTGGACGGTCGCAAGAAGAGAATACCGCAAAGGAAGCTCAATGGTCGGACTTAGCAAGGATTGCAGCCTCGCGTTAGTGGAGAGGAGCAGGGGGAGGGGGAACAGGAGTCGCCTAGGCTCACGCTCGGGAGCAAAACTGCTCAGCACTCGCTTTTGAGACAGCCACGCAGCTTGCAAATCCTTAACCGCCGTCCTCACAAACGGCCACAGGCTGACAGCGTACCCAGCGAGCGCAGCAAAGCAGAGGCCAGAAGGGAGAGACTTTGCAGCTTCCCTGGTAGCCGCAACGATTCTGTCTTTCTGTGCGCTTCCCCCAGCCTCAGGCTCTCCTGTGCTTTCATCATCACGAGCCTGAGTGCGCTGCTTCTCCAGCTCAATCGTTTGAGGTTCGGAAGCAGTCCACTCCGCAAGGAACGCGGCGAGCCGGTCCTGGCAGGGGGTCGTTTCAGATCCCTGAGAGAGCACACGAGAGAACCAGGTTCGCAGGTTGCGATCGGCTTCTCGTGGAGCGAGACGCTTTCGAAGCCGAGGTGACAGACTCTAGACTTGAGGAAATCGATTGCCGCCAGACGGCACTCAATGAAGGCTCACCTCCGAATACCCCTCCATGGACCCCGGCATGCTATCGACGGCGCTGCTTCCTTCCTGCGAGCATCGCTCCCAAGAAAGACGCAAGACGCGACGCCGCACGCTCCACTTGCGAACAAGGCGCAATCGCATAAAGGGATGGCGATGCCAACAGGAAGGCAGCCGCGAACAGATGACCACACAAACACGAGAGCTCTAGCTCAACAAGACGCAGAGGCGGACCTGGTAGGAGCACTCTGCCTTCGTGCACGCCACAAACAGCCACTCAAGTCGCCGCGCATCCTCGATGAGTGGAGCTTCTGCGGCGTCGCTAACGTGTGAGTCGCCCGCAGCTGCCCCTGCCGTGGCAGCGGCGGCACTCGCTGCTGCTACCAGAGGAGCAGCGCAGTCTGCAAGAGACTGAAACAACGACCCAATAAGGGCAGCGCGAAGCGGCACGGCAGCTCGCAGCTCCTCGAGATCTCTCGTCCCTCCGAATAGAGCGGCAATGTCTGCAAGATGCTGCCGAAGGGCCTGCTCGAAGCGCTCGAAAGAGCATTTCTTGTTTTCTCCTGAGAAGGTCGCCGTTCTGGAAGGCTCTGTACAGCAGACTCCACAAACTCGGGTGCCTGCCATGCATGCACTCAAACGGCCCTTAGGCTTCTTCGAGCAGTCAGAGACTCTCGACCAGACTTCCTACAAGCAGGCGTCTCCCCTTGTCGCGCTAATGCCGTACCGCCTCTTCCGCCAGGAACGCTCAGCAACGGCAGAGCCCGCATGCGCGACTCAGACACCGCGAGGCACGCGTTGGCACAGGACGCTCCCAGTGCTCGCAGCAGCTGAGCTGTGGACGGCATCTCGGAGAGGTCATAGCGAGGATTCTGGCGGCTACGCGGAGCGGTGTCGGAATTCTGGAGGAAGCCCTCTGGCGCTGGCTCGACGGCAAAGAGAGAAGAGCCTCGTGGAAGTCGCCAGTGTGAACCACGCCGTTGCAGCCGCTCCATCAGCTGAACGCAAACACACGCTCTCCGCAAACTGCACGACGCGATACCCCCCCCAGATTTCTCCTCCGCTTGAAGAAAGCAGCCCGCACATATCAGCGGCAGCCACGAAGGCGGTGACAACTCACTGTCACCCAAAAGGCGCGGACGGAGCTGAGGCTGAGCCGAGGCTCTTGTGCGGGAAGACGACAGAGCCACGTTCTCAGAGGACCATTCCAATGCTCGACAAAAGCTGCAGATCTGGCTCGAGGACAGAATTCAGCGTTCCCGCACTGACAAGCGCACCCCCACCCACGCTTGCTGCTGCTGCACGGTTGTGCAGCGAAGACAGCAAAGACTCGTGGAAGTGCCTGCAGTGCCCACACCATATTATTTGCAGTGCCACTGGAGCTGAGGGGTTTGAAAGCAGCCTGAGCCGCATGCACCACTGCAAAAGGAGGTTCTTCGCTCCCACCTGAGGGCCCCTCTGTCGCGCCACAGGCAGCGGCTCCTTGTTCTGCGGCATCCGCGACAGTGGGAGAAAACAAAAAGGCAGCCGACTCTAACGAGGCGGAAAAAGCCACAAGGAGACCCTCGGCAGCATCGACGGCTGGCAGCAGAGTGCCTCTTTCGCGGGTATGATATCCGCATACGGCGTCAATCGCTGCTCCGCTTGCCGCCGTCCCCTCCTCTGCCCCCCTGAGGGCGGCTAACGACTTCAGCGCCTCTCCCCGAGCTGAGAAAAACATCTCTAAGAGCCACTTGGCAGCTGAAGTGATGACAGCCTCTTCGGCGCCTTCGGTGGCATCTTGCAGGGCAGGCCAGCTGTCTAAAAGGTAAGTCAGAGTGGCGGCAGCAACGGCATCCGCTAGAAGGGGGAGCGGGAGGTTGGGAGAGGCGAGATGCCGCAGTGCCAACGCGCGCACCAACGACTCAAGCGCTGGAGATATTTCGACTGTATGTTGCGCTAGAGCCCAGCATCCTGACTCCTGGCTAGGTTTCTCATGCTTGCGCGGACGCTGCAACTGTTGGAGCTTGAGAACAACAGCCTTGGCAGACGCAGCTTGCTGGGCTCCCTCGATGTGTATCAGACGCAGTGCCTGCAGAAATTGTTGGCATCTGACGGCTTCACAAACCCGAGAAGGGAACAACAAGAGCTGCTGTTGCAATCGCTGAAGGGTTTGAGGCTGGTGCAAAGTCTCTTCTCCCTCTTGTATCTCAAGCGTTGTGAGCACAGGCGTACGGGCTGTCGAGAGACCCGCATTTCTGTGTACTGCAAGAAGGGGAGAGCGAATCGCCGCACACATGGAGGCGTTTATTCCACGGGCAAATAGAAAGTCGTCTAGCGGGGTGCTACGCTGCAACGGCAGCTCTCGCTCTACTAGAAAGCGGTGCTGGTGCAGCCTCTTTCCCTCGGCGCGCGACTCCCCAGCGTTAATGCCTTTACTAGCCAAGGCGTCAGCAAGACAGCATAGGCCCTTGCCCAGCTCTTTCGCCTCTTGCAAAGCCTCGTGGGCTGCCTGCTGCATGCGTGAAATCTCGGGGAGCCCCTCAAGGAAAGACAGGTAGCGCACGCCAATGAGGGAACGCAGCTCCTCTGCGTCATTCGCCTGCTGTAACTGGAGCTGTCGCAGCAGTTCCTGTATCTCTGGCACCGTCTGGCGCCGAAACACGTCGTCCACCGCCAAGGGGCTCAGCATCGCTGCCGTAACAGGGGAAGCACTCGAGTCCGTTGCGGCAGCAGCTGTTACGCCTGATACATGCGCAGCTGGCAGACCGTGCGAAGAAGCCGAAGGCAACGACGGCACGGCCACGTGGCGCTTCACGAAACATCCGGCTGTAGGAATATATGCGGAGTAGGGGTACGGATCGACGAACACTGTGCGTGCCGAAAAGCCGCTCCAACACAATGCTGTGGGATAATTCACGGTTCAAGGAGCCCCTACTTCCAAGAGTCACCTGAGGAAAGAATTGATGAGCCTAGAGAGGCTGTGGAGCCTCGCATTCAACTCTTCACCAGGCAGTCATGTGAGGAACCTCAGGCACGACACCAGAATGCGTCATGCGTTGTGTAAACTGCTATTGAGAGTACACAGGGACAGCTCAACCTGGGCAGAGACAGCACATCACAATAAGGAGTGAATTATTCCCACGCTACACGTAACTTCAGCCAGGAATGGTGCTGTCGTCTGCATATGCCGACGCAGTAGTTGTCAGAGAGCCGCCTCCGTGTGGTCCATGGGGCTGATCGCGGTCTAACCTTTAGAGTCACAACACTCTTTTGGTCTTCTCAGGGTAACGCACTGAACGAAGAAATTAATCTTTGGGCTACGGCTGGGACGAGTGGCCTGCAAAACGACCTGACGAAGCCTTTTTTCCCTCACAAACCCAGCATGCCTGCCGCTCTTCGTCTCCCAAATGGCAGAGCATTTCTCGAGGGAACGTCTTTGCAAGAGCTTTGGTAATCATATAAGGACTGCAAAAATCATTTTTTTGTCTAGCCGGCTGCCTTTATTCACGTGCGGGGAGAGCGACGCCGCTTCACTGAACTGCAGGCAAACGTACGACGGCTGTGAGGGAGGGCTGTCGAAACGCAGTGAAGATGGCTTTCCGCTGCTATATACCGCAGTTCTCTGCACTTGTCAGTGTACTCGGCCATCTCTGCAGCGTATATGGCGCCGTGGCAAGCGACAACGACGACAAAGATTGGACCATAGGACGCTATCCCCAAGTAGGGATCTCTCTTAAGGAATCCAGTATGGCCGATTACCCACCACTGGATATAACGGATGGGCCATATGTGTTGGCTGGGTGGGTCAGCGACGTTTCTCGTCGCCGCCGTCTGTCTAACCCCCTTTTCTTTCCCGGTGTTATCCAAGCTTTGCTGTTTACCAGTGTTGCGCTTTTCTTTATTTTTCGTAAGGAATTCAAGCTGTTCAGCAGACTCAAGTCGGAACGAAAAAGGCGCATCGACTCTGAGGCCAAAGTGCAATTTTTTTCTGAATCAAGGACGCTTATGATGACAGTATATCATTCTCTAGTTGATGTACAAAATAATCAGGCAATTACCGACGCCGCAATAAGGGGCATAAGTTCTGAAAATTTAACCGATCTGTTTCGCGATGTCATTGAACCTCTCACTGTAGTCACCGAGAAACTGACAAAGAGCTCTCACAGCATAATGGAAGTGATTCAATGCCTGGAGAATGCTTCTCCCCCAAATCAGAGCTTTGTCACTGATCTTGCAGTTCAAACTCTACAGCTGGAGCTTCGGAATCTAGAGACTAGTTTTGACCTTGCGAATGAGTTAGAGCTGGCATCCAAGAATCTGCAGCTCTTCTTAAAGGGCGCTTCCTCCAGCGAGGCAGGCCCTGCCACTCAAGCAGCACAAGTAGGTTCTGCGGGGGAGAAAATAGCTGCAGGTGCTCCAAGGAATTCCGTTAAAGGCCTACAGTTAGATTCCTCCAATGTGGAAACGACAAAAGATGCGGAAAAGTTTTCTAATCAAGGAGAAAAATCAGGATTATTGCTGAATGTGGAGAGGGGATTTGGGTTTTTCTCCAAAGGCGCACACTCAGTTTCCGTCGGTGAAGAAACGAAGACAGCTCCAGAACTGGCTTCTGCCAGAGACGTACAGCCAGATTTTGTAGCGGGGGGACTGACGACAAATGCGGTAGTTGCTCCACAGGTGCATCATGACTCTTCTGCCGAATGGAATGTATCAGCGGGAAATACTGTTACTCTTGGGGAAGGTGTTGCCTCCAATGAAGGGATTAAGCAGAAGCCGAACCTAGTAATTAACATAGTGGACAGCCCTCTTGCTGAAAAGGCTGTCACCAAACCAGCTGATAGCGTTGCCGCTCATCTCCCTAAATTGACCGCATCACTAACCCCGTGGCTGGAGTCAGTATGCGACCTGCATAAATGCTTGATATCTATTGTTCCTCATGCCATCGAACAAGCAGAACGGCTGATGTAGCAAAAATTCACGAGTAGGAGTCTCAATTCAGTGTTCTGCATCACCGCACGCCGCCTTGACAGTCGGGCATGAGGAGCAAGTGCATCTATTGACTTTGATGTATCAATGCACTCCTGGGTCCCTGTAATGTCGATGGAGTTTGTGTCAAGCAACTATACGAAGCCCCATCTTATTGCTGATGGAAATAAAACAGGTATTCTGCATTGTACGATGACACTGGCAAGTGCACTCTCTGCGCTTTTCAATGCAGTGATTTAGGGGCGTGTACCTTTGGGAATCTCATTTTTCAAGTGCCCACTGCAGCTGTTGATTATTGGTATCATTGAGTGGTGCCTCGCACAGGACGACAAGAAGCTCGTGTAGTGCCTTTTTTTTCAAAATGCATGCATCACATAGGGATGCGGTGGCCATGCGTACTTTTTTCCAGGCAAATTGACGTGCGTCTAGTGTACGAAAACGGTATTACATATTATGTTACTTTCTCGTATTTTTGTCTAAAATTAAAAGATAACTTCGTTCACTGAGCGATTGGTTCTAGCTTGCCACTGAGTTGGCAATGCGTAAGTCGATTGACCATTTTCCGTTGCCGTGGAGGGTCCTGCATCCAGTTTTTGTCCGAAGGCTTCGCAACTTTCTTTAAAATGGCTTGCAGGGAACGGCGAAAGACACCTGTGATAGCCAGAAACACGCAAATAACTTTCTTGATTATTTTTTCAGGAAATTTTTGTGGACCGATGCGTAAAAGTTGTCATCGTGCCCGTGGCTGTTGCAGGTCAGTGCTGGGAGCCAGGAGATGGCGCAAACCTGGAGAAAAAAAAGTCTCAGCATGATGTTGAGCCTTGGCGCGTAGGGCCTGAGAGCATTTGCGCAGCGGCATTGCATGTGCAATGGAACTGCGGATACCCAGCAAGCAACCAGTAGAGTGGGCGATTGTCGGGTGTGCTAGTTGCTTACGGCAAGCTCGTCGGAACCGTCCAGTGACAGCGACAAAATATGTTCAAGCGCAGCAGAAAATGATTCTGCATTTGGTTCACAGAGGAATCCCTGAGCACAGTCGCCACCCTAGGTGTTTCTGCAGGTCGCTAGAGGATGCAAAAGGATGCACGAGTGTAGACTTCAAAGCCGTGTGGGTCTCCGTTTGGTTGTTTGTAGTCTCGTGTGATACTTTAGTACGTGCTACGCCTGTGCCTCCAGTGTCTCGATTCAGCAGTGTGCGATCATCTACACTACAAAGCAATGCATGATATTCCGCCTACGAGGGTGTGCACATGAATCCACTATACGCGGTTATCGCAAATACGATGTGCGTTGCAATCATCAGTCTGTTAGGCGTGCTAGACTCACAGTTTCTCCGTGTACAATGGTTTCTTTGGGCCCGCCACTGTTACAAGCCACAGGAAGGCATCCGACGAACATAGCCTCGCACGGCCCCTGAGGAACGCAGTGCCACCCATTCCATGTGCACCAATATAATGACAAAGCAATTTACCCTGTACTAGCGTGTCAATGAGCTCAAAGACAGCTTCGATTAATCATAAGGTAGTTGATGGAGAGGCACGGATTTCATGAAGATACTCAGTAAGGCGCCGGGGAACCGCGGTAGCCTCACTATGCCAAAATGCTCGTCTGTAGGTGTGTATAGCATGCAGATGCTCCTTTTTAAAATGAGAAGTCTCAAGTCATCGGAAATGTTCTTGAGAAAGAGGACGTAACGCCTGCTCGCACCTTCTTGGATGGTTGTACTGGCATCTCTATTGCTGCCCAGGACACAAAAATTACGCTGCTTCGATAAACCCACAAGCTGATGGAAATACGTCGAACATTCGGGAAGGCGAACATCAAAGCCACCTGCAACGAACAGGGCAGTTCACGATCTCCGAATGCCACTTGGCGTAAAACCACAAGTCAAACAAACCACGAAGGCAGCAGAGGACAAGCACCGGCTCTATCGAACACTCTAATAAGGCCGCTACCTAACCGAGATGAACCTTTGTGAATTTTGGTAACCTGGAATCGACCGTAATTGCATTCATTCGCATCCCAGTGTTGCTAGTCACCAGCCACGATCAAGTTGCATTCAAGATTCTGCGGCAGTCTGGACACAGCTTCTATGGCCAACTCAATATTCTTCTTGGCCTCGAACCGGTTTAAGGACAGAGCGAATGGCCGAGAGAGATCGAATCTAAAGCAATTCACAGCAAGATTTGTCAACACAGGAGGTAAGACATGGCGCAGTGCAGCCTGGTTGCCTATGTAGAGGCCTCTAGGATGACAGCGCTTTGTGCAATCCCAGCGGCGGCCATGGGGCGGTGAGCTGCTCTTTGTCGTGTTAAACCACTAACCCTTGCAAGTCGCTAGAGAATTGATCGGAAGTGGTAGCAATTGGAAGTAAGTTGAGCTCTTCGAGATTTGCACTAATCGGGGGATACAGCACGCACGGCCTAACTTTTCTGCAGAGTAGCAAAGCATCACAAAAGCAGCCTTTTCCCCCTATATTCCATCCATGATGTGCCCTTTGCTGTTTTAGTAAATCCTTCGGCAATCAGCCAGAAAGCAAAAAGGCAGTCCACTGAGTCCATAGTCCGGTTCCTACTGCAAAATATCGCTGGGAGGATGAAAGATAAGCTATACGCAGCACAGTCCTCGTACTTCAGCGACGGAAATGTCTTGCAATAGGCTTCTGAGGTGAACTGGGAATTGACTAGAAACGCACTACACATTTCTGCAAAAACACACAGCAGCAGAGGTGATTAATCGCAATTTTTGCTTCTTCCATGACAAACTGGGTGGGCCGCTATCCACGCATCGGTCGGGATGCACCATTGTTTTCCTTTGACTTTATATAATCAACCATTGATCAAAGGTATGGACAGCATGCCACAGTACAGGAGAGTACCTCATGTTCTCTGAGCCACCGACGGGCGTGCCAAAGGCCGTCATCAGGAGGCAGCATTACACATTTTGAGGTAAAGAAGCGTCAAGTAAGTGATAGATTGGGTTACCGGTAGTTAAGGCCTCGAGCTTGTCAAACGGGCAGCGATAGATGCGCCGCAAAAAGCATGAATTCTGGCGGTTGTGCAACAGGTCTGGGAAGTGCCCATAAAACACGACCTGAGGAGGGAATCAAAGATTTTGCGAGGGCAAAATTATGGGTAACAATATTTTTCTATCAGTCATATAGCCACTACCGGGGACAATATATGCGATGTTTGAAAGGATATGCTAAACAGAGTAGCGGCCCCATTGTCACACCTTCTTAGCGATTAGGTAGAGAAGGGGGTTGATAGCGGCCACTTGGTCGTTGAAAGCAATATCGTATCCCACATGGCCTGATGGTAACAATGGCCCACAGCATCTCTGGACATCTTCAGTTGCGCTCCAGATTCTGCATCACAGCGACCAGACCTGTTATCCGCAGCAGGCTTACCTGTAACTATGGCGGCAAGTACTACGTACAGCATCCGCAAGACCGAACAGACAATGCGGAAACGCCCCAAGATGGATTGCGGAAGGAAGGACCCGAAGACTATTATATTTAGCCTTGCTGAGGCCAAGACACGCAGAGGCGTCAGTTGGGGGAACGGAGAATCAGTGGCACATGTGTATGGTACGCCACAGCATAGATTGATACCAGAATGTGTAGAAATCGCGTTCCCACTTCAGTACGAGCCCCATCCCCGAAGAAACGCCGACCAGTCTGCCCCAGATGCTCAAGTCACGACACTACCAAGGCAGAGACTGCATGCCACGTTATTGCCACTAACGACACAAAAACAGCGTACGGGAAGATGGTACGTGGCTGCGCAGGAGGCGGAAGGCGCTGCCTGCTAGGAAAGCAGCCCCCTGTGGTCCACTCTTGGACTTTCACTTTTAGAGAGCTAGATCAAGGCGTTTGCTCACGGTCTTTTGCTGCATGCAGACATCTATGTTTGTCCAGATGGGACGTGAAGAAATCAACTCTGTGTGAACGACATCGTGAATTTTGCAGGATGGCATGTGTGTGGAGAGCTGTCTCCAAAACAAGCTGCTCGGCGCCCCCAATGCCAAGATCAAGGTGGAAGAATGCGACTTTTTGTGGTAGACTGGCCATTTCGTCATGACGAATAATATGCATTCCCAGTGGCCGACAACCCAAGTATGGGCCACAATTCGCAAATATCCACTGACCCACGTTATATAGGGGCAAGGCGCGTTTTCGGGAGCTCGCTTCAAATTAGATATACCTGATTTAGGAAAAGAATACACCACCCGCGAGGCAAGATGCAGGACTTTCGCTAAATCGGCTGCATGCCACCGCCGATGCTCGCGTAAGTAAATCAGAGCCGCAGCCATTGCAAAAGTAGAGCTTAAACGGTGGGACAGCATCTAATCGTCCATACTTTTACAATTTTCTCGTCTTAGTTAATCGGTTTTCTACTGATATGCAAGCTTTTCAGCACCGCGCACAGGTACAAGGTCCTATGTTTTTGATGCCCTTATCACATTACAACTGCGAATGCAGGTGCATCCAAATCATCTTCGCAACACAGTTTGTTTCAGCATGAATTTATAATGAATCTTGCCGGAAACAGCTCTAGTCTTTAGTGAGAAAAGCCAACTTGACGGCGATCCCACATGCCAGGTGATGCTGCAACATGAACCGTCGCAGTTCACACTTCCCCATCATCATGCACAAAGATGGGTCAATTGACCAAGTGGAGGCCTGCGCGCTTCACTCTAATTCTTCCTCTGTGCCTCCTCTATTTCCTCGTCGTTGCTGGGAAACTCGGACTACCGGGCGCGGCGGTGTCTCTTTGTTTGAAGGATAAGGAGACTGTAACTGCAACACTGGCTTTCCACCTTGTAGGCCACACTCCTTCTCCTACCCGCTCGTTTCCCTTGTCATGCTTAATGAGCACTAGAGAGCTGTTTCTACGGAGTTTGGCCCTTCTGGATTCGAGAAACCGGTCCACACCCGCTCGCTCCTGCACAGCATTTGTCCCTTCCAAGACCCACTCGTTCGTTATGCAGCATACGATTGGGGGCAGAACAGACGAACTCCACTATTCGCATGGAGCTGAGAGGGGCCTGGAAGGCAAGACTTCCAGAGCTGCAGTGCCACGCAACCAGGAGCTAACCCAGGAGGCTTTCATGTCCAGCTGCTTGCCGCGCGCCTCTCTTGCGAGCAACTTGCTGCTGCCAGACTGTGCACAGTTGAACCGAGCGCGTGGATCTGCCTCACTGAGCGAAAATGATCAGGCGTTTCTAGACGAAGCTGCAGGCAAACAGCTGAGCTTGGGCCTGCCCCCTGGAGAAGTTCCTGCTAAACCGGGAGTTAGGCAATTGCCAGCGAATTCGGAACAAAACATGGCAATTGCTGACAATGGCCACACCCCAACCGATAGGATTGCTGCTGCTACCGCCGCTGGAAGGCTGCTGGAACGGGCTCGCCTGCTACAGAGTACGGCCTCGGGTCTGTACTGCGTGCTCCCCTTGGGTTTTCGTGTCATGAAGAAGATCGAAGCCATTTGCCATCAAGAACTTGCAAGGATAGGAGCGGCGCCATTATGCCTACCGAATCTCATGCCGATGGATTGGCTGCAGAACTCAGACGTATGAATGTACTCATCTGTAGCGTTAACGGCGGTGTTAAGAACAGGGTTCATCCTACTGGCACTTGATGCCAAGAGCAAATTGTGATTGTGGCTTTCGTTTGTTAGACAAACACATTTTGGTTTTCGATAAAGTATCAGTTTATAATAAGCTCCATCCACTCGCTCAAGAGTGCTAAGTACAACTAGACATGCCCTGCGTATTAATTCGCGACGATGTGCTTAACTGCTCCTCAGCGAGTACGCTCCTTCGGGGAGTCACTCTACCGGCTTCACGACCGTCGTAAACGGCAGCTTTTCCTGCCTCCAACTTGTGAGGAGGCAGCTGCTTGGTTGGCCTCCACTGGCGTGAGGAGCCACAGGGAGCTTCCGTTGCTTTTCTACCAAATCGGCCCGAAGTTTCGCGACGAGTTCCGCCCTCGCGCAGGCTGTCTCCGCTCTCGTGAATTCGTGATGCTAGAAGCATACTCGTTCCACCAGGACGTAGCGTGTCGGGATACACAGTACCGAGAGATGGACGAGTGCTTCAGACGAATATTTGCCCGTCTGGGTGCGACGCCTGTGTACAGAGTACCGGCAGATCCGGGCACCATGGGTGGTCCTTGCAGCCACGAATACCACGTGAGGCGCAAAGCACCGTCTTCAATACTCTGTTTGAGCGTGGGATTTCGAGTGCAGCTCTTCATGTATCGTTGTTCAGCCTCTTCAGTGCGAGAGGAGTGTGGCTGCAGGCTCGCTGGGGTGATCTCCGTGTGTCTTGCCACAGGTCTCTAGCGAACTGGGGAGTGATAACGCCGCATCTGGCCTCATTGCGCAGGATGGCAGTGGCAGCAGGCACAACACTGCTACTCAAGCAGTAGCTATCGAGAGACTTCCCCCTGGCAGGAGCTTGGAGGTTGCTCACTGCTTTCAGTTGCCTGGGGTGTACTGCGAAGCTGCAAAGGCCCGCTTCACAGACTCTCAGGGGGTAGTACGAGTTCCTCTAATGAATAGCTACGGATTAGGCGTGTCTCGTCTTCTTGCACACTTGGCGCTAACGCATCAGGATGCAAAGGGAGTGTCTTTTCCGCCACAAGTGGCGCCTTTTTGTGTGGCGATCCTCCCTCAGCCAGCAGCGCGTTGGAATAGCAGCAACCGTTCAACACGCGTAGCTGTGGCCCTCTTTAGACGCTTGCAGAAGATAGCAGCAGACGTAGGCGGCTTTGCCGACGTTTTGCTGGATGACCGTCGAGGTCTTAGCCTTCACCAGATGCAGGCGCATGCAGATCTTGTGGGGATTCCACGCCAGGTAGTCATAAAAGAAAAACTGCTGTGGCCTCCTGGAAGGGCTCGTGTACTCTGTATCTCACGCAGGACTGGTACAGCTGAAATAAAACCGCTAAGGTCTGCTTTGGCTGCGCTGAAAGACGCCTTTTTGGAATTTGGAACGAGCAGCAAACAGAGTTTGTAGGCACCTGTTGTCTTACAGGAATGCGCCATGTCATTTATATCCACCACTGCTTGATATACTTAATCTAATGTGCGAGTGGAGTGTCACCCGATAAAACCTTCACCCTGCACTGCTGCAAACGCACCAGCGTAGTCTGCTTAGCAAGCAAGAAGGGAACTATCGTAAAAGAGGGTTGCTGATCCTCCGCCAGAAACAGACGAACAAACAAGCATCTCTTTTAGGCAGCGCCGTTTTTACGCCTGCGGCCAAGTGAAGCCATCATGTTCGCGAAGCCTTTGTTGCGGGGATCGCCTGTAAAGGCTGGAGCTCTGCCTGCCATTTTGCTACCTATTGCGGAAGTGTCGGCACTGGGTAAGGTCGGTGGTTCCTCTGCTGCAGGGCTGGGAGAGGCATCTCTGGAGGGTGTTTGCCGTTGTGGGAGAGAGGAGCCTTTTTCAACAGGAACAACGCTGGACTGAGCCTCCGGTGCTACAATTTTAATGAGCCTTGAACCCTCGGCGTCCTTTGCAGAGATGGGCTTGTCGGCCCTTGCAGCGCCTCCACTGGCTCTTGAGGGAGCACGCGTTTCACGCTTCACTAAACCTCGGTCAGCACCAGCCTGCACTAACGCAGAGCTGCGCTTTGATGTCTGCTTATGCCTCGCGGGCACAGCAACGGGGGTTGGCGACGGCACCACTGAGGAAGCTGCGACAGAGCGGAAGCATGAACACACCCGATCCACTTACACGCTGCCCCACGATGAGCAAGTAGAGAGTGACTGTGCCCCGATTTTTGTTTATATCATATCATGAAGCGTTTAGTGCTAAAAGTTTACTTAAGACAATAAATGGAGCTACACTAAGCGGAGTGAGCCTTCTTTCCTCCACGCCTCCCCCCGTATCCCGACAGCACAACCCGATGGATAAGAGACATTTAATTTATCTTTCTCGTCATATTACTTCAAACAGTAGTACTAGTATCTTCTTTCTCTCCCCTCCCAGCAAAACGAACTACCCAATGGATAAGAGGTATTCGGTTTCTCTTTTACGCCATGTTACTTCAAAGAGTAGTGCTAATATGGGGTTGGTGCTCACCTCGCGCAACCACCTTTGACTTCACTCTCGACTTTGTCGAGACAAGGCTCTTCCTCAATGATCGTTTTTGCGGTACTGCATGTTCGCCATCAGCAGTCACTTCCACGGGTTCAGCTTGCAGCACTCTTTCGGGTTCCTCAACTTCCGGCTTGGAAGTCGCAGCTTCCAGTTGCTCCTTCAGGTAAGAGACTTCTAGTTCCAACTCTCGGATTCTCTCACTTTTTTCTGCCTCCGCCTGATTCGCCGCGACCAGTTGTTCCTGCAGCAGGGCATACAAGAGCCTCTTCACTTCCATATGGACTCCCCTGTAAAGAGGGCCAAAAGTATATCGTGTTTTTTTCGAAGTACACTGGTTCAAGATTGTGTCACTAACCTCTAGAAGCTTAGCTTCGCGTCGATCTACGCTCGTGTGGAACTTAATCTGATCCTGAAGATCTGCTATTGTTGTATTTGCAGCAAGAAGCTCCATGTAGAGCGCCTGGTTCAGCCTCCTCACATCCAGCTCAACAGCTCGGCATTCTTCAAGGCGCAAGCGCAAATGAGACACATACCCCTGCAGCATATGGACGTCCCTTGACAGGGCCTTCTTTTCCTGAGGACACCATGAGCAGCCAAGGTTGCGCAGTGCAAATGTTGGGAAGTGCTGTGCATCCAAAACTAACTTGTTCAACCCTTTTATTACAGACCCAGCAAATTAGCAATCCTGTGTCCATACCACATCATCTTCATGGGCCTTAAGCTCATCCCAATGAGCCATTGTCCTAGGAATCATCAACAGGCACCGATTTTCTTCCTTTAGCTCGCGATTTATCTCTAAAAGCGTTGCGTTTTCCCCTTTCACGTTTATGTAATCCTCTGTTCATACAGATTGGCAAACCGAAAACGATGAAAAGCATTTGCATAAAATCTATTCGCTCTGCTGGTATGATATCTACCTGCTCTAATAAGCGCTGGCTCTCATGCGATCAATGTGAAAGCCCTACCAGAAAGGAGCCTGTAGTCAATGTCCCGCTCGGCCAACCGAATAGAGAGTTCCTCAAGTTTGGCCATCAGTTTTCCGAACTTTGCGTTTGTGTCTTTGTCTACGCGGTTTGGAGAGTTTGAGTCTGTAAGTTCCGCCTTAAAGCTCCAAAGGGCTGCCAGCATTCTATCGCAATGTTCAGTCAGTTCGATCCTCTCTAGCTGCACACCAGTACATCGTGCATGGTACGGAGATATTGGCACGCATCGACAAGAGTTCATTTAGCAGTGTCCATTAAACAGATTTTTTGGCAGCATGTGATTTGTACCCATGCTGCAGAGACAAAAAATGACAGTGCACCTGCATGCGACCTACACAGCTAGCCTACCAGGCCCCTTTTGACTGAAACCTGAATTTCCTTGAGCTTCTGAGTAAAATGGTCTCGGAGTTGACCCAAAGCTTTTCTCATTTCTTGCTGCTCATACAATAGTGCCAGCATGTGCTGCTCCCATGGTGGAAGAACCTGCAAAATGGATTCCACTGTCTCTTCCTTCTTGCTCTCCACCATCTGAACGACAAGGGCACATGCGGCACATAAATGCATGCGCAAACAACTACAATTTAGCCAGAACACCCTTACCGAGGAGCCTACGAGGAAATGCGAAAAACCAGGCGAAGGCCGGAGGTGCGCCTTTATTTTCAACCGCCATAATCTGAAACACAACACTAGCTCAAGATTGCATTCACCTTAGCTGTCTCCGGGTCCGCAACTGTCTTGCTCTTCTCCGCGGTGATCTGCTTGGAAAATATTAGCTCCAAAGCACCGACAGCTTCGCTTTCGGTAGCCGGAACTTTTGGACTAGCTCCCTGGGGGGACCACATTCGTAGTGCAGGAGTCCATACTCTAGTGTGCACCAATGTCAGTGCAGTAGGAAGAGGATATGTTGCTGACCAGAGGGAATTTTACTTTTACACTTATGTGGACGTGAAAAACGTACCTCGTCATTTTGGCTAGATGAACCCTTCTGAGATGCAACGGAAGCCGCGAGAGCCATAAGGGGTGGCGACTGCTGCTCCTTGCTTTCCATCTGCTGGACTTCACCATCGTCTTCACTAGCCGTTTCAATCACCTCCGCCAACATGACTCGCCTGCATGAGCCACAGCGAAGACAACCAACCTTTGGGTGCGCCCCCTGAACTCCGTTCACTTTCTCCTTCATCGTTGCCTTTAGAGACTGAAAGGCATTTATCTTCCGCAGAAGGCGGTCAAGACTACGCTTGGAGTTTCCACTAGCTAGCCGAGGCTTTAAAGAGCCAAACTTACGATAGGGCACTACCTATTGCAGCGTAGACCAAGGGACGTATCTGATCAATATCGAGAAAGCCTTGAGCCCTGGCTGCTTCCCCGACGGGATCCCCCAAGCCTGATGCAAGATTGAGCGGTTCTGAGTCTCTCTTTTCTCTAACGCGGTCGAGAAAGGACCTCAGCGATTCATTTTCTTTGTCTCGAAAGAGCAGCGCTCCATCCTGGGCCCTTGATGAGGCAGAGGCCGTGCTGAGTACTGAGAGACCCAGGCGATGCATCAAGGCGCAAATGTGGCGGATCTGATTGCTCAACTCTGTGCTGCGCTTCTTGGCTTTTGCAAGCGCTTCCTTCTCGTTTTGCATTCGGCTGCGAAGAGCAAACCACGACAGCAGCGCAGGGCTAATAGACAGATCATGCAGCATACAGCAGACAGCGTGGCAGTCTAACAGATGCCCGAGCCAGGGAGTAACCATACAAGAACAATGTCTATGTGAATGAGATTATAAGTAATTTTAAAACTCACTAGAGAACTTTTGAGACAACCTCCAAGCCCATTTCCTTCGCTCTTTTTAACTTAGCAGCCCAGCCTTCCCTCTCTGCCTTTTGCTTGAGGATGAGTGCCCTAAATTTTCGAGCTTCACTGGTGTCACGCTCATGATCCACAGGCTCCTCTACTGTTGATGGCTCTACCGCTATCTGTTGATCGGTAAGGATTTCACTGGCTTGCTTGGAAGGAGCAAGTGCTCGTCCCTTCTTAACGGCCTTCGACACTTTTACCTTGGCTTTCTTCTCCCCTTTCGTTCGAGCAACCTTTGTTTTAGCCGCAGTTCCAGCTGCCTTTGCGTGCTTCCCCTTGCGCTCAATGGCAACTCCATCATGAGTTTGCACACCAGCCCCCGCTTCCTCTGTCTCAGCTTCTGGTGCTGCCTCGTGATCTGAAGTCTCGGTAGCAGATGACTCTTCGCAGCTCAGAGCGTCTTCGGCTGGGGTAGGTGGTTTATCGTCAATAAACTCAAGCTCCTGCAACGCCCCTTCTATGGAGTGTTCCAGGGTCTCGAACCGCAAGACGCCACCAGCCGACTCGCCGCTAGACGATGAGCGGAGAGTGCCATAAGTCTTCAGGCCCAGACATACACAGCACCAAACTACGGACAATGTACTAGCGTGGACAAGGCCGGTACGTCTATCTGAGCCTACGAGCTGACCGCAGTACTACCTCTTACAGCCTGCCCTTCTTCGGCAGCTCTACCTCTTGTACTACCCCGTACGAGTGCCGTGTACTAGAAATCCGATGAGCATATACCATTTCTGCGCGGTGTGTATGTGCTCATCAATCAAAAACACTGCACTGAACGCAGTGATTGGCTCACATCGTGCTTTATATCCTGACCGAAGCGACCCAGCAAGCTGAGGGCGTGCGTCATGGATGCACGGACTCCTGGGTCTTCAGACTCAGCCTGGTTCAGGCCGTCGATGTCACGAAGTCCGTATCGAGCGGCGGCTAGGGTTTCCATTCTTCGGAATGTAGAGGGCCTACGAATAATCAGAGCACTTAATCGTCGTCGCAATTTAAGTGGCGCAAACGAAGTCTACAGTTAATGACACGAAGGCTATGTACTCTTTGTTACCGCGAGCTCGGCAGTGTCCGCAAGCTCCCCCAACAGCAATCGAACTAAGCTCCAATGACTAGAAGTGCCCAGTGCACAAGACTTCTTGAAGACAGTATGGTCTGCGCTACTTGCTGAGCTTTAGGAGAGCACGATGGCTCTGACGTTGTTCACTAAAGTGAAGAATGATAATACGCCTGTCTAAGAGTACACTCACTGGCGCAGTGTACGCGCCCTTTGCAAGCTTCCACCTGCCGCACTGGGTGGGGCAGGTGACGCTGTAGCTTTGATTATGAACTGCTGGAACTTTGCCACTTTGCTTTCCAAATCATTCTGAGCACACAAGATTTGTTGAAAAAGCTCATCCCTCGAAGGCTTTCCCTAATATGTGTTGAAGTCTGCAGGCTCAGTTGTCAGAATTACTAAGCTGTTTGCTTTTGGCCTGCCTTTAGAATTCTGATTTGTTCATCGTTCTCCACAGAGTGCTTCGCAGACACTCCAGCGGTGACACCACCCTCAGAAAGTTCCTTAAGTTGTGAATGAAGCCTGAATACCCAGAGCACTTCACCATACACTTCTTGTATGCACAGAAACGTCCCGCACATCTTTTTCCCCACCACCTTTATGCGCTCTGAGTCAGCTACACAAAACTAACTGGCCAAACCACTGGCAGTCTATATCCCGTTTAGAATCGCATAGTCCACTGCCCAGCAAACACCTGTAGCAATCTAGTTTCCATACGCCATAGATTCGCTTACATTGCGATAAGCTTTTTCTGCTGCGCAATAAGTGACTGTTCCGGGGAAAAAAAGTTTGCGCAGATCTTCTTCTTTATTTCTTTGCACTTCATCGCGAAGCGAAGCGTTGAAAACGATGTGTCTAAGTAACGACTAGAGGGGTGTACAGCAACCAGCACTGCTGCTCGGCTGTTGCCCCCGAGAGCTTTCTGAGCATATCAACACAGCGCAGTCCAAAAATTTAGAGGCAAAAGATTGTAGTGACCTTAAATGAACCCGTGTGAATTGCACCGCGTGGTCTGTTGCAAGATGGAAGAATTCGTGTGTATTAAACTTGGCAAAAACTAATTCTATTCGGCTGAAAAGTATACAGGTAGTCTGCAACAACCCCTACTTGAAGAAGTCGAGTAAGTTTGGAGTCACGCCATGGAATATATACATCCTTCTCAGATTTCTTCCCCTTCTTGTCATCGCTTTGCTGCTGTGCTTGCTTTGAAAGTTTGGATATGACCTCGCTGCGGTCAGGGTACACAAAGTTTGAGACCGTCACACAGCATAATTAGGATACATCAGACAGAGCTGTAAGACGATTGCTACGAGCTTCAAAGTGCTCCAGGATACACGATACTGTTCCAGTAACAACGGTGAATGATCGTACGAAAGAAGAAATAAGGACTTGTTGATAGCTTTTCCCTCTTCGAGGACCAGCTTTGCATTTTCCATGCCCTCTGAGGCTCTGCCAGCTTTCTCATTTCCAGCCAGATCGACTATTTTCAGCTCGCCTCGTCGGCTAACATTTGTGCCATCCTCAAAAGTACTCGTGGATTCCAGAGTAATAGAAAATACGACGTGGGATCTGAAAACAACAGCAGTAGAACACACGAGTGGTGGAAGCTCAGAGCATCTTACTCATAGCTTTGTACTGCAGGGCTTCGCCTCCAGAGCCACGAAAAGCAAATGACAGCACTCACCTAGACGAAGTTTCATTGAAATTCGTGCACGCGAAATGACGCCGCTGCTCAGCTCTGCTCAGTAGTAGAGGCAAACACAACCAGCCAAAGGCAGTTGCGACAGGTAGCCCTCAGTAGTATCAAGCTGAAAACTGAGAACTACTGCCTTCTGTCAGGAGACACTAGATTAGAAAACTAAGCCTCCCTCGTACAGCAATCAACAATGCAGCGACTACCTTGGCCCAAGGGCTACCTGAAAATGCACTACTGCCGCATGGGCGGCTGCATTTACTTGGATAAAATGGTCATTACTTCTTCCATTGAGGCCACCACTTCTTCGTGGAGGCCCACTACCACAAAGCCTTTCTTTGGATCTTCTTTGACATCCAAGTTTTCCACTGCTCCGCCACGAGGGCCTTCTTGCAACAAATCATTCACTCGCTCCAAGTATATTTCCACGTATGATACCCTCATGAGATACTCCTTAGAACGCAAACAAGGAGCCGTTGGCCTTTGCCCATGAGTTTTGTAAATCAATGCTTGCAGAAGGGTCAAGAATCCCACTGCTGTGCGGTCAAATAGAGTCTAGTGACTAAAAAGTCATTCTGCGATCCGAAGTTCCACCAAGAGCACGTACGATACATGCGCGTAAGTAGAAACCCACTCTGTTTTCGCCGTCCTCAAGGGCTTCCGCCTTTCGGGGAGATTGAAGCTGGTCTTGCTCTAGCGTGTCTTCCTTTTCTGCAGCAGCTTCCGCCATTTCCTCTTGAAGCAATGAGGAATCCGACATGCAGTCGAAAAACTCTGCAAGTGATCGTGGCAAAATACCAGGGTCTTCTGCTACTCCCATGATGGAATGCGTCTTCCCGGACCCTGCATAATTTGTCCGAGCCAGCGCCACATATCGCAGTGCAAAATGATTCCGGAAGGACTGCACCAGACAGTCGATAATATTTGAGAGTCCCGTCGTAGAACTCATCGGGATTCGAGGTAATGCCACAGCAAATGACAGAGCGTTGCGCAGCACTCGGCTCCGTTTCATGTTACGCATATAAGGGCAGTGATGGTGCACCCGAGTGTGAAGGACCAAACACGTTTTGCAGAGCTCACCAGTTTGTCCATATGCAAACACGCAGCCATTGATTCCCTTGAATGCATCCAGAACGATATCCCTCGCCACGTAGCCAAAAACTTCGTCATTTTCAGCTGCATGTACAAAACCACATGGTAGACTACGCTATCCCAACGACTGAAAAACGACCACAAAAAGTGCGTGGCACCCACGGGACTTATTCAAAGTCCAAGTCAAAGGTACCTAGCACCACGCTATTTTTCCATTAACACACTTGTCTACTACCATTGTGGTTACGATTCAAAGGCCGTATTGGGAAAGCCACAGGGTGCCCAGGCGTACCATCATCATCGAAACATCTGTCAAACGCGTAGTACCTTTGTACCTGGTCCTTTTGTGCCTGAGTTTTCTCAGCGACCTTTTTAGACGCTTTTCCCAGTCGTGTTTCTTCAAGTTCCGTCTGTGTCGGTGGCTCAACAATCAGCTGCATTGACTTTTGTTCAATCTTCCAGGCCATGATGTGCCCGGCCTCGACCTAAATACACGTTTATCCAAAGAACTGGTGGCCATGTAAGAGTTATGGGTAAATCATCAGGCTTTGCACGATATTTTGGCGAACTCACCTTCGCGACCACGGGTCGGACTACCTGGATTCTACCTAAGTCCTTGGATGTTCAATCGGGGCTCCAACCTACCTCTTTTGGGAAAAGCGGGCGCATACGCGTGCAGACCCTGATGCTTTCTTCCACTGATTCTGGATCTACTGGGAGACCTTCATCTTTAGGGTCTGCCATCTTGACCTTGCGGCCCTTGGACGTTCCTTGTTTAACGAGTGACATTTTTAGAACTGCACCCTCATGTAAGATGAATTATAGGGTTCCCCGATGACGCTATAAGTCCTAGCGCGGTCATAAGAGCGACAAAACGAATAAAGAAATGCAAAATACTTCTTTCTTGGACCTAGATGAAGCTTTTGCAGCAGAAATGGAACCGAGACTCCCAGATTTCCCCGTAACGCCACTGTGGCAATGTGCAGAGAGGGCCCTTCGGGCCTGTGGGGACGAATCAGGCAAATCCAATCCTCTTGATATGTTACAGCCTCTTAGGAACTAAAATCACGCCGCTGGATATACTCGGTGCATCCGCGCCCCCCCCTCAAGCCGGATGATTACGCAGACTCGCCAGTAAGCATCGACGTCTGTTGCGAGGCAGGCGCGCATCTGCTGGGCAGAAAAAACACGAACCGTACCATGCATCAAGACGGGTGAGAAAGGTCATATCTATATTTAATGGTAGGGCAATATTTGCACGGAACAGAGGGTTCATGCGGACTCAGTAAAACCGCTCAGAGACCAGGTCGTGGGAGAGCCCGCCACAGCCTTCGCTGCCTCTCCAGCCCTGGTTCTTCCTAGCGTTTCAAGCAAAGACCAGTAATATGTAAAAGTAAAAATGAGTCAGGTTTGCCTCAATGGAGCAATTGTGGCATGCTGAAACCCTCTGTGCTACTGGCCGGCGCTGCGTCGCCACTGTTCGGCTATGGGGCCCACGACCGGGCAAAAAGAGGGCCCAATAAATTAGATCTTCTACCCGTTCTGAGTGAATTTATTTTGCAATGACGGTCTCATGATGAAAATGAAAGCTTATGGGCTGTTGTATAGCTCCTGCCCGCAGTTCAACAAGCGATCGTCGCGGTGCAGCGAACTCCATCAAGCCTTCCGGCCCTCACAGAGTGCCCATTGCCATTCTAAGACTTTTAACGCATCCAACATGCATATTCTAAAGATATCATAATTGTAAAGATGGTTCGCGTCACCTGCGACCGTACAGTGGAACTAGAGTCGGTGAGGGCACACTCCACACCCGTCAACCAACCCTAAAATCAAGGACACAAATTCATTGTAAAATTCGTCACTCTCACGCACCTGGGCTTCTGTGAACATTATTTCTGTTGGGATTCGTGAGATTATGGCCTACAAAACCTCATTGGTGCCACCTTATAAGTCCCACAAGGGCGAACGGTCTGGTTGCGTGTACGACGTGCACTACTGGCTTCTCCATTGGAAGGTTTTGATAATAAAGATAGATATTGTAGTGCATCTCTTCCCCAATCAAATTAAAATGGAAGTAGCGCATAGCGTGCAGGGGTTCTATGCGAAGAAGGCAACACCAATTAGGTTGCAAACCGTCAAGCTAAACTTTGGTATTGTGGAAAATCACAAGATTAGTAGGGAAAGGCGCTAGATATTCATCGGGAGGTTGCCCTTACCGGATTCGTGGTATTATGGGTCATTTCTGCATATATAGCATATACTGTGAGAACATTTCACTAGGCTCTGTCGCGTGGCAAAGACACTAGTACAAAAGGCGACTATTTGCGCGGCTGAAAGATCTAAACATTACTTCTGGCAAGTAAACACCATTGCCTCTCGGTAATAGTTTGTAATATGCTGGCATAAGCACATATCTTTTCAGCGAACTAGTTAACGCATGGCTCAGCATGCCTTGTCCCGCGTTGCGTCTTGAAACCTGATTGAAACATGACACTTTTGCAGCCCCTGCACTTGCTATTAAGCAGAATAAGAATGAGACCCAGCGCTTGGATTATTAGTTGGACACATAGCTAAAGCTATAACACTTACAGACTTTACGATTTCAAGGCGGCTGTGCGAACGTATTTTGACTGTTTGTAAGTAGGCTGAACACCGTGCATGTTTGTCCCCCCTAAAGTATGAATGCATCGTCAAGCCCACCTCGCTAGCGATTCGGCGCACGTATGATGTATATCTAAGCTCACAGCATATTGAAAACTGGCTCTTTCCCTCCACGTTGCCAAAGAAGTTTGGGCGGTGGCTTTAGAACTAGATCACTGGAAAACAAGACGGAGCACCAGCAGACTCACAAAGCCACAGAATGGAATATGGGTGCCTGAGCTAAAAATTGAAGCTGTATAGCCACCTGAAAATCGACAATATGCTGATTTGCTTAGGTCTAGAGATACTTGCTACACGACTGCGCTTACTAGAGTGGCCACCAGGTCCGTGACACCAAAATTCCTTCAAAACTCTTGAAATAAGATCTATTCCTTTCAAAGAGCTTTCCCTAAATATTTTTTTCCAATAGACGTAAGTCTGACCCAGGAAAAGTGGATGATAGGGATTTCACATAAGTGCCCTCTCCGACACGCCCGCAATCACAGGCATTCGTATACAGTAATTTGGAGAACAAGAGCACAGCGTACGCTCTGATATAATGGGGCTTCCCTTAAGACGCAACAAATATCGAGAACAGATTCATATAGGGTGATACGAACATAGGAAATTAAATTTAAGCGTAACTTAACTGTCGCTGCAACTGATGAAATGAATTTTGGCCACAATAGCTACTCTTGTGCAAATGTCAGTGAAGAAAGCTAGCATCAACTTGAATTTATGACAATTTCGGAAGGGCACGCAATATTCGAGCTAGAACACGCTTTTCCGCATGGCATTTCTCCATCAAGTCCTCCATGTGAAGGCTGGAAGCCCCGACACCCCATGAGTAATTCAAAGTGTTTCAGTTCCTGTTCTTTAGGTCTTCCCCGTCTACCTGTCCTTACTCAGCAGGGATCCAGTGTAAAGGCAGCTGAAGGATTGGGGTGCACTATCTTGCTTTTTCTGATCAGTCCAAGTTTCTGCATGAAATTGTACACTGGTCTTAGTGCACACCCTCACGGCAATTATACTTCAAGTGCGGAATTCTGCCTACTATGTAGAACATTAATTTTACGCAGAGGCTACTAAAACACAGTCGATGCGCAATAAAATCTTACTCGACATTACTGCTACACTGGAAATGACAGTAGCTTCGCTCACAAAACATTGACGGCAAGTTAGTGAGGGTCATTACTACAAGTGTAGCGGGCTCAGCTACACTTATGAAATTCCTAGTGCACTGATCACACTTGACTGAGAATTGGTACTAAGAATTAGTTTGGAGTTGACTTATTTGTTCGTCTGATCATATATCTTATTTATTGCAGTGTACTCTTGAATCAATTGACGAAGACGTGGTGTTGTGGCCGTACGGGGTAGGTGCCACGTGCAACCAGCTGTGAATGCTAGGAGTACTTTGAGGGCGCAATAACGAACGCCCTAGCTGCCCCCTGACGTCGGGAGCTCTGAATGGCGCGTGCAGGGAGAGGCTAAAGTTTTATTGAGTAACAGTCAATAACTTCCAATCAAGCATTTTGCTGAGTGCGGACTTTAGTGCTTCCGTACGGGGACCTTGGATTGGGCGTTTCCTCAAGCGCTCATATGCTAGGACAGCATATTGGTTGAACGTTAGAAAACATATGCTGTTTATGAGGAAACTGAGTCACAGCGTATATGCTGATGTGTGCATTGACAGGGTGACCAAAACAAAAAAAGCAGCCGTAAAGTCCGGTGGTGGGTCAGGTTGCCTTGTGCCAGTTGTCCAATGTGGCACCTTGGAATATGCTTAACACATTGATTGAGACAAAAATTGGGGATACTAGCTGGCCGCTCATAGTCGCGTGTGAGCAATGTGACACTAGTTGAGCGGTTACATGTATATTTCTTTGAACACTGGCAATTTTTGGAATGTGGTCTACAATTCATTGTAAATGAGCGTGCTCATCTCTCGTGGTGGGTACCTAGTACGAGCACTCATAGCATGTCTTGTAGTTGAGCTTCCATCTGCCCTCCTCAGGAAAAGTGGAAACAAATTAAGCTTACTTTTTTCTGGAATATCTTGCGCCAGAAGAGAACACCGGTTGTACTAGTCGTCGAAGTCATTCGAACTCGGGAGGTGGTGCAGAGGCAGCGATGTCCACTTCCGTGCATGTTTTGCTAACAAGCTTAACCACACACTTCCTAATCGATCTCCAATTCAATTCACCATAATTTGTTCTTTGTAAGACGTTTAAATCGAGGCGTCAGTGAAGTAACCCGTAAATGCACCGGCAAGCGCGCAAGCTCTTGCATATTGAGAGACAGTCCCAAGCGTCCCTCTAGATTTGGGAACCATTTTGCATCGGAAGCATTATACAATCATCCTTGGACACGTTAGCTTTCTGTGCGAAGGTCTACTTCGGCGAAGTATTCCGGTTACCCCTACAGGCATAGGACACCACAGGCACCACTGTAGGGTCGTCAAAATGTCTCATGGATCATCGAGTGAGCAATCTATGTAATCGTTGCCATGAAGTAGGTTAGAGTCCTTGAAAGTCGTTTGGTACATGGCGTGTGGCACACTGCTGTGCATGACTGCTGCTAGAAAACAGCTACCATAAGGATGTGCTGCTATTGGTGCTTGAACCTGCAGCGATAAAGGTTGGATTCTTGGGAGGGGGAAAGATGGCGAAGGCTATTGCAGCGGCGATTGTCCGTGCTGGTATGTGCTCTGCTTCGGATATCAACATGAGCTCGCGGACCGAAGATTCTATGAAGGCAATAGCCGCTCTTGGATACAAGGCGGGGACAAATACGGAGGCAAGACTCTGTTCATTGATTCAGTTAATTCGACTTATTGGCACTGTACTGACTTTTCTGCGCTTCACTCTGTCACCTACATCTTAAATTTTTTGGACCTATTTATTCGTGTTCACTTGTGCATTTTCCTCGCCATAAACCAATATAATGCCTAGCACTTGGGTGTCTGTGGCTATCAGGTGACGGAAAGGACACATGGTGGCATCTTATTTGTCACAGTAAAACCTGCAGGTGCTCTCGCCGTCCTGGAGGAGGTTCGCAATTCTCTGAGTTGCGTCGCAGTGCTCGTGTCCGCCTGTGTTGGCGTGCCGCTTGCAGAACTTTGCAATGCGGCACCTGGCATTCCGGTTGCTCGAATTATGCCGAATGTTCTATGCGCCGTCGGAGAGGGAGCCACGGGATTCTGCATGAACTCCTGCAACGAAGACGCAAAAGCGCTGTTACTCCGAGTCCTGAAGGCATTTGGTCCCGTCCATGCTATCTCAGAGGACCTCTTCGACGCCTATAGCGCAATTAGTGGATCAAGTACTTGTCAGCCCCTAAATTTCCCGAGCACCCTGAAGCGCCTTGTTGAATGTGGTTTCAATATCTTACCACTTTCTTGCGAAAAGATACTGGAAGACCTTGTTGAGCGCTTCAGGCCCTGCGTTCGTCTGCACATTCATTGAGGCGATGATTGATGGTGGAGTTAAGTGGTGAGCGTCCAGCTTGTAGTTAGTCGCGCTTGAGTCTGATAAGCAATCTTTCACATCTACATTCAGCAGCTATGTTAAGGCTGACAACTTTGTTGCTACTTTGCGTTCTTGTGATGCAACAGTGGCCTGCCCCGGCAGTTGGCTACAGAAGCTGCCCTGCAATCCGTTAGAGGCACAGCGATTTTAGCACAGACCAGCGGGGTTCATCCAGCGCTCATTCGCGATGATATTACCTCACCTGGTGGCACTACGATTGCGGGGGTATTGGCGATGGAACGGAGGGCTCTTAGGGCAGCTGGTACGTTGTACGCCCTTCAATCAGGTAATAGGTCCCCAATATATTTAAGCCATGACATATGCGTTTATGCCATTCTTGCCCTGTGGGCGTGCGGTAGCCAGAATACTGTGCTTTCGTGTGTTGTGGCGGGACATGCATTCAGTTGCTGAAGGAGTGGAGGCTGCTTGTGATCGTTCGAAGGAGATACGCTCCTTACTTGAGGCGCGCTTAAACAAGTAGCGATGGCTTTGAAACCGGGTACAGGAGCTCCACCGCTACTTGCAGCTTCATCCAATCTTTAAAATGTCCTGCTGCCTAAAAAGTTTTGAATTTAGTTTGGACGAGAGGCGAGTTCCTCGAGGAGCGTTAATCCCGTCCGTGTTTTTGAAGTTGGAACAGTGCAGTAGATATTCTAAACCAATCCCGTGTTCCGCTTTATGTGTCTCATCGTAGGGAGACACCCGTTTCAGACTGCGCGTGCCTTCTACCCGCCTTACTCGGAGATCCCGACATTATGGGACTGAAATAGGTAAGGTGCGGGGAGCTGCACTACCTAAGCACTTCGTACTTTCACCGATAGTGCATGCAGCATCTAGAGCACCCGCACACAGCGATGCGTCTTTTGAGATCTAGCTAGCAGTACTCTGCATCAATTGAGATGTACGAGCAATCGAATTAATTAGTAGTTCTTTACCAATTCGCTGTATAACTAATGTGGTGGAAAGTGTCTGAGTACAGCGAATCCACTGCAACTCTGCTCTTCTTTCACCTGATTTGAATGGGTGATATGCTAATACTGAACCAAGAGCAAGCTCGGAGGAATGCTGGTCAATGCGCCTGACGATTGTATTCGTACGAATAAAGCAATTTCTAAAGTACCACTAGGGATGAGGCCGTCTGGTGTTACATAGTGTAGACTTTGGCGGTGTGCTTACTGATCGGTGAAAGCTGCAGGGTGTTAGCAAGAAAGCGATCAGCCAACCTTCAGTTGTGCAGAGCAATGAAGGGGTGCAGTCGAAGAAACCTGGATCTGCGTCACACAATAGATCAGTTATAATCGGCTAGAGTATATCGCTATCCCGTCTCTCCCAATAGAAAATCCCAAGTCAAGCCTTAGCATCTAAGCAGATCTACGCGGGAGCCGAAAAGGAACACCATTGAATGCGTTGGAAATGGAGAAAAGACTAATGGCATCGCTAGAGGGGGCTAGGCAACTCCACTCACGTGGACCCTAAGCATGAGTGTTCACAGCGAACATGTAAGCATACCGGTGTTCATATCCCTCTATCATGATTTTAGCAAAAGCAGGTTGTGCTTTCGAGCTATTACTAGGCATTTAGCTTCCATCTGAACTGCCGTTTTGGCAGCGCTTTGGTAGTTGGGAAACTTCCACAGGACCCCGGAACAATGAAGGCTATTTAGAAAGCAACAATATTTACATACCAATGCAATTGTGTTCCATTGATACTTTGCCACCTAACCGCTTCGCAGTATCTCGGACATGCAGACAAACACCGAGTGTGGGACCGGGCCCCCCTTAAGGGTTGAGAAGCAAGGATGATTGCCCTAGCATTGTTTTTGTGTATCATTTTGCCTTATTGTGTGTCCTTGAATTTAGTCGAATACGGAAAACGATTTTTTACGCTGAATTCTTGGCTACAGAAGTGATGGTTCTCCGCTCTGCTCACAGACGGCGCCCCATTTATTGTGTACCTCCAGGATGAAGTCGCATATATGATCTCACCAGCAGCAATTTACTGACCAAAGCATGCACGTGTACCCCGGGGTGAGCTTCCAGCCTCCGGCCTAGAGCCTGTTCGGAGGCATACCGTGCTTGATCATTACTGGAAGCCCTCGCACTAAGAGTAACTTGCAGGCAACACCAGAAATCACATAATGGGCTTATGCTCGTAGGTCCTGTTTCAAGTGGTTGGGGGCTCTCCTACGTGCAACACTCCCCTCATGAATCAATCCTCTCCTGCTAAGGCTGCGAGCCCTGCCTTGCCTGGATGCCTCGAAGCGATAACTCCTGTGGAGGAGCACAGCTTCCTTCGGTGCCAGCTGAATGATGGATCCAAGGAGACACCATGTAGAGGGCCTCCGGTGGGTGCTGACGTCTGCGCGGACGCTGCACCTGGCAGCAGCAGCAGTTGCCCCGTCGTGGGTGGTGCCTCCACTTTCGAGACCAGCAGCAGTTTAGACTTTGAGGATCTTTCTTGCTTTTCTGCTCCTACATCAGCCTTGCCAGAGGCCCCTGCGACCCTTCGGACTCTCCCTGGTGGACGACGCATCGCGCGAATTTCCGACGAAACGGCGGCTGCGCTAAGCAGCCAGCAAGTTGTTATCGATCTTAGGAGCATTTGCAAGGAGCTCGTGGAAAATGCTCTGGATGCCGGTTCGACTTCCATTGGTGGGTCTGCTCTCTGTGTGGACAATCTCGAGGTCATATTTGGGGCATAAACACGGAGTGCACGAGGCAGAGATCCTGTTAGGGGTTTGGGTGTTGATGAAATGAAGATGAGCTTTCCCTTTCGCACCATGCTCCAACGCGCACTACATCGAGAATACAGAAATAGCCTTTCTGAGGGTTGGAAACCAGAGACAAATGCAGGCCTGCCAGATCTAATGTAGAGCGAATGTAGTTGCTGCTGCTCTCAGCTGAATGGTGTTGTCAGGAGGCTGCTTCCTGCCGCGTCTTGTGCTGTTCGCGTATTTGTATCGCAGAAGTGCGGCTGATGGACTGTGGATTGGGAGGAGTGGAGGTGCGTGACAACGGCAGTGGCATTTCCCCCGAAGACCTGGAACTCATTGGTACGTTGCGCATGTGCTATCGTCGGAGGTGGGAAGTCGTTCTTATCTCGTCACACAATATGCCAGGAAACGTACCCGGGAGTCTTTACCTTGCGCAGCCAATGGGCTACGGGGCAGTGAACCAAGTGTTCTAGGATATCTGTTGGAACTGCTGTCTTTTGAACTCGGAGCGCACACCGCTGCTTTGGCCGCTCATTCTGCAAGGCCCTCGCACTCTTGCGTATTACCCCACTGAGACATGGGAAACAGCCCATTACTGCGCCGCATGTTCTGCAGGGTGCCGCCACGCGACTTCGAAGATAAGTAGCTTTGATGATGTCTACAGCAAGTTGGATTCGCTCGGTTTTAGGGTATGTGGAACCCGTAAATGTGACAGTTTGCTTCATGCTTTTGCAGTGCGTATTTTATCGAAACAACTGGACGAAGCACATTCAGCCAAAGGGCCAAAAAGGACGGACTGACGTGTTCCTACTCAGGCTTGGTGTGTTGTCGCCCTTCAGTGTGCCTCCCCTGCCAGCCGCTTGCGTGTTCTGCTACGCAGGGCGAGGCGCTGTCCTCCCTCTGCTTCGTCGCCCGTGTGTCAATTGTGACGCGATGCCGTTCAGCCGATTTCGGGACGCGTGTGTTCTTTGACGCCAAGGGCAAACAAGTGGCTCGGGAAGCCGCAGCGCGAGAGGTAGGGGTTCCTTTTTTCTTTAACAGTCGGGGGGAAGCTTTGAGCGGGAGGGAGGACAGATTGAGCTATGGATTTTACGAATAGACCCATAGCAGCTGTACAGGCTGAACAGCCCATTTCGTGCTCCTCTACGCGGCTCTGATATGAGCACGACACGTTGTATTGCCTAGTTTCCCTCATCTGGCTTGCGCGTCTTGGTGCACTCGCTAAGGACCCCACTTCTAATAACATTTCCCTGCCCTTACCGCTAATGCCACGTGTGTGTGTGTGTGTGTGCTGACCGCCATGCAGGTGGGCACTACCGTGAGCGTGGAAGATATCTTTGGACGTATGCCTCTGAGACGGCGGACGATGGAGCAGACAAAGCAGCGCCAGCTCCAAGATGCCCTCGCGCTGCTACAGAGGATTGCTCTGTTGCATGCCACTTCGTGCAGAATCGTTTTCTCGAATTTCGACCCCAGGACGTACGCACTGGGTATTGGGGCTCTTTGTTTCTCCTGCGAGTACCTGTCAGCAGATGTGTGCCGTTCCGCAAGCAGTTACTCCCAAGCTTGTATGCAGACTGTGATCTGCTGTGTTTCCACGCTTACGCAAACCATAGGCCAAGCTCTTGCGTCTGTGGGCTGCGCTTCCAGAGGGGGCCGTAGCACCTTCTTGGCGACGAAAGGAACGAGTTCTGGCTTGCTGGAAGCGGCCCTAAGTGTTTACGGTGCGAAGCAGCTGGCGGCTTGCAGTGAATTGATGCTTTCAGGGACCGAGCCGGGGCGGGAATGGAGGTGCGTTTGGCTTTTTTCCCTGTCTTTCGGAATCACGAACACGCATGCATCAAGGAAGTAAGCATGGTGGGTGCGTCTCGCAGACTCGCTGTCGTTATATCGCGGCCCCCACATGGCATTCGCTCGACTGCCTTGCAACACTTTTATGTAAGGCGAAGACCCGTCGAATTCCCACCGTTGCTGCAAAAACTGCTCAACAAGTAAGCGCTATATTCCTGCGCCAAGCGCTTACAGAGTTCAATAGCTAGCTTACCTCCTGAAGGCAAAGGCGAGCAAACTTTTTTGGCATCTAACGCTTAGTCCGGTGATAGGCTTTGCAGCAAAGAGTTTAGTGGCAGAATTCGATGACGAGAGCTTACGGCGTGCCCGTGTTCGTAGGAAATGGAAGGAAGTCAGTAGCCGCGGCCTGTTCCCAGTTTGCCTCGGCTTCTTGGAGCTTGATGCTTCACTCCTTGACATTAATGTCAGGTAGGGCTCCGCCCTTTCCTAGCCTGTTCGCCTGCATTCTGGAAATTTGTGGCCTCTTACATTGGCTTTAACATCTGATGAGCGCGACAGGCACTGCATCTAAACCTGCAGCAGGGCACTGTAGCCTGCGTTGTGTTAGTGTTTGTTTCTGGGCATAGGAAGGATAAACAGCAAGTCCTTCTTGCGGTGGAAAAAGACATTGCGCATGCGCTACTGGTGAGTAGAAGGTAGTTCTCAACACAGAAGTGAACTAATTGGCCGCTAGCAGTAAAGAACATGAACGGTTATCTTGACTTTTATGATATGCAGGAAGCTGTTAGCAAAGTTCTCGCGCCCTCGGTGGCATCCTTCAAGCCGGACGGCCCAAAGAAACAGTGTCAGCTCGAAATTCAGTGTAGCAGCACGCCCGCGCAGCTGCCTGAAAGCCTGCATCCGCACCGTGAAGCACAGCCTGTGCTTATGATAGAGCAGCAACAACAGCAAGACTTGCAGAAGCCAGTTAACCACCAACAGCAGCCAGCGAACCCCCAGCCGCACGAGGGCGACCATGCTAAAGATGGACTGCAAGCACAGGAAGAAAGACACCAGGAACGGCAGAAGCAGCAGACTTGCGAACAGGAACAGAGTGAAGGCCCTCCTGCCATCACATGTTCGGATAAGGGTGCTCCCACGAGTGTTAGTGAGGGGCCTGGAGGTGAAAAAAACGCCTACTCAGCTTCCTCCTTACTTTCCAACGGTGCGCGATTCCCCGAAGTGAGCCTCGAGGAAGGACGAGAAACACTGACGCGCCAAGAAATTCCAGCTCAGCGGAATCAAAGGCTCAATGCAGCACATCTTCACAGTGCCCTACCTCTCCACGACGCCACGCAGATTAGAAGGCCTCTTCTCACAAAACGCCAGCGCGTCACGGTTCACCTTCCGGGAGAAGACTTGCAAGCGTCGGAGCCGCCTCAAAAGAAGTTTGGCCAGCCTCCCGAGGGGCACCAAAGACATTCAGCTCCCAGCAGTAAAATCACTGATTCCGCACAGGAGGACGAAAGAGCTGCAGGTGTATGTGCCGTGCATTCAACTGCTTCTGATTCTTCCGCAGCCTTCGCATCGCTCCAGGAAGCTTCGGCCGGACCCCACAATCTAGCAGTGTCCTCCCGTGCAGCAAGTGACGAGGCTGATTTGGTGTGTGATGAAATTCTTGCTGCCGCTGTAGGGGAGCTTTGTATAGATCTCGATGAAATGTTCGACGTGAGGAGACCTACAACGTATCCTGCAACTGTAGGCGAAGAGGACGTGGCTGCCGCTCAAAATGCCGGGCAGTCTTCCGTCGGCCCCGCATTGCCGTGGCTCGATACTCCTGAAGACTTTTCTCTCTGTGCGGAGGATTTCTCGGCTAGAGGCATGAGTAAGGCCTCCCAATTCTTTTTATTCAAGAAAGACTTTTTTACTGACTTGGCGCTCGTCGGGCAGTTCAACGAAGGCTTTATAATTGCTGCGCTCCGCGGTAAAAGACCCTCTTGCAGCGTTTCCGGACAGCAAAACGCAGCTGCATTGGAGGAGGCAGATGCGCGCCGGATCGCCAACAACAGCGTCGGCTGTAGCAAGCGGAATGGCCCCAACGGCGACACAGTGACGAGTCTGTTTATCATCGATCAGCACGCGAGCGACGAGAAAAGAATCTTCGAAGCCCTAAACGCGGAGTTCCACCCGCGCATGCAGCCACTGATTGCCCCGCTAAAGTTGTCTCTGCCGGCCGACCTCTTGGCTGCTGTGGAGGCGTTTGCCCCCCATCTTTCGAGCAACGGATTTGCTTGCGTTGTGTGTGGCGCATGCGGGCCAGAACGCCCTCTTCAAGCCAATCGGCCTATCATCACGCCTGCTGTGTCGCAGCGCCCTTGCGTAGCGGCTTCCGTCGCTGCTCAAAGGGGATGGGCCGGAGTGAACTCTGCGGGAGTTCGGAAGGCACAACAGCCGAAGCAGCTCATGGACGCCAGTGGAACCGACTCGGTGCCGAAAGCAAAAGAGGACGAGACACACTGGGATCCTTTGCACGAAGAGGGCGATGGCGATGGCGATGGGGAGGGGCAGAGGCATTGCTACCTGACGGGCTTGCCAGTAATTGAGGGGCGCCAGTTGAGTGCTTCGGATTTCATCGAGTTCCTTGGTGCGCTGGCTAGCGAGGATCAAGGAAAGGCCATTTGGAAGGGCACGATGCCTCAGCCCCCCGTGCCTCCCAACGCAGCAGACCAGGAAGGAGCAGGAAGTGCCGCCGGTGCTTCCCCACACCATCGCGTTTTGCAGTATCGGCCATCGCGAGTGTGGGAAATCCTTGCGAGCAAGGCCTGCCGCAGCGCTATAATGATTGGCGATCCGCTGGCACCCCACAAACAAGTCACTATTCTAAGGCGAATGGCAGGCCTGCAGTTGCCCTTCAACTGCCCGCATGGGAGGCCAACAATGCGCCACCTCATTGATCTGTGTGTTGCCGACCGGCAACCAGATAAGCACGTCAGTCAGCAGTCCTCAGAGAAAGACAGACGTCCATTGCGCTCAGGCGAACTGCAGTCTCACCCCGCAAGCATTGCTGAGGTCGACATACACGAAGGTGTGGCTGCAGCTGCTGCTGCTGCACGTGCAAGTGCCGTACGAGAAGACGTGGTGAGTGCCACCCGACGACAGAGTTCTCCTCCAGACACGCTAGAAGGTGGAACGCAAGACCAAATGCCTCTTTCACGGGGAGACAGCCCCAGCAGCAAGCGCGCTCTGCATGCTCAGAGAAGCTACGGGAACCCCACTGCCGGCAGCGCCAGCGTAGACATGGCGACTTCTCCTCCTGAAGACATGCCGCCACTGTTCTCCGAAGACGAAAGCCAAGAGGACAGCGTGACGACAAGGTCGTGGGCTGATGACACACTGCGCGGAGAGCTAGGGAGAGTAGCGACAACGGAAGAGGTATTGGATGACTCGGGCAGCGGAGTGCCAGGCTTGCGGCTAACTATTATTGGGTAGCCGCTCCCAACCCTCTCGTAATCCACATCAGAGTTCCACTGTCTTCGAGTGACCCCGAGAAAGCCACCGCAAGAATCGAACCAACTTAGTTGTGGCCGTCTCTACATGTGGGCAGCCAGTCCCTCGTTGGGCAGCAAACCCCGCAGGCGGATGTCTTAGGCATAGCTTCCTTAGGCTCTCGGGCGCATCGGCCTGCGCTTCTCAGTAACAGGTGTTTCTACTGCGTTCTAAGCTGTTAGTTGCGTGTGGCTGAGTGGAAGGCCGCTCGCCCTTCTGTTCTGCGTTGAAGGAATTGCATGGGCACAGCTGGTCACTGAAAGCTAGGCACTCCCCCAGTCTAGAATGAGGCTTTTGCGTGAGGCACACCTATGGGTCTCAACGTGCTACAGAGGCAGAGTGTCAGCAGTACGACGCTGGCGCCGTTTCACTAGATTTTACTCGAAGTCGATCCAGGTGTACAGCCTTTCATCACTGCCAAGTGAAAACAGCGGCTGTGCAGCCATCACGTGCAGACGACTCTTGCAACCAGGGCAATGCACTTTGAGGCTCTGGCGGGTACTCCCGCTTCAATAAGTTCGGCCTCAGTTCTAGCTACAGAGAAGACGGCATCAAATTGGCCATCCACGAGGTGCCAACAATTGGGCAAGAACACAGTTTCATCGTGCCGCAGCGGCGGCAGTCTCATTATCGCCATTCCCCAGTGTTCCCGTCAAGCTAAAATCATGCAGCAAGCGGATATATATATGCGTCGAGGCTCCTAAAAGCTGCTGGATAACGTATTATATGCTCTAGGAAGTACAAGTTTAAAGGCTTCCCGAAGGCCTACCTGCACAAAGCGCTTCGTTACACTGTTCTCAGCTATCAGAGTCGCTGTGCTTTCGCTTCCGCTTGCCTGCGAATACACGCGCTCCGAGGGTAACGGCAAGACAGCTTTTGCACCGTCTTGTGTGGCAGTGCTAAATCTGCAGAGCCTCAATAGGAAGCAGAATGAATGGCAAAAAATTATAAGGGGCTTACTTTTCGAGCTTTTCTTGTCACTCTTATTCGACTTTTCCTTGCTCCTGTTGCTCGAGTGGGATGATGAAGGCTGTGATATCTGCTGCTGCAGGCGAAGTTGCTCTATGCGCTTCTTCTCCAAGATTTGGCGCTCCATTTTTTGACTGTGCTGCAGCTGTTTCTGCATCAACTCGGCTCGGCGCTTCTGCTGCTGCAGGTGTAAGAGGTGCTGACGCTGCTGCTCCTGCTGGCTGCGAATCCGGTCCACTGCGCTGCTGGTTCCTAGCAGAGATGAGGCTCCCCTTCCCATCCCCGATGCAGCGGCCTGCTCCAGGATCGCATTCGCCGCAGCTGCTGCACTCGTCAGTGCATTTCTCGAGACGGAGCGTGATGCGGAGCCAGGAGTTCTCCGAATGATCGTTGTAGCCCTACTGGCACGGAGTTCATGCAGGCGTGCATGCTCGGGAGACTTGCATTGTTTCCTATCTGGGGACGGTGTTTTGTCGCGATCGCCGGACGCGGCAGGCTTCCCCTGCTATGGCAACCACAACGCACTACACAACAGTCGTATGAAGAGACTCAGCGTGTCCAGTGCGCGAGGGCTTTAAAACTGAGCACCACAAATGCCACTCCGGACTGTTGGAGTGAGAAAGATCGTGCATGCCGCGAACAAACTGCGCTCGCCCCGTCTGCACGCTCCACCCTCGCTGCTCCGCTCAACTATGCCCGCTGCGTTCGGCGCTCATGGTACTCATATTTTTACCTCTTTGCCCTCCATTCGCTCAGCCACAATTGCACGGTATTTCGCAGCGTTCTTGTTGGCGGGTTCCAAAGCAAGGGCGGCGTCTAAATCTGCCGCGGCTTTCTCATAGTCCAGCTGCGACGCAAATTACATCAGAAGACACACAGGAGTGTCTTTCACCTTGCGGGAGCACTCTTCCCGTCGGTCAGTTCAAAGGCCTCTCCACAACGTCGTGTGTCGCCTTCAGCTCCCCCCTCTTCGAACAAGCCCTCCGACTCAGAGCGGTAAAACGAAATCGTCTGGCAAGATATCAGCAGCGCCTCCCTTCACCCACCTTGTTGGCATACGCAGCCCCCCTGGCAATAAGCGCATCGGCATAATTCGGCTGAAGCTGCAGGGCAGAGTCGTATAGCTGGAGGGCTTGATCGAGGTAGCCGCGCCTCGCGCACGCCACGCCGGCTTTGAGCCTGCGTTTCGCCCAGTCGGCACCCTGCTCCTGAGCCAAAAGTCTCCCAATACTGCAGCAGCGATGGGCAAGCAGCAAGCACAGACATTTCACGAGTATCATGCTGCGTGTTCGACTCCATCTGGCTGCAGGGTGCCTCTAATGAAGGAAGCGCAGGCTCACTCACCCTCCTGCTCGCACTGCAGGGTTCCTCTCGGCCCTCGCAAGCGCACACCGTATTGCTTCACACGGCGATGCAGCATTGAGAAGCGACATGAAACAGCCATCGCCGAGCCGCCTCAAGGCAGCCTCCCAAGCCTCTGCCTCTGTATACACGAGCACCATGTTGCCATCATTCGTTGCACGCTTCCTGCCCCCACTGGCACCTTTCGGAGGGTTGCTATCGGCAACCGACACTTTCGCTTGCGGAGCAAGAGCCATCCCCAGTAGATGGAGAGCGGAAAAGGCGTGAAGGCGCCGGTGTGTTGCAACTGGATTCATGAAGGCACCACTGGAGCGCAACATGTACGGCAAACGACTCTGCAACAACCCGGAGCCGCCATCCCACCAACGCAGCGGCTCCCTCGACTCTGCCTTTGAAGGCATCTGCAGCGCGTGAATCTGCTCAAAGTCCGCCTCCTCGGGCTGCGGATGAGCAGCGTCGTAAGGCAATGCTGCTGAAAATCCTGGCGAAAAGGAGCAGCACACGGCACGAAAACCGTGGGGCGAAAGGCCTCCCAACTTTGCATGAGTGCGCACAACACAAATGCGCTACCCGGCTAGCGCAAATGCAGCGCCAGAACAACTCAAAAGCAACAGGAAAGCAGCGAACAGGAGGATGAACGAGCCTAAAATGCCAGCGAAGAGCTCCGTCAGCGCTTCACGTCATGCAGCAAGCACAACAAAAAGCCGATCATAAAGTCACGCATACCCAAAGGTTCTTGGAGAAGCTCCACAAGCGTTGGGTTGCCCTGGAGGTCCTCGGGCAGTGCAACCGATGCCTCGACGTGGGCGTGAGCTGCGTTAAGTGTTGTCTCATCCAACAAAGGCTGGTGCTGCTGCTTTGCAAGGCGCTCGACGACTCCACCATTGCTGCTGCGCTGAAAGCCTCCCGCAAGGGTCGCACAGCTCCCTGCAGGTGCTGCGCGGCGCTTCAGGCAGACACGCACCGATGTACCAGCGCAAACGAATCGGCCGCAGCAGCCGCTCGCCTGCCCGCCAACAAACTGAATGCATGCGCAGCAGGAGAGGCCAACGGAAAGGACCAGAGTAAGTGCCACGCAGACACAGCTGCACTTCCTGCAAGGGCAAGGACTCATGGTGAAGGGGAGAACGGAGCCTGAACGCTCGAAGGGGCCTTGGATGCATTGATATACTTGTACAAGTTACCTCATAGCGGGGGATAGAGGCGACTGGTAGGGCTGCATAGAGCCCGCTGCTGCCGATGTCAACTTCTGCTCTCAGCAGACGCCTCTTGAGGTAATCGGCTCCCTCGTGGGTGCCCGTCGGTGTGCCCCTCGCAGGCGCGCAAGCCGCCCCTCTTCCCGCTGTCTGGTTGGGAGTCGTGGACGTTTCTTCCTGCTTTTCTTCCTGGGAAGCACTTGCCTCCGGATAAACCTCCACTCCCACGAGGCGTAGCAGCATGAGATCTCGCTCCCTGTCACACCGCACGACCCACCCCCGCACCACTGCATGCGGCAAACACAGAGCATCCATAAACTCTCGACGTCCCCGACGGCCTGCGACAACCCGCCGCGACAGCTGCGCAGTCCACACACGAACCGCAACGCAACGCACTGCGTGTCACAATGCTGCGCCTAAATATTCTTGAATACCTCGTGCTCCTGGGAGATCGACAAGCGCCACCGAATACTACCGACAGCACGCTACATGACAAACCCCTTGGCCCAGTACCGATGCAATCGGACAAGTGCTAAAGCCTCGAGCCTCAAGCTTCAGCTGCACCTCTTCGAGAGGCGTGCGGCGACGGCGCGACGCCTGGGCTCCGCCGTCACTCATCTGCATCCTACAGGAGTATCAAGGCTACCCTCAACTCTCTCGTGCGGTAGTGTTTAGAGCCCTAGATCCAATCCGTCCACCCACGATTGACCTGGAGGCTAATCCAGCACCAACAACCTGAAGCTCCTAAGAGTGCAGGCCTCACAAAGACTTACAGTGCGGTCCTTACGAACTGTGTCAATCACGAAGCAGCCCTCTACGAGGTCATCCCCCTGCAGCAGCCTGAGCAGCTCCAGCTGGTGGCTTGCGCTTACGCCGCTTTCCAGCAGCAGCCGACGCCACATGCGGCCCGCGCAGCACCCAAGGGAGAACCAAGCGGCATCTGGGAAGGAGGCGTTGACATGAGGCAGATCTTCACGCACTTCCCAGCTCCCCTTCCTTTCAGACAGCTTGTGCAACCTGTTGCGGCGTTCTCGAAGCTGCAACAAGGACGGCGGCGGACAAGCTGTGTTGCGGTACGGAAACAGCGGCATATGCGACCCTCGATCATGGAACGACAGAGGCTTGTAAGGCTTCACGTGGTGGTATTTTAGCTGCTGCGGCTCCTGCTGCTGCTGCTGGTTCCACCGGTGCTGCTGGTGCCACTGTGGATACATGCGCCGAAGCATGGTGAGCTTTTCACCGAACTTCTTGGAAATTTCGTTGCAGTGCGCCTCCACTGCGGCAAGGGCAGCGAAGATGCCACCGCACTCCACCTGCGGGGGGGTCTCCTCGTCGGCTACTGCAGGAACCGCTGCTCGAGAAGCCGCTGTCAAGGAGTCAGAATGTAGCGCTGGAAGAGTATCCGCAGGAGTTGAGGGGTTCGTATCGTTGGCTGCCTCCTGGCTTGCCGCCTCTAGAGCCCGCGCCTCTTGCATCTTGGGGTAGGCGAAAACGGCGGGGGAGAGGGAGGCGCCGAGAGAGTGCTGCATCTTTTCCAGTATTCCACTGGTGTCGAGCTGCATGTAGACACAAAACACAGGCATGACCTGCTTGGCGTTTTAGCAAGCCAAAACTGCTGCTCATACCCTAAAGCGCGCTTCTGGTAACGCCTTCAGCAAAGCCACCAGGCCACATATATTTCTCGGCGTCGATTTCGCACTCTTAGAAAGCGGCCCACAGCAAAATCGGTGCAGTTCATTGAATCGCACAAGCCGAGTGGGATGCACAAGGGACAAAAAAGACGTGTGCATGCACAGGCAGAAAGACGGAAGTGCGTGCCTCACCGTGTCGATGATGGCATCCAGCTCCTTATCGAGGGCAGCCGCGAAGATCTCCCAGTTGCACCCCGCACCAGCTTCATTGGCAGCATTCGAGGGGACTGCATTTTCACTGCGATTAAAAACGCCATTAGGACTGCCATCGTTGCCATGTACTGGTCCCCTTGGGGGGGCATGCCTGTCGCAGCACGAAGAAGCAAGAGCCGCTACATTCGTTGAAAACAGGGAAAATGGATCAGCTTCTTCTCGCTTCTGCTGATCAGGGGACAAGGAATCCTCCTGCATAAGCATTCGCAGCACCTCTCGCCGTTGCCTCTGCTGCAGCTGCCCCACCCCGCCGCCAAATGTGCAACTGCGGGCATCTGCGCAGATGCACGGAGCCCGCTCGACAAAGCGAAAAGACTCAGCAATTCGTTGAAGACTTGAAGACGTGCATGCAGCGTTTATAACCTGCCGAAAGGGAAGTCCGCTGGAGCTCTCATCTGGCGTGCTTGCCGCGATATCCCCCGCTACTCCTGAATGCGCGGTTTGCCCTTGCTGCCCAGGCCGCCTTATGAGATGCTGACGTTGATGAGGCAACCCCTCAGTATCCAGTTGATCTATCGACGGAGACTGAGAACACAGCCCCTCAGACGCATCCGACTCAGTGGCGGCGTCGGAAGGACCTCGAGAGCCACCGCGCAACACCAAACCATCAGCTGCAGCGGCAGCCGCAGCTGCGGCAATAGCGGCAGCCGCTGCCCCATCTTCTTCTCTACTAGGAAAGGGGGATGCTTCACTTTCAAGCACGGAGGGCCTCTCCGCCTCCCCCATTGCTGCGTGCCCGCCTGCTTGGCACGGCGCTCCCGGTGTCTCTCTAAGCTAAAAGATAGGCGCAATGCGCATTCCGAAGGCACGGAAGATATCCAAGTTGAGAGCGAATTTGCTCGGAGAAAGCGTTGTCGCCTAGAGAAAAGCGGCGACATTACAATACGGGCTCGTGGCCGAGTAGCGACATCGCCTGCGCCGCTTTCTTCAGGCGATCCCAACCCCCCTCCAGACAAACAACAGAGAGCTCTTGAAACTAGTGTTCACTCGAAGCAAAATGCAGAAACGAAAAAAAAATCTCGAGGAAGGTGAGCCAGTTGCCCAACACTGGACCGAGAAGCATGCAAATTCAGCCAATGCAGTAAAATGCGGCCGTGCGCCGGCAGCGCCAATATAAGGGCACCTCTGAAATTAGCTCTTCAGATTCAAAAGACAAGCAATGGCTTTACACATTCCTAATAATGTACCATCGGCCGCTGATCGCCGTCTGTGTGACCACGGCGTCTGCATGCGGACTTTGTGGAGCCCCAACACCATAAAACCTTCGTATGCTTCGCTGCTAACTCAAACTCCATATAAAGCAACTTTACTTAGAGAATGAGTTTCTCCAGCCCTTCTGTGTGCCCCCCTTATACGCCTCGAGCTTTCTGGTTGCCTTTGCTTAACCTGCGCAGCGCCTCTTCTTTGGTAGCTTTGTGTTTTTTCGTTTCTTTTGCTCTCATGCCACGAGCTCGTTTCTTTAGTGCCACCCTCCTCTAGAGCGGCGTGCCCCTTCTGTCTTTCTGTGCTTGACGTGCATCACCCCATGACGGTGGCACAGAGGAGCGTTTCCACTCTCGTTGGAGATGCCCATCGCAACCTCCCTAGAAAATGGCTGCCCTTGAGCTGTGCTGCTTCTCGACAGGCTCTTTGGCTGTGCCTCCAGACGCCGTTGAGGAGCTGTCGACGGAATTCAGCGCTAGATGCGTATGTGTCCTCCAGAGGCTTCGCAACAGCCATTTCTCGTAGCAGCGGTTCTCGCTGCCAAGATCAGCGAGATGATGCATGCACACCTGCAGAAGGAGAATCACCCCCTCAGAAACGCGTTCATGCATTAACGGCGTGCCGCGCAGCCTCAGCAAGTGGTAAAGCCGTGTCTAGCACGGCCACCGTTGCATGTAGAGGTACTTCCAGGAAAGCTGTATGTCACAGCTCCACTGCCTCTTGTATCTATCGGCAAAAACATGGCATTTTCACAGGTGCAACACAGCTGCACGCCTCCCCACAGGAGTATTGTGGACAGCTCTACATGCGCCTCCACCGGCGCTACGTGAGGACTGGCTTCTTCCGCAGTGACCACGAATTCATTGATCCTGAAACCGTTTTGGTGCGTTGCCTACCAGCTGTGAAGTGGATTTTGCCCCTTCTTCTTTCCGTGCTTGTTGGCTCCCTATAAAGACGATGATAAGGGAGTTTGTAATTTGCAGCACCCACGGCTCTGAGCGCTTCTCCCGACATTTTCGTCGGCAGCTTGTTTGTATGTTGCTGGGAACTGGAAGGACATATAACCCACTTGGATCTTTGTGCAATCGCCTGCAGTTTGCCGAATCTTCGGAAGAGTGGCGGCATGCTGATGGGGGAGGCGCCCTGACGGAAGCCGTCCTGGAGAGGTCCAACGTTGGTATGGGCTTGTGCATCCTCAACAGGTACTAAGACTCCCTCAGTTCCGGCTACTCTTTATTCGAAGATTTTTGAACCCCTACAGCGTAGCTGCCTCATAGAGTCGCCCCTTGTGTCCTTTGCCCAGTGTTCCAACTGGTAAATCCCGTAGCTGCCGTTTTGAATGCCTGACACTCTCGCTCTAATGCAGCGGTCCCTCGGCGCATGCAGCCCTTGTTGGAATACATTTCTGTGTCTGGCAGAGGAAAGCTAGACAGCGAAACCGTCTTTGGGCTGTATCGGCGCCTGCGTGACTTGGAGGTGAACTCCCTAAAGAGGTTTTGCTGCCTAAGCAGCCGCAGGCGAAGTCTTTTTTCCGCTGGGCTCTGCTTGTCAGGTATGCTTTGGACCTCTTTCTTTCTCGATATGTAAATGCCTTGCCCATAAGTGGTGATGTCGCTCGAAGAGTTGAAATCGGATCTTGGGGTTCATGCATATGCTTCGTCACAGAGCTTCTGGCCTTCGCTGAAACCGCACAGACGCGTGGTGGGATCCTCCCAGCTTCTGCTTTGTGGCTTCTCCAGAATGCACTCGAGTTGCATTCCGCTGTCCACTCATACAGCAAGCCTCTCGTGAGCTTGCTAAACGGACGCGCAGGTGCGTGAACCTTCTTACCCGCTTTCATTGGTGGATTCCAGATAGTGCCGTGAAGCTGTGCGAGTTTCGTAGCCACTGGCCCATCCATTTCCAGCTGCTTGAACCCCAGCGATGCCCTTCACTCCTCCTCAATAGACGCGTCTTTTGAAATGGGCACCCGTATGTTGCAGAGGGAGAGGGCGCAGCCCTTTGCTTCCTCTCCAATCGCAGCGCGGCCTACAAGCACTCGGTTTTTTCGTGTGACACGACATGTGAGTGGCGGATGAGCTATCCTTGTGTCGAAGCAGTAGAATCCCGTTGTCTGCAGCATCCGGAGCCTCGTGTTTGCCCTTCATACATGTCAATGTCTGGGCAGAACGTGTCTCCTTGTTCCTTGTCTTCGCCGCAGCGATGGGCTTCATCCCCACGATGGGTATGACCTTCGCTCTCGGCCGTCTCCGAGGTTCTTTGGGCGCTTTCCTGGCGCTAACTGGCCACGAACTGACTGCTCAGGATCTAGTGTGCGCTATATACATATATATACATATATACTCGCCGAAGCCCTCGACATATGGAGCGCTGAATTGCACCTGTACCGCCCCTGCGCTGGTTTACGCATCTGTACACCTGTCGAAGGGTCGGCCTGGATATCGATTGCTGTATCCAATGTATATATTCCATGAAGGTCTCCTTAGTGATGCTGCGTGCCACTTGCCTCGTGTTAAATTGCTACACTCAGGTGGTCGGGTCTATGCAAATATTGGGTGACACCAGAAGCGCTGCACTTCATGGAAATGACGGCAGAGGTGAGTTGGTTTCAAAATACAAAGCTTGTGGTCCAGAGAGGGCTGCCGGCTCGGTCATGCTGTAGTACGCATAAGCAGAAGGTCCTAAATGCGTTCCCGACGCCAGGCTGTTGTTTTCTCACTAGAGTGCACACACAGTTGCCGCCAACTGCGTTCAAAGGTCCCTATGCAACCATAAATTCTGGCATTATGTGGTGTGTTCTCAATACAGAAGCAGCTGGAAGTATCAGAACAAGACGCGAAGGCTCTTCTTGAAGAACATTTTCTTCTTCCCCCGAGTGAGCCCTTGGGGTGGACTTACACCGACGGTTGTGCTCATTTGCAAGAGGGGGTGGCTTTGTTCCGGTTCCCGTCAGGCGCCCCTACGTCCATTATTAGCGCGATGAGTAGCTCTCCGTATGCTGCCACATGCTGTGGCTGTGCTGCTGTGGGTGCTTTGCACGTCTCTTTTCGGCGAAGTAACTGCATGCGTCTTCGCCTGAGAGAAGCTGTAACTCAACTTGACCGGGGTAATGGAATGAGGGGCTAGACTGTCTTATGTGCTCACGCACCAACATTTGATTTTTTGCCACTCAGGCACGTACTCTCTGGATCTTTGGGAGGAAATTATTGACGAACACCTGCACCATTCCACAGTACGCGGTTCTCGGATGTCTGTACACTCTGCGCCCTTCGCTAGTCGTGCAGAGAGCCTCTGTCAAGGATCCGGCAGATAAAGGAGCACAACATCAATGGGTACAGGGCTTTGCAGGATGCATTGTTGTCTGTGCAGCTTGAAGAGGTGTTAGACGCTCTGGACGCAACTGGCAGAGGAATGCGCCCCTTGCGAGGCTTCCCTGCGCCTGTGCCGGCACAACGAATTGCGTCCTGGGCCAGGGCTGTTGCTGCACGCATCCGGCAGCGGTCTCCACTTGCGTGCAAGGTGAGTGGCAATGTTGCAGTAAAGACTGTGAACTCAAGTACGGGAAAACAGCTCGAGTTTACTTGCCTTTCAACTTAGACCTCACATTCCTCTTTTCATTTCACCTATATGCCTGGCTTCGCAAGCGGTTGATATTGTAACGAGCATGCCAGTACATGGGAGAGCTCACTTCATTGGAACGCCTGCCGAGCCTGAAGGCGCTGGAGTGGAGGTTCGTCAACTCTGGAGGCTACCAGGGCATTCTCTGGATCAGATTCGACAGCTTTTCCTTTGACATATCAATGTTCATTCAGCTAACGCTGGAGTTGCTGCGGAGGCAGAAAATCCTGCAATCGGAAATTCTTGAGGATGCCAACATAAGCCCCCATGAGTGGCGCAAGTGAGGCCATGGATCCTAAACTCATTTTTGGTTTAACTCATAGGTGACGATCGCTGTGTTACTAGGCATTTTGCATGCCCAAAAGGCGTTATGGAATTGCTTTGCCTGCTGCTTGGTTTCCTTCTGCCGGATCAGAATCAAACGCCTAGAAGCTGTCCTCCCGAGCAACGTGCAGGATGACAGCATGAAGCAAATCCTCGAAGCAGTAGACGATCAGCTGCTCGTAAATGCTCTGGAGAATGAATTGCGGGTGGCAGTCCGGCTAATTTGTGTACGTACCACAGTCCCACTGGATGCGGGTGTCAGCCCTCTGATTGGCTGCTCCATGATGGCACTGGGTTAAGATGGATTTTACGGTCCCTCTCGTATGTTTTCTGTGGATAGACATTACGAGGGAGGAATCAATTGGCAATGATTCACTATTTTGTTCTGCTGTTTTTAGTCTAGCAAGGATCTAGTTGAGGGCCTCCGTTCACGGCTCCTAGAAGAAACCCCAAACGTTTATTCACCTCCAACATGGGCAGACGTGAGCTCCAATCTTGTGCTGCTGTGACAGCCTGCCGTGCAGGCGGCCATATTAAGCGTAGGCGCTTGTCTTATCGCACGTTGGGGTATCTCTAGACCCAAGCAGCAATTTTTTGGCGTTCTGTGGTTTGCGTTTAGGCTGCAAATGTTCCTCTCGAGCCATTCTTCGCACCGCTGCCTGCACCTTGCTCAGCGGCCAGGAATTCTGTCCCATCTTCTGGAAAAATAGCTGTTTGCCAGGATCCATTCAACTTGTTCACGTGCTCAGATTTCGTAGCTGAGGAGCGCACTTTGTTTCCCTTTTCTGCACACCCTCTGGTGGGCCGGATGACTCCCGGTGGTGCGGGTGCCGGGTTGAGTGAACGACAACAGGCGCGTCTAAGTGCCCGTTGGAGCTGGGACTTGTTTCGTGACGTGGTAAATCAGGAAGGCTTCTAGTGTTCCAGCCTGCGATTGAACACGGCTTTTTTGACCCATTTTTTGAATGACTGGCATCTCGCCGTCCATGCAGCCCACTGCACCACAAGGGCAAAAAGCTATTCTGGAACCTTCTTCGCGAAACGGCGATACGGCTTTGTGCGAATGTCGTGAGTGTAGGGGGCTAAGCTACACTCAGATTTTCTCTATGTTCGTTATATTTAAAAAGTCGGGAATTGACTAATTGATTTGTCTTTTGGTATATCTTCTTTATTGCAGAGTGCTTTCTTTCCGACACAAGAGTACGCGGTGTTGTAATCGTATGCGCTAGCAGGTGTGCGCTGCTATCTGTGCTTGCTTGGAGTGCTCGAGTTGTGTAGCTTCGTGCACCCTAAATGTCTGTCTCCCCTGATGTTGGACCTCAAAGGGGCGTGGGCAGAAGAAGGCCAGCGGTTTAAACTGCGAAACACCCAATAAGTGCCTATCATGTTCGCTTCGAATGTGGAGCTAGGCACCTCCTTGCGGAGACGTTGGATAGCGGCACATCTTTTTTGCACTACGTCGTTCAGTGCAGCTGTTCCTAACTAACTTATTCGTCATGGACGCAGTGGGATGTCAGGTTTCTCTACAACAGCTGCCTGGTCTTGATCAACCCATTTAATAACTCAACACAATGATATTTTTGAAACAGCAGCTTGGAAAAAAACACTACCTAGCAATGAAAGTAGAGTGCTGCACCTGTTGAGGCGGGTGACGCTCTTTTCGCATGCCGATGTGAACGCAGTTGCTCCACTGCCAGCCGTAAACAGGTCAACCGCAACACTGCCTAGACTATGCAAGGCCAACAAAGGTACTGTACTGCCCTAAGTAGGTTCACATGCTAGCGTCAACGATGGTCCCGATATACTACAGGGAGGATCACAGTACGCTTGTTGGAAGGTAAAGGCTCTTCTTAATAGCCATAATAAATTGATTCTCGTAGCCGGTTAGATTGTGGAAAATTGGGAGGGCACGAGCCCGCCGATTGGTCTGCCTTCCACTTCGGAGAGCTAACAAACGACCAAATTTCAGGCACACAACAGTGTTTACCAGTGTAAGGAGGCAGACACTATTTTGATGACGTTCTTGGTGTTAAAAAAGATAATAGGGGTCCAATCAGCATATCCGCTTCCTTCCACTCCTCTTCGGCTTATTCATGCAAATGAGTAAGTAGCTCGCGCTCGAGTTGATGTAAGCACCATGAATACTCGAGATGCGCACAGCCAAAGCTGTTATGAATAGTGGCCTCTGTGGTCTTACACATTTGCGCATATAGCTACCCAGGAGCCAGCCTGTGCCAAACTGAAGCATGGTATCCCTGCTCCACGTACTCACGCGAATAAATTTGAAGAGGAACAGGGTGCCTAATGGCCATGGGTATATGCCCCGACCCATTCACTTTACAGATAATCTTGGTGCTGCCTCCGGATCACGCATCGGCGACGGGGTGCGAAAATAAATCTTCCTCACTGTGAAGCTCAGGAAGCCGTGAGTTTGTGTTGTAGATGTTCCACAGCCCCACGGTCACCGGGGAGCCACTGGAAAGAACAGTGTTGCTGCGCAATAGTACGTCAAAACGCTGATGCTTTTCACTGAGACTTGTAACTTTCTGTGACAGTGGGAGGCTCCACGACTGGTTTGACCTTGAACAGATGACGGGAGTGTTCTTTTAAATGCTCTTTCTCCCACTTGCGACGGCGGTACGCACTTTGAGCTAAGAGCACCGAACCGGCAACAAGAAGGCCATACGAGAGACTACGAAGGACCGTTGATCCCAGAAAATACGCCATCAGGTCTGATGGTACTTCTTGGCCGACTATCACCGCAAAACCGGCAAACAATTCAAAATGGCCACTTAGCGGGACAATGGAATCCTTCGGCACACGACGCCGCCCTTTACAATTCATGGTACCCAGGAAAAGCCTCAAAGCACCTGCCAGTGCCAAACCCTGCCAGTACGGTAGCGTCAAAAGCGCACGCAAGGACTTGACTCCCTGGCGCTGGAGGAGATCCGACGCTACCCCAATCGAGGTGGGGTGAAAATAAGCTGCCTCAGCGCACTCCGCACGTGTAATCTCCAAATGCTGCATTATGAACGACTGCACAAGCCACAGTATTCCTGAAAGTAATAATAGGCAAATACCACCAAAGTTACTGAGGCTAGATGCTCCAAGTGTATCGGTTCCCCAAAGGGGTTTCTGCTGCACATCTCCGACGTCCGTAGCATGGCTCCTTTCCCGTTCCACGGGAACAGGTAGCAGAGGTGAAAGGATATCCTCAGCAGTACCAGCTCTCCGACCAAATTGTGATGTCTCGACAGCCATTAAATTTTCATTAAAACGATGTGCCGCTTCATGCTCTGGGCGCGTAGAGGTAAACGGGTTATCATCAAGCTCTGCAGGGCCAATATGCCATGGGGCCCCCCCGTTCTCCAAGGCACTTGAATCCACAGAGCTTTCAAGTGCATGGGCACCAGTTCTTGAAAGGCCTTTCGCAACGTGGCTGGCAAGTGAGCAAAAAGTGCAGGACAACAAGGCGGAAAGGAGCAACGGAACACGGCTCCCTGTCTGAGTCATTGTCACCATCTACGCTGATTTTCCTCATCCAATCCACCCCGGAATCAATGCATCAGCAAATTTATGATCATTATGTCACTCCGCCTTTTAGCGCAGCAACTAGTTGGGAGGAAATTAGTGCTACCCTTTCTAATCGTCAATGGGGCAGAACGTGGGGCCAAAAGTGCCCGATAATGTTCCTCGCACCACCTTTCCGCTTGCCCATAATTACTGTAAGGAAAACCCCGAAAACCAGAAGGTAGAGTAGCCAGTGTGTCGGGCTTGAATACCATCTCCCCGGCTTCCACAGGGCTGGGGCTGTCGGCATGTGGGAACATATCGACAGAGCGGAGCCACTAAAGAACCGTCCATTCCCACATATGCCTTTGACATTAGGCCCTAATTGGCATTTGTTTCTAGCATTATCCTCCCGATTTTGTGAAAATGGTATGTACCCCTTGACTGCCTTGCAGTACCTCAGGTCTTCGTAGGTGGTGATGTGTGGACAGCCCAAATCAGCCTCCTTGGAATTTCCCAGTGATGATTTCATCTTCTGACCATCCAGTATGATTATGAATGGGCTGTTCACCCGGTCGTACATCAGAACACAGGTGTAGCATGCACAAGGGAAAGTGTGGTATTTGTCTGAGGGGGGTGTTCAACTTTCTGATCCCGTCACCGGCAAAAAATACCATATTTGCGCAGTGCACTGTCTCTAGAACTAAAAGCAATGTCGGTACACGCAGATGCGGCGTATATTGTTAAATTGTGGAGCAATGTGTTGAGTCTGCCTGATCGCATGTCTCTGACATCGGAAGTTTTCTACCATAGCCCCATGCGTGAGAGAAACTTAACTCTCAACGCCTCCCATAGCTCCCGCGTGTTCTTGTGTGTTCCGTTTTTCCCAGTTTTCGAATCGCCATGGGCTTGGTGCTCTTCTGAAGGATGGCTATCGTACCTTCACAGGCATCGACGAGGTGACGGCGAAGAACATTGAGGCCTGCAAAACGCTCACAGATATCACCAAGACCTCTTTAGGTCAGTATACTGATTCAATTCATGCTGGATTTGCGAGGAATGCACGGTCATCCATGGTGCGAGCAACGGAAGTCGTCCACTGACTTATTGGGGCAGCTGGTGATACACGATTTTATTGTTTGCTGTGTTACTGCAGGGCCTTGCGGCTTGAGCAAGTTGATTATAAATGCTTGGGGGAAACGCTTTGTTACAAATGATACAGCGGCAATTCTTAAGGAACTGGAGGTGCAGCATCCTGCGGCAAAGCTGCTTGTGATGGCGGCCGAAATGCAAAAACAAGAAATGGGGGGAGGCTGTAACTTCCTCCTTATACTATCTGGTTACCTCCTTGCTAACGTACGTGCGGGATACCCGTTTCGACGCTACGGTAGCGAAATCCCTTTTAGAATAGTGGCTCATCTGGAGGCGCGCATGCTTGCACGCCTGACTAGTATACAGCCGCAGGTACTATTTTTTTTTTTTGTTCTCTTACGCTGCCGGTGCTTTCAGGCAGACTACTTGCTGCGACAGGGACTGCACCTAAGCGACGTGATTCAAGGCTACGAGTTGGCCATGGAAAAAGTCCCAGCAATCTTAGAAGAGGCTGCGTGCCACTCTGTCGACAACCTTAAGGATGGGAAGCTACTCGAACCCGGTATTGTTTGTCACATGGGCTTCTAGCACCTGTTCAAGGTAGATTGGTGGTAAAGCGTTACTTACAGTTCTCTAGCTTTTTGCCGGTGGATTCTCTGGCTGTGTGTTTTTCAGTTCTAAAGTGCGTGCTGGCGAGCAAACCAATATGTGTGGAGGCTGGCCTCTCGAGTCTTTTGGCATCAGCTGTCGCCTCAGTGATGCCTCCCAAGTTTGAGGACTTCGACCCAGATAACATTCGTGTGGCGAAGTTGCAGGGCGGTCGCCTTAGCCAGTCTACTGTTCTGAACGGAATGGTAATCACCAGGCCTCCCCACGGTCAGTTGGCAATGTGTGGATTTGTGTGTACCTTTGGATCTCTAGTAGATCATCATGAAGTAACCCGGGAGCGTGAGCCAACCTTATGCGTCAATTTCATGTTTTCGTGCTGTGTTAACTTTCAGGCACTGTGGAATGTAAAAAGAACTGCAAGGTTATGGTGCTGGGCTGCGGACTGGAATGTGCAACTACCGAAGCAAAGGGCACTGTACTGATTCATACAGCTGAGGAGCTGAAGAACTTTACCAAGGGTGAAGAGGCGCAGATGGAAGAAGTGATTCGCGGGATTAGAAATGTTGGTGGGCTACGAAGCTTCAATGCACACCGCCTTCGTAGTGCATTCGAAAGTGCATTTAAGGTTTCCAAACAAACCACAGTGTTGTGTTGCCCATCTTCATTAGGGTTTGTCGGTGCTCCGTACAGCCGGGATGGCCATACACGTGCAGTATGACTGTATACTGCTACTACCACGTTCAGTGGGGCAAATCGCCTGTAGTCCAAGCAAACTTGTGCAGATCTTTGGTCATCCATGTATTGCAACGACCGTTGCAGGTGTTGAGGCGATTATCGTGCATGGAGGAGGCATTGCAGATATAGCGCAGCATTTCTGCAACAAATACGAGATCCTTACCATCAAGGTTAGAGCTTGATGGAGAACAGATATTGCAGATATAGCCCGGGGACTAGGTTTGTCCTGATTCAAATGGTCCACCAGATAGAGGGAAGTGTCTTATGCAACAGGCGACGATTAAAGGGAGCATAGTTGGTGTGATCGGCAGTGCCTGTGTACTTCAGGTCCCTTCAAAGTTCGAGGCTAGACGCGTGTGCAGGGCTCTAGGCGCTACGGCTCTGGTTCGGCTGGTCAGTCAGCTCCACTGTTCTTTTTTCTTTTTGGTTTTCGGCTTTTCACTGTGATGTAGCCTACCGATCCAGATGTTCTGAGGAATCATTATGCAGCTTTTTGGCGAGATTCCATTTCTGCAGCTGTTGACTTGTGATTTGTGTCTATTTGGTGGAAATGCAGGGTGTACCCATGGCCGACGAGCTGGGAGTTGCCGATTCAATACAAACCATTGAAATTTCGAGCACCCGCGTTACGCAGATTCTTTGCCGGTGATGAAAGAATCAGTCATATAGCAGTGTCTCACTCGCTGTTGTTCGTTGTTACAAGGCCGCTCGTTGCCTTGACATGTATTCGATTCGCACAACAAACCTGGCATCTGTGTTTCGCCTGGCATAATGCATGACCATCTCTAACTTTTCGTCAGCTGATTACTATTAATGATGTTTTCATTGGATGAGTATTGAATTATGGCTGCTGCTGCGATGTGATGCCGCAGTGATACCCGCGTGCAAACTATTGTGTTGCGCGGCTCAACTCCATGCATCCTTGATGAGGCAGAAAAGGCTGTTGACGATGCATGTGCTTTTGCCAAGGCGCTTACCAAGGACCACAGATTTGTTGCGGGCGCTGGTGCAGCGGAGATGGAGATTGCACGGAAGCTGCAGGTGTGTACTAAGGTGTAAAGGAACAAGATATCGCAGAATGGCAGCGGGTGGCCAGTCAGTTGGTGACGCAGTGCGCAGTCAAATAATTTTTTATAACGCATTATTGGTTCCTTTGGAGTGGGCTTCGTCTTCTGGGAGCACAGGAAGTTTTCATTAGTTACCCATGGACGACGTTTGCTCGGTAGGGCGCAACTTTCTCAGGCGGTGGCAGAGAAGCTGCCTGGCGTTGACCAGTACGCTGTTTTAAAGGCTGCTGAGGCATTCGAAGCAATTCCACGACTTCTCTCGGAAAGCGCTGGCCTGAACGCTACGGGTATGGTGCTAGTTGCTTATGGTATCATTGCAGGAAATATTCATAACCAGTCCTTTCGAGGGATTGATGAATTTCCCTTGTGAACAGCATTATGGAAGCTTTGGGGAGAAGCGCATGAGCTGCGGAGAGATTTTAAGTCATGTTCATTCTGCTGATGCCCCTGTGGAAACAGAGCTGCTTGGCTGTGGGTCCTATGTCTGCAGAGGTGCTTGCTGCACTGCATGCAGCACATGCTACTGGCAGAGTGTTTGAGGGTGTCAACATGGATGCCTTTGTAGCGCCAGTTGCAGGTAACCGAGCCACCTCTGGAAACTCAAAGGTGAACATGACCCTGGATGCGAAGGCAGCAGGGATCTATGATCACATGCAGACGAAAGCGTGGGCCACGAGGCTTGCTTTCGATGCTGCCATTACCACGCTTCGTGTTGACCAGATTATAATGGCTCGACCTGCTGGAGGCCCAGCGCCGAGTAAGTCGAGTGCACAGCCCCCCAAGGTTTGCCAGACTTCGCTTCGTGAGATCCATGTGTAAAGAGCGGCAACAAGCATGAGCTCCAAATAAGTGCTGCATGGTACGTGTCACGCGTGCGGTATTTGTTTGATTTTCGCATGCAGGGGCGCCAGGAGCTCCAGATGCTGACTAAGGAGCACTTCCTAGCTACAATGGAGGGCGGTCGCACGCCTTCTAGTATTCTGGACTCGCGTTACGCTTTCTCTGGAGGCAGGGCAGTGCTTTGTAGTACCAAAAAATAACAATGGGGTTTGCATATGGCTTGGTTGCTTGAAGAGCAGCCCGACCGCTCTGTGGAAGCTTTTCTGGTGCAATGTGCAGATGACGCGTGGGGTGCATTGCTTGTGAGCTAGGACTGAATGTTTCTTTTGCTCAGTTACCTCCGTACTTAATTAATTTGTCAGATAGTTTTGTGGCGCGAACACCTTATTTAGTTTTGTGCATGTGAAGCTAGAGAAATATAAATATAAATGGAAACGGCGTTGCAAGCGTACTGTGGCTCCAACCACGCAACTCTCTAGCTCGTCACGCAAGGCCCCAAGGAAGATTCGGCATTCCGGTGATTTGTAGACTTGCCGCATCGCGTAAACAGCTAAAAGTATAAGGGTCTTTATAGATTGCTAGAGGAAAACCTCGCTTTTCAGGGGAAATTGGAATTCAGCACAGGTCCCTGCAGGGTAAGAGACCAACCCCACAAACTGCTTCTATTTGCAAAGGGATCCGCCGGACCTCACTCAGCCGCTATATGCCAAGCAACGCAGGAGTCCGCAATTTAGTCAGACTCTAGATGCGAAGACATTTCCATTACCTTTCGAACTATAGCTGTTACATCTTCATCTGCCTTGACTACACTTAGTCAAGACACTAATGTACAACTGGGTTTAGTATGTTTTTGATAGTCTTCCTAGCCGCAAACCCCTGAACTCCTTTTGGCCTTTCAGGCAGTTGCTTTGGCTTGGATATCTGAGGGATTCGTTCGTTGGACGATCCATTCAAATTTTTGCCCATTGCTCCCGAACGAGCCAGGTTCTGCGAGACCTGGTTGTTGCTTTGGTTTTCTTATGGTGTATCCCTGTTGCACTGTAGACTTACCAGAATGAAGTGGCGAATATACTCATTTTTTCTTTTTAAAAAAAATCCACCGGTCACCTTGTTTACATCAGGTTATGTGCGTGCCGCAATTTTAGCAGTGGGCCTTTGTATATCCTCCGAGTGTAGTGAAGTAACCTACGCAGCGCATCCTACCACGTCAGCTTGCTCACATAGGGCCTTACTACGTGTCATTGCTGTGTAGCACTCGACTTACGGTCTTCACCAAGACACACATAGCCACAAAGCAAAAAACAATCAATAAAGTACTTGAGTGTCTATCCCAAAAGAGCTCCCCCCTCTCCGTGACACCACCTCTTAAGGTTCTGACATGAAGGCAGAGGTACCGCTAGGGTGGGCACTGCTGCATCCTCTAACAACTCCCATAATATTTAGCCTGTAACGCGCTAAGCTCTGCTTGAACATTTTCTACTACGCCACTAACTTTAATTGAATGTTATTGAAGGATTGACTATCTAGTTTGGCTGCTCGTGTATCTTCTTTATCGCAGTGTTGCGCATAATCGATGTTCAATTCTGTGCCCATGTGGGCTAGATGAGATGTGCAACTAATTGTAAGGGTTCAAGCTAAAAGAATGCGACTAGGCGCCTCCTAGCTCTGCCTTTGCTCTCATGTCGGAGCCCTGAGGGGCGCGGGCAGAGAAAGGAAGTAGCTCTATGAAAATTTACTAAAAAACCTACCAGTAAGTTTGTATTAAGCATAAAATTAGGTGTTTCCCTATTGAAGCCTTATATGGAGAGGTGCGGGTTGTAGCACCGCATGGCTTGATGGCCATGTTCTATGCTCATCCAGTGGCTGCAGATGCAATGGGACGCCCGAACGTTTTCCCACGATTGTTTTCTGCTGTCTTGAAAATCATTTGGTAGTATGACAACTTGAGTCTTCATGAAGAACGGACTAAAGACAGTTCGTTCTGGCGATTAGACTTGACGGTAACACAACGCCTGTTGATGTAGGAGAGGCTTTTTTTGCACGCCGAGATTGAACACGGCAGTCCACAACTTGTGGAGAGAGACGTAATGTTAGACAATTCCGTATTTCGTTGGAGAACTTATGCTGACTAGAAAAATGCGACGCATAAGGACAGGCAGGTAATCGAAGAATTCATCAGCCGAACGGAGATGTGTGTCGCATTGTATCTCCCCCAGTGAAGAGAGATGAGTGTTCCGTCAAAGGGAGGAGCTCTTTGATGGTAGCTGTATCATTGCAGAGAACTTCACCTTCCTGTAGGATTTAATACGGTTCAAGCCTTCATACGCGCCGTGACCCATCGGTTCACTACCAGACAACCTCAGCAGGAAACTTTGGTAGAAGTGGAGAACTGAAGCAAAAGCAGCTATCAATAGATCGAGCTATCCAGACATATGACACTTTAGTTAACGATGGCCACAAACTAGGCGAGGAGCTACTTTCATTAGTGGTTCACCTCGTGTCTACCATAGGTGTCATGTCAGGTGGTCTTAAGGTGGGCAGGGGCCTCAGCCACTGAACAAATGACCAGTGGAATGCTCACAACTGACCTATTATTGAGCTTTCAGAGACAAAGAGCGCATGTATGCATTTTTTGTCCGAGGAGGTAGACCAGAATCGGGATTCACAGCCTATGGTTGTCAGGACTGTGTTGACTGGCCCTAGCTTAAATACTACAGACAGGTGGAAAACGTAAATAACACCGGAGGGAATGTGCGCTTGTAGGCAGCCTCGGGCAGCCCCCCAGCAACACGTCTGCTTCATTGTGGAAGGTGAGGCGATAATACCCCGGACTGTAGGCGCATGCAAAAAGCGATAGAGCCTTAATAGCGGGACTAAACCCTGAGGAATCATGCTGCTTCGCAAGTCAAGCTACAAGGCAGGGAGATGGAAAGATCTTACGCGGGCTGTGGCGCAGTGAAACGGGCTACCGAGGATTACATCGCACCCGCAGACCCCTTATGGGTCAATCCTGCTGATAAAACTAATATCAATAATCGAGCCTTGTTAGTGCTCCTCGCCACTCAATGTGAAGTGGACATGGTATACAAGGAGTTTGTGATGCAGAGGTGCCTTCTGCCTGCTTGCTCGGTAGTACTGCTCCTAGGACTCAGGTTTGCTGACGAACGGCACAGCGTAAGGATTGAGAAGGCTACAGCAGTCAAATACCACTTTAAATCTGAGCTAGTTCATATTATCACAGCTCGTAAAGTCTATAGTGGGCTCGCTTGTAGTGAAGGTTTGGGATGATTATGGGCTCCTAACTGCAAGCTGCGGGGCTTCTTCATAGTGTTGTCGCCTTTTGCTATGTTTACTCCTGCAAAAGGGGACGTCTATCAAGTTTTGGGGAACTGCGGTTGCGCATTAAGCTAAATCAAAAAAGAGGGTAGGATCTAACAGAAAATAACAAAGGGTATGCAATAATTATGTTTATTACAATCGATTGTGTTGTGGGTTGTTGTCCTCAGAATTTGGTTACCAAGTTTTGCTTGCTGATATGAAACAAAGCTTTGAACCTTACGCAGCATAGGTATCGAAAAGGATTATGTATCGGGAGGAGCAGTGTTGGAGAGTGTGATGTTTTCGGCTTTGTGGGGAGCGAAATTCTCCAGTTCCCACGTGTTTTCAGGTCACCAGACTGCTTGTGGGGCTCGGAGACCCAGGGAAAAATGTTTACCTGTGCATCTTTAACTTTTTAAACTGGCACAGTATTGTAAGGGATTCATTAATTTTGCCGTATACTTCAACTTCTCGGAATGCAGAGAATTGGGTTAAAGAGGTGCTGGCCACATTCCAGAGGACTCTACTGTCGATTTTGAAAAGTGCCCCACAGGTCTATAGACAGGGTTAAATGGGAAGCAGGCAAGCAGTATTCTAGCATGCCAAGCTTCTTAAAGTCCAGAACCAAATTATTCCAAAAACTTTAGCAAAGTTTTAAGGATTAGGATGGCTACAAGATCAATGGTTGCCCACAAATGCTTTGGAAAGCTGCACATCTTACCCATTAAACGCGCCCTAGCCTATTGTATGGGGGAAAAGATAGGCTCAGCAGTAAACTGTCGGGTGTAACTATCTGGTGAGCGAGGTCCTGGCGGGGTGTCGCATATGCTATGAACCTGGTTTGGGTGCTAAGTGGGTGCGCTGCAAATATGGGTGCTCCGGCTGGTGTTGGGGCTCAGCAGAGCATATGAGAGCCTCTGTGCTCCCTCATGACCTGGATGCCTGTTACTTGGCTAGTTTTAATACATGGTTTTGCGCAACGCTTCGTATCAATCCTATGTGTGCCACGCGTGTGTCCAGTGGAAGACGAATATCAGGCCACTGCTGCATGCTGCAAGGAAAGGTGTTCCAAAAATTCATACGAGAAAGTGCCTCTTAATCTCATGAAGACATTTATTTTATCTAGATTGGGAGGGTCTGAGTCGGCATTTGGACAAAATGGCGTAGAGTCTTCATGCGGGCGGCCCAGTAGCGCAGTAAGAGACGACGGTTCTGAGCATGCGTGAAGACAATATTGACAGGGAGGCATATGATTTGCTGGAAAACCTCGAGGTACAGGAATACTGACAAGTGCATTCGGACATAACCCGGTGTTGGTTCCGAAAAATAATGGAAAGCCGCCCATGCATAGTGGCTCAAAGCCACTGAACATAATTGTGAGTCAGAAAACCCAGATGCCCGTTCTGGCGGATCAACAAACAACACGAATCAACAGTTTACTCGGGACTTGACTTGACAGGCGTTTTCTTACCAATCCACAGAGGCCTTCATGACAGGCATAAAACGGATTTCCAATCATGACCTCGCAAACTTGGGTGTACCTTTGTGCACCTCGGACTTGTTGATGCGTCAGCTGATCTGCAAGAGCAAACCGTGAGACTGTCAAGGAGGTCTGGATTGCTGCCTACATAGACGACGTTCTGTAATTCGGCTGGAGCATTAACAAGCACCTTAATCACCTGCAGCGTGTGCTTCAGGTGTTACGAGACTGGCCACTGTATGCGAAAGCACGTAAACCTCACTTTTTGAACAATAGTAGTGTTTCTGGGATACCTCTGGCGGCAGGAAGTGAGTCAGATCCAGCAAAAATTTGAGGCAGTTTAGACGTGGCCTTTACCTTTACGCACCCACAGGAACGTCGCAAGGTTCTATGGGCTTGTCTATGGGCTTGTATCTTATAAGCTAAATTTCATTTCTAAATTTGTTCTGGTCGCTGCTTCTTCGATCGCCTACCTATGTAAACCCAGTCTGTGCCCTTACACCGGAGTTTGATGGCATAGCAAGGACATTTATTGGCCGCCCTACAACCCCTTCGGTTTTCGCAGTGCCCTGTCACAACCGTCCTTTCCTCCTTACACCCGACCCGAGTAATTGTACACTATAATGGTTCACACTTTCAATCCTAATTGTGTGATAAATATGCTTCTGACATCATATATTCTCTGTTATTGCATAAGTCCGGATCGCAGAAGACAGAGGCACGTGCTCGTGATAACAATGTGCTACAGTCTAAAACGAGCGGGGACTCTATCGCTTGTATTTTCCAACGTTTGTTCCGCAGTGAGCCTTTGGGCAAAGCACACAGTCGTGTCTTCTGGGGGCAATGGTGAGAATTGCACTGCAGCGGAAAAGCTCTCACATTCATTTAGATGGAGTGGGAGCGTCCAGACGCACAGGACTATGGCCCTATTCTCCTTAGAATGTGAATGGCTGAAGCCACCCAAAACCGTTGATTGCTGCCCTTTACAAAACCTTCCTTCTCCTAGAGCTATTTCGACGTATCTGACTGTGGACGTTATTGCTAAATTGCCGAAGGGCGAGGATCAAAATAGCATCGACATCGCTGTAGACACACTTAGCAAGTATGCCCACTTCATCTCCTGCTCCATCTCCGTCGCAGTTCGGAAAATCGTTCGATTATCCCCAACTCATGTTTGAAAGCTTCACAGATTCTTTGTAAATATCATTACGGAGAAGGGTCTAAAGTTTATTCGTGCATCTTACAGTGCCTTTTGATGACCTGCCCACATCCGGACCATAGTGTGACGCTGTGAACACACCTGAGGCAGAAGGGTATCCAGAGCGCACCAATTTCACTCTCTTGCAGGGTCTGCGCGTCTACGTACCCCCAAATCCAATTACTTGGCATGACGTTCTTTCTTGTGTCGATTAGGATTATAATAGCATGTTACACTGCACGGTTCCCTCCCACATCTGTGGTCTACACTGAGCCCTTCTCCGATCCGGGGCTGTTCCGTATGATTTTAAAGTCAGCAACCACCTGTATCGCTAGAGGGACTCAACGAGCTCTCCAGTCCACGGAGTTGTATGGACAGAACCCAAGGAAAACAAGCAGGAAATTATGGAAAAACGGCGCTCGATTTTGTGCTGCGAGCTTGTAGATTCGGTCCTGATGGACCTGCGGAATTTACGAGGTTTATGAGAAGGCGACCAACTAAAGGGCCTTCCTGCTTAGTAGCTAGAACCACGTGCCATCCTCTCACGAATTCATGCTCTTCCTAATCAGGCAGTTTTTACGGAAGCTTGAAACGCCAAATAACTCTCAGTATTAGCACCCTTTACAGCTTACAAATTCCCATGCTTGTGTACAGAATTCGACACGCAGGCGAGTTGGCCGTGTAGGGACGCAAAGTTCCCACGGACCCTCAGAGGTGCTTAAATCTAGGACTATTGAGCATCGAAAACACGCTAGGCAAAATTTCCTCACGAAATGGGCTGGAAAGCGCAAGCTTTAGTGGTTTACGCAGTTGCGGAGGGTTTCGCTGCTTGTGGGAGAATAAACGCCTGTTTCTTCACAACGAGCCGCCAGATATGGTATTCCTGGGGTTCCTTGGAAAATAACCTTCCCCAGTCAATTCTCTTCCTGAAACAGCTAAGTTGAGCTATGTGTTTTGCTTAAAGCGTTCCTCATTGATTTTTTCGCGATGGTATCTGCACTCAGATTCGAGCGTAGGCACTCCCAGACATGTGTCCCTACATGTCTCCCTATGCTTCTTCGCTTCTTTAAGTTATGGGAAAGGAATTTACTGCATTCATCAAGCTTTTTGCATGAAGACGTTGCTATATGACGCCCAGGCGCACCGCTGAACTAGTGTACATTAGGAAACCCATTGCAGACTTTGCTTAGTGTAAGTTATCTCATAGCAGGAGGCATACACATTTTGACGATAGCGAGCCATTCGCACCGCTGTGGTTGTGTTGGTTCCTCCCCTCAGACGTTTTTGGATGGTGTGTGTGCCTTCTTTCCCGTCTATTTCACATGGGCACTTATGCACACTTTGCTTTTATCGTCAGCACTGCTTTTCAGCGTCTACTTGCCCGCGAAATGGTGATAGGTTGGAAGCACCTCTGCTGTCCTATACACATATTGTCTCAGCTAACTGGTATGGTGGAAAAACGAACCTCCTTATGACATGAGGGCAAATGTAGCGCTTTTACTAAGAGTCTGGCCAAGGCAACAGTTGGTCGCAAGGGCCGAAAGGTAGTTGGGCCCGCCACATACCACGGCAAGTTCGAGAATGGACGCTTTCTTGCCAAATATTATCATCACATTATGTAATTTAAGCACACTGCACCTCACTCCCTTCCAGGATAGCATCGAGATATTTTGAGGAGCGCGATCAAATAACTATACTTTCATAGAACACACACGTGTGCATCCTCCGGTCATCAAAATGCCTTCTGTCGCTATGTCATACAAATAGAAGCCAAAGGAATATTCGAGCTAAGGAGCTAAAAGGGGGAAAGGGCGTCTGGCCTTCAAGATGTCCGTGTGCACTCTCTTTCTAGTCGAAGCGCTTCATGGCACTTCGTGTGCATTGCATTCTTGCAAATGTTGCCGCAGCAGTTGTATCAAGATGAGGATTGCTGCTAAAGGTGCAAGTCTGAATGAAATGCAAATATCCTGTTGGAATCGATGGGTCTCAATCCCACAGCTTTACAATGTGACTGGCAGGTACACATGTAGTGTCTAGAGAGACCGATAAGCCAGACGCCGATCTTTGTCCGATGAAGCCCAAAGCTGGAATAGACAGGCTACGATAACTACGCTGGTAGTACTAGAAGGTTGGGAATGAGCATTTTTGTTAGTCCATGGCAGTGCCTTTGACAACGAGAGACAAAGCCCCCATCCCACAGGCGTCCCGCGACGGCACTGCTGAATGGCTTTGTCTGAGGAAGAGGTCCTGCATGCATTTGTAATATATACTGCAATCACAAAAATCTTGTACGCACTGCAAACTTGCATGTACTTCGTGCAGCTGCCGCGCTAATTCTTCCCTCCTTTTTCCCTCAGTGCTGTAGCCCCGGCGCACTCACAGACATGGCATTCACTATTCTCGGCCCCATTTTGGGGTCTCTGTTGTGCTTCTCTATTTGCTTCGTGTATCCGGCGTCTCTGACTTTTCAGCTATTGTTGAAGGAGAAGGGGGTACCTTGTGGGGCCCTGAACAATGACCATCTACAGCATGTGGTATTCTGGATACTCAGCTCTTGGATTTGTTGCATGGAATCCTTTCCACCCATCGCACTTCTTTGCCAGTATATTCCGCTTTACTATGAGATCAAGTGTGTGCTTTTCTACTGGCTCGCTTCACCCCAGTTCAAAGGAGCAGGCTGGCTCTGGCTGAATGTACTCAACCCCGCCTACGAGAAGGCCGCCCCAGTGTGTTCCCAAATGTATAGCGAACAATGCCATCCGAAGATTAAAAGTGCTATAGAGAAGGTTATAGGGACAATCGTAGGCAGGAGGGCTCAGCAGTCCGAGGCCTTCAATAAGAGCCGACAGCCGTCAAAGACCACCGATACCGCAAAGGCTGATTAGACCAGCTGTGTTAAATGGATTTCCTGCACGATGCTTCGCATCACCTCGTCACTACCTTGAGCTCGGTATGGTGTATATGACCCACCGATTTACGAGTGAAGGTGTCGCTCCATGGACTTTCACGTCGTACCATGAAGGACAAAACCAATTCACCAGTGCAGATTCTTCTTAAGTCAGCTATATACATGGAATGGATAAATTATTGGCCGTGTGGCTACATGGGGCATTTCGGGTATAGCATGGATGTACGGAATTCATTGCTGAACCCAGCTCACAGCAGACGCGGAATTGACGTTGACAGATGCCTCGTACCCTCAGAGAGTCATATGCCAACAGGTGTCCGGTGAAAGAGGAGCCTACATTCTGGGTTACCTCTGGGTACGGGAACCGTTGATAGTGGCGTGGGTTGCTTCTACTATAGGCGAATTTTCGAGGGATCATGATGCATAGATATCGATTGTGCGGGCGGTACGTAGCTAGTGTACTACAACATGGTGGTATGCAGAAATTCGGCTCCTGTTTTTGAACTGGTCCTGCTTGACCGTTAGGCAGGCGCAGCCCGCTGTGCAGTTGACTGCACCTGCCATGAGAAGGGATCCCAACTGCGGCGCAGCAGTAACTCAGCGCAACGATCCCGTATGAAAAACGAGATGCTCGGCGTTTTTTCGCACTTTTCCTCACCAACGCCACCTGGACACCTCGATTAGTTTGTACACAGTCATCGCTGCAGTGCACAACCCCATTAGAAACCACTGGCACGCATAATTGAAATGTGTGTGCTCGTCTGCGTAGAAAAGTAAGTAGTCCGCCTTCTGTTTGTGTTGGTAGTTCATGAATCTATTCGCGACGTTGCAGCTGCTCCCTGTACGTGCTGCATCGGCTTCTGGCTGATGTAGCACATCGTCGTCATACACTATAGAGTAGGCATTCACCATTAGTAGAGCTGCCTCAGCACGATTCGGAATGCCAGGAGTTGCCTTCGCGAGATCCCTAGGGTTTAGAACGTGGAATTGGCCATCGTGAGGGCGATTTTTCAGCATCAACGACTTGAAACTTGAGTTGGCCACCTCCCCCGGCTCTAGAATGCCTCGGACTATTACGTGGCCTACGGGTTCCGTCCTGCTCCCTGCGAGCAGTTGCAACTGCTCCATCCGTTGCTGTGCACCGTAGTCCACGTACTGATATCTGGAATTCAGTTGTTGCATTTCATCCACCTGTCTCTCGGGCTGCTGCATCGCTGCTGTTTTCTGGCGCGCGAGCTGCTGTTGCTGCTGCCGCACAAGTGCAAACAAGTCATTATCCTCGATGGCAGCTTTGGGAAATGGAGGAAGCTTTGCAAGCTTGACTGGTAGGTGACCCTTATTTACAAGTATCACACATCCATCTTTCAGACGTAGTGGCGACACCACGCAGTATCCGGGGGTCCCTACTTCCAGTCCAGGCCGGGGTCCTACTAGCAGCTCTGTGGTGCTGTCCAGGACGCCATGAAGCACTACTGGGGTGTATGCCCACGAAGCCACTGCAGCTTCAATAGCATCTTCAGAGGCCGCTGCCAACAAATGGCCACTGCGATGCCCCTTTGTTCCTACAGGTCCTGCTGCACCTTCCTGATGCTGAACAATATCTAAGTTGTCATCAAGCGCATGGTTTACTAATGAGGTACCGAGTGTTTTCCGATGGGACGCGTATACACCGGAGCTTGCACTTGCTGGTTCTGCAACGTGGGCATCTGGTTGGATGTGGCTTGCGCTTTCTGCTGCTACTTCCGTTTGATGCCGGCGCTCTTTACTGTAGGCTGCGGCTTTCAGAGTCCATGGGAAAGGTGAAGAAGTAACCACAGTGGGCTGCGTTGCAAGGTGGCTTCTCCTGTATTCGATAAGCTGCTTCTTTTCTTCCATGCGGCGCAGCTGCCAGAACCCCAATGCCACCAGCACGGAGGTAAAAAGGCCACCACCTAAAGCCAAACGCAACCTCTCACCTTTGCGAATTCCGTACTGTCGATTCCTCACTACTCGCAAAACTGGGGAACTGACTCTGTGGGCGTCTTTGGCAGCAATGATGCGCACGATAATGCCGCCATCCACCTCTTGCGGCGAGGGGTACTTGGTTTCTGACTTCGAAAGGATTGCAGCATCCTCCGGTGTGCAAGGGAGCAGCCTCTGCCCTGGCATTGTACGCCCTCGAGCAACAAAGGGAATGGGTGAGAATCCCCAAAATGTTGCAGCGGATTTATCACACTTTGACGCCACCACCAGGGGGTGCCTATCTCTTGGTGCTGCAGTCGCTGCTGTGGCCTTCTGAGGAAGCTTGGTGTCTCCCGATTCTATCCTCTGCGCTTCGCCGGTAGGCCCTTCTTCACATGACTGATTACCTCCTAAGGTACTCTTAGAGTCTTTTGGCAACTTGTGACCAATTTCTGAGACTCCAGCTTCTGCCGTGCAGCGCTCACCATGGTGGTAATAAGCTACAGGCAGAAGCGTGATGCGGCCGGCCCTGCAATTCCCAACCATCCCAACCAGCTGCGGGGCACTTAGAGGCTTTAGTAAAGTTTGACACCCCAACAGTAATTCAAACATCCTTCTGGTTGCCAAAGAGAACTACTTCTTAGGACTGTCTCGGCGGGGTGGCGATGACTTCCGCTTGCATTCCGCCGCTTTCTGTGGAAACAAACACAGAACGCGCAAGAATGCATCAGCGGTCCGTATTAAACAGTTTTTCGTGAAAACAAAGAACGACAAACTACCTAGTCATCTCGCATAAACTAAAGTTTTCAGCGTGCAACTGCTAGTGTTTTTTAAGTAGATACACAAGTGAGCTCCGCTAGCGTGCGGCTACCATAAGGCCCTTCAGGATCTGCAAATGCATACTAGACCCTGTGTATATATACATACATGCGTGTGTGTGTGATCCAAATAAGTGAGTGAGTAAGTACTCTGGGCCACTTACGATTGCTGCAGTGGTCACCCTTCTGACAACTTCTTCAGCGCGCTCCGAGGATACAACGGCAAACCTCTGAAAAACCGGGCTACGCTGAGTCGGCACACAACCCACAAGCGTATTTGGATATGTGCAGGGGACTGTGTTGGGAAACTTCCAGCAATATGGTGACGGTACGCCTGCACATCGAGTGGCACATGCGGGACCAAACAAACTCACAACGAGAACTCGGTAGATGTGATCGCTCAGATGACGCTGCGCCAACGCATGCAGCGTCCGAAATATGCCATTCATATTCATCTTTAAAACTGTAGACAACGAACGCAGCAACGACGCATTGCGTGTTGGTATGTCAGCCAGAATACCGGAAGGGGCGCCACAATCTGGCTGACAACTGCAATCTGATACGTGCCGTGCTGAGGCGTTTACTCGGATTTCAACACAAAACAATGGGCAAAGTGCGGCTTGTTGCGCACCCGTTGTCCGGCATTCATTTAGCCTTGACAAGGAATTGGATAGAGTCGAAACCAATGCCCAGATAACGGGTATATGCCACCTCGTAAAAGTCGTGATCCACTACTTGAACATCCCCGACGGCTGATGGCTCCACAACGATACATATGCGCATCAAAGGCGAGCCAGAGATGTGAAGAGCGAAGCTGAGAACTGCGTTGCTACACCATTCATATAAACACAGCCAGAGTGCACGTAAAGTCACCTCTGATAAGACGAGAATAAAGCCGCACTTCGCTGAATGCAACACACGTAAAAACTCCAACACTAGCACGTAAAGTAAAGAAAAAGAATACGCTGGACTCCAGCGCAGGGGTAGGATGAGAGGGGTAGTCAAGTTGATCAAACTATAGCTCCCCCTCGATCAATCAAAAGTACTGTTATTCAAAACGAAAAGGCTGGATTCAGGTGAAAACTAAGTGAAAACTCCATTTGGGAGCCCTCACTATTTGTATTGTGCATGCAGCCCCAGATGTGTACCTGTAGAGTTGCTGCACTCTAGACTTCCTTATGAAAATAGCTACAAGACTTACAAAACGATGATGATGTCCTTGACAGTAATTCAGCACAAATTTCAAAATCTCAAATTATACTCTAAGTGCTTCTCGGCAGCAAAATGGAACAGGGGCCACATTAGTGCTGAGCAACTGGCGTTAAAAGAATCTGTGCATAGGTTAGGATTCGCCATGCTCATTCGGTGGAATCTTGATCGCAGGTCCCACCCTTAGCGCTGCGTGAAGTCTCTTCCTGATACAGGGTGACAAAAGCTATGGAGCACTACCTGCGACGCAATGCTCGCTTTGTATGCGCAGCAAGACACTTAACTACAAGCTCGATGCAAACTTAGTACGAAATTGCTGGTTCTCAAAAAGATTTAAGCCTTCTACAGACTTTGCTTCTTAGTTCTCCACATTGGGGAAAAGGGACAGATGGGTTGAGCGCAGCTGCTCACTCTACTCTCTCCGAGCCTTTGTCTCTAGAACATACAAACAAATGAACACCACAGAGAGAGAGAGAGAGGAAGGGACAGAGAAATGTAGAGAGAAAGAGTCTTCTTGCATCAATTAAAGAGTATTTTGCAAAAAATATGCATGTACAGACAAAGCAGCTAGTCAATTCTGTAATAATTCTAATTAAGAAAATGCAGCGTAGTAAGAAATGTTTGAGCTCACGTTAGCCTGCTACGTCCTCTTCACGCGTTTAAAGAACCACATTCTCCTGTTCTGTGCTTAAACGTGGGGACCAATCGCGTATAGTACAATCGAGAACTTCTCGAGGCTTCAACACGGCGCAGGCCTGTTGAAAAATGTGCAAACGAGGATAGCAAGAAGTGTACAAGAAAGATGCACACTGATACCAACGACTAACGGGGGGCCGAACCAGCACCACCGCAGGGACGAAAAACCTTGCTATTGTCAGAGCGGTGAAATATGTGAGCCTCCTTCTATGGGAAAACAAGATACAGCTCAAGTCTCTATGGAGAATCAAAATTTACACCAAGTAAGCAGTACATATGCCCCCACACGAAACGATGGGTGAAGGCATATGTAGCCGGTCCATGCAGAGCCATTAAATTCCACGACCCAAAAGAGGCATATGGAAGAATGTCGAGGGAATATGCCTGAGAGTGCCTTCCCGTAACTTTGACTGTAGCAAGGACCTTGACAACGCCGAATGGAAACTTCCTAGTGACCATAATATAAGCTTGCTGGTTCTGGCAACGCATCCCCTGGGGAAGGACAGTTATTAAGGAACGCAAGGGAAACTGTCGACGGCGAGTAGCGATGTGAAACAAGCAGAGGGTCGAATAGACCCGCAGGCAGCCAAGCCCGCAATAGCTCTTTTTTAAGCAACCGGGGCAGGTATTTCTCTCCCTCCCCCGCAATTCAGTAGAACTTTTCCATCTGGTGTATCATCCACCTTGAAGATTCATAGAATCAAGCACCTACACGGATGGCAATGACCCAGGACAGCGAAGAGTATCGTTTAAAGCGGTTAGCGTTCATAAGCAAGCACAGCTGCAGAATACCCCGGGCGGCGAGGCCAGCCACTGCTTCTCCGTCAACCACTGAGGCTGACCCTCCCCACCTTATTTCACTTAAAAATCCAGTGTAGTGTGCCCTTGGCCCTCAATATTCCTAATATCCAGTATTTCCACAGGTGTCTAAGACCGTCACTTTTCCAAAGGGTCACTTTTCTGCCTGTTAAAGGTACGAGTAAATAGGGGATATTTGGCACTTGCCGTAGGAGGCCGATACTGAAAGCTCAGCGGAATCTCAAACTTTAGGGAGACTGACAGAGTAGGAAGGAGCATTTATTAGAGAGAGGATTGCGAGTGGTCTCGTCCATCTAGCAACTAGCTTCTTCATTTGACCAACTTCCAGTGCACTTCATAAGGCCTAGCGGCCCACCAGGACCTTATCTTCAGGCTGGGACGATACAGCTAGCCGCCGCTTTCCATAGTGCCGTCCTTGTCTCTCTAAGGCTTTGCTCATACATTTGCATGCATTAGGCAACCGCCCTCCAAAATCCCTCTGCCACCACGGGTGGTTGCTGACCTCGAACCAAAGGGTCCAAGGCAGGATGATCCGAAGAGGCTCAGTGTAGCCAGGGGATGCGGGAGCACGACAGGTAGACGCATATATTAGTGTATTATAAGCCTACTGAGTACACAAAGAAACTCTGAGCCGATTGAATTTATGTGAGCATAGAGTTGAAAATACTGCAGGAGGGTAGGGTTGGCGCTCCAGCCTGCGTCGGCTTCCTGTTCCCTGAAGTACTTCCCTTTGCTCATCAAGCAGAGTGCCAGCGCTAGGCTAAAACCTTTTGGTAAACTTCTGCGGCGCTTTGTAAGCACCCGAAATTTTAGATTGAAGGACACCATCTCGCACAATAAAAGCACATGCACTGTTGATGGGCTCTCTGGCGCCGTGTGGTATACCCTAGTCCCTCTGTGCTTCTGCTTTTGTCCACTATAGACGATAGACTAGGACTAGATGAGATAATTCTCACGCCCATAGCTTCTCAATACCGACTTTGCCCTTCATTTCCACCCGAAGACGGATAAGCTTGAATCACTTGAGTATGCATATCGCCTCATTGCAAAGTACTGTCAGCTTGATTAAGGGAAAAAATGTGTTTATTTGTCCAATAGATGCTATAGGGGCTTGTAAATATTCGAAGTACTTAAAGGCCGACGTGGTGCCTCTTTAGCTGCCCCGCGCCCCTCAGGTCTGAAGCTCTTCGGCGCACGGGCAGGGGAAGAGGGCAGCGCCTGAGAGATACCCAGAAACTATCAATTAGGCTTGCATTAAGCGTGGATCCAAACGTCTCCCCACGGAGACCTCAAATGGGGCATTATACATGGTAGCACACCATGGCTATACTGCGGCTGATATTTGCTTATCCACTGGATGTAGGTGCAATGGAATGTCGGATTCCTTACAACAGTCGCCGGTTTGCAAGCAAGCAACTTGAAATTTCGATAGGTTGAATATTTTTGGTACCAGTCCGCTGGAAAAAAATTGCTCTCTGGAGATGAAAGTTGACGATGACGGAATGCCTGCTGGGGAGGTACTGGCCGGCCTGTCGTTGATGTGAATGCAGTGAGTCCCTAGATTACACAGCAGCACACTTTGTAAAATGTCTGAGGATGTGTCGGTGAGGCTATGCCAACTAGAAAAGTAAGAGGGCTAAGAGGAGGGTCAATAACTCGAAGATTTATTAAGCCGGTTAGAGATGCACTGTCCTTGAAATCCCTCAAAAAACGAACAAGGCAGTGCGATGCTTGATATCGGAGCTCAGAAGAGATCTGGTGCATTTGACGCAACGTCAACTACGAAGTAGGGAAAGCGTCTGGCGATGGAAATTATTGGAGACAACGCCTGGTGGGGCAACACAGAGATACCAGGACAACCGGGTCTATTACAGTTGTCTTGCTTCCATCAAGGCATTCGGTTGTTTAGCAGTCTTACTTTATTCCAAAATCAGCTGACGAATCGGAAAGCGCCTAAATTTGAAACGTGGAGGTGGCGCATTGTTTCTTCGAACGGCAGGAGGCACACTGCAATCTTGTTTGAACCATTAGCTCCAAAGAAGTGAGGGGCGAGGGGCAATTAAAGGGGTGGTGCTCCACCCTTTAAGCTCTTCAAACATTAACGGCAAGCTTTTTATAGCACCTATTAGATAAAAATGCAAACTTGATATTCCTTGTATCAAGCAAACAGTACTTTGCAATGAGGCGATGTATGTACAGACAATGGGATTGGTCAGTTCTCCACCAGTTCTTGGACAATAAAGCTAGTGTATTTGATTGTCTTCACGTAGAGCTTCTCCCGGTACATGTAAACTCGATGGCAAGATATTCAGCTCCCAACCGGCATAAGATCATACTGATTGACAGCAAAGCATCCCATCATCCGTGACAGACCACCGGAGTCAGCCCTTGGCGGGAAGAAAGCCAAGCGCGAATATTGCAAATATTCGAAGCTTTTATGAGCTGGTTGAAGGTGAACCTGGCTTTGTATCCCCTGCCCCAAACCCCGAATACAGAAAGACAAGTACTTCTTGCTGAATGTTCATTTAAAAGACAAACACTTCAATGGTGATTCCAGTAAAGAGTTAGTCGCATGCCATCTGAAATTACCAGAGTTTTCGTGCCTTTATAAAAACCCTGATTTCTCGGTTTATGCCGGGATCAGCTCAGCAGCAACCTTCAACTACAGCTACAAAATACTTGTAAATCCCGAAGTGGAAACTTTGGTTTGCAAAAGTCACAAATTAGGCGTAGAGCTCTTTTCATCTATCAGTGGCTTATTTAGGGTAACCCAAAGTTTTACGTCGAATAGGTGCAGGATGGGCAGCGTTGCATTGATTGTGCCGCCCACAGGTGAGGCCTTTACCAATCATGGCGTTGTAGCTCTTTCAGCAGCATGGCATCTCGACGTGTGGGCCTTCGGCTGAAATTGGAGGATAAAACTGGTATCCAGAACCTATGTCGGGGCCCTCTTATCCGGCCCTGGCCTACCGTTAACAGTGCATCTGTCTTAATGTGGAAGAGGTTGTGCAACAAGCTGGAGTTCCCGAAGCACAGCAAAAAGCCAAAAATATTGAACTACAGGACTAGGCCTAGCAAAAGCAGGTTGCTTGGTGAGCAAAGGATGCGCATTAGGAAACAGAACGCCTCCGCCACGGGCTGCGGCACAGTGAACGGAGTCTTAGAGGATGCCGGGGGCACACTATTGGCCACTCGTGCGCTATTGCAATGTTTTATCAATGGTAGAGAGCTGCCGGCGTTTACTGGACACTGGGCGGGAAGCGGATCTCTTGTATGAAACGGCACACATATGCAGTCTGCTTGTTCCCTCATAACGGCGTTCCCTGACGCTGGCAGGCTGAGGGGGCGGGGTCAGAAAGCATGGATTGGCAAGGGCAGGCAGCTAAATGCTACGTTTGACCGGAAGCACGTCCTAAGGGGACGATTCCTGACTTCCCCGTGCACTGTGACGTATGTTTAGAGTGGTATTGATTATCACAGCTGTTAAGAATTTTGAAAATAAATTTTCTAACAGTTTCTAGTTTCAATTGGTGAGCTGCAAGGATAAATCGTTTCACGCTTGTTTTTTGTTTTATAAGGGAAGTAAGGTGGTCGCTCTGCTCTATTTGTCGCTCTGCACGATATATATTGTGGAATTGCTTATATAACCTTCAGACTATGTGTGTAAGGCTCATATATTTGACCTGCATTTATTATGCAATTAGGTTTTCTTTAAAATCAATTAATAATCATGGACGGAAATTTCGAGGGTGCGGTGACTTGGGTGCTAAAAGTGCCTTGCTGCCGCCAGGCTGCCCCACCCTCTTGGTCGTCCAGTGCACCGTATTTAGGTAATCTCCCAGCCAGCTCAAAGCTAGGAGGCACGGTATCGAAAGCTCCCTTACCAAGAAGAGGATTATCAGGGGTAGGATGATTATCTCTTGTTAAAGGCAAACTGTAGATTTCAACCACCGTGTTGGGTATAACCCAGTGTCGATTCCAAAACAGGAAGGAGGGTGACGTCTTTCCGTTAGATTCATGCCCCTAAACAGGATCAATGTGAAGCAGTCTCTACTGTTGCTTAATATCGGCGAGTCACTTGACCAGCCAGAGAGAAATCGTCTACTAGACATTTGATTTCACTTACGCAGCCGCTCTTCTCTGCTATAATTCACAGTCTCTGCTGCATCTGTGTGCGTCGTATGCTTCTGCCACCAGTGCATCCGTGTTTATTGCCGAAATTGAAAATGGCAAGAAGGCAAAGCATTAATTGGGTGAGAATGGCCTGTTGTTGCTCAAAACAGGCGAAGGAAAGTGTCAATAGTACATTCCGACTTCACTCGTTGGTGCTTTTTTGCGTAAAGCATATGATCATGGTAATTCGGGCTACGGTGGGATCTGGAGTATAACTAAAGGCTTCCAATGCATTTTTCGTGGCCTGGGATGCAACCCGCGCCATATGCGCCCTGCCGTACCCACATTGCCAGTAGCTGAAGGCACTAAATTCCCCTGAGTGGCGTTTTTCAGAGCCTTTTCTCTCCTCAAACATTTTTGACTGATGCAATTAAGTATGTTATCGTTTAACTGCCAAAAATAGTGTCAGGATCGCCTCTGTGTCGATGTCACCAGACTCACCAAACATGCCGGTTAGATCCCTTGTTTCAGCTGTGTGACGGCTCACGAAGTAACTCAGTGGTTTCCAGCGCATGTCTGGAAGCTTCACAGATTTCCCAGGACGATCTTTATGGATAGAGATCTGAAAGGCGATAGCGCGCTCTGGCGTGTCCTGATGACTCGCATATACATTGATCATCATGTGACCATTGCACACCACCCTGAGGCAGACGCAGGTACAGAACGTACCAACCACAGTTTCCTGCAGTTTGCAACTCTATGCTCACACAATTGGTTGACTCGAAGCTTTTCTTTGTACTGAGGAAGCTTCAAGTACAATAATACACGTGTCTGCGCGTCGCGCTCCCATATGCCTGGGCTACACTGAGGAGCCCCTTCTACTCTTGCCCTACACCCTTTTCTGGTTCGGGTTCAGCAACCACCCATAGTAACGAAGAGATTTCAGAGGGCGGCTGCCTAATGCAAGCCAATGAATGGGCACCACTGAAGTTTCTAGTGAAGTGGGGTGAAGAAAATCAGGCTCAGTGGTTGACGGTGGAGTAGCTGCGGGCTCCGCCGCTGGTGGGATGCTTTGCAGTTTCTCTAGGTGAGCAACACTCTTCGCCGTGGACCATACTCGTCATTTTCCCAGGTGATTGGCTTCCTCATAACACATCTTTTCTGCCTTAAATACGTAGCGTCATTAAAGGATATTCCTTGAAACGTTCGCAGTAAGTTTTGTTAGGATGTTTTCTATACTCAGATTCATGTGCTGGCACTCTCAGGCATGTTGTCTTGACATTCTTCTATGTTCCTCTTTTGGCTTTTCGGAATAGACAATGCTGCATGCGCCAATAAAGCATTGGCATGGAAATTGATCCATGAAGGGTGAGAAGGTGTGAACTAGTGTATAGTTTGATTTTCACAACGCATCCTACTTCTCTTAGGCCATACATAGAAGAAATCTCACACATTTCAGCGCTTCGACGACTTCGAGCCACTGCGCCGTCTGGGTCATGCTAGTTTGGACCATCCTCTTTTACTGTTGTTCTCATCGAGTCCTCTATGCTGATTTAAGCAAGCTCTTTTTTTCTTGCTCTCGCTGCTCTGTGCGTTCCTGCCTCCTGATGTAGTAGAAAGTATCTAAGTTCTGACTAATTGGCTATAATATTCAAATTCAATTTCCTAGTTGACCTTTTTTGTTGGAGAATATAGCAAAGTTATACGTATACCTGAAAACAGATGCTTTCCAACAATTATCATGATCGCGCAACGTTGTCACCAGCCTGACATTCATGACCATGCAACTGTACCAGCCTTCTTGACAGGCTGGGGGCTTCGATAGATCATGAGCGTGCAGGGGCCACCGTTCTCTCAGGTGCTAACACCTAGAGTGCGCCATTAACGGAGAAGAATACAGCCGAAATCGCGAATGTAAGTGTAGTTCGCTACAGCGATGGCCACAAGCCCCCGGCTTTAAAACTTTTTTGCTCGTTCCTCCCCCTACCCTGACCCTAGTTAGGCTTTCTATCCTTACCAAACTTTACTGGGGGGCATAGTAGACATATATCGCAAAGTCCCGGGACAAAGTACTTTTCCACAGTTACTCTAGCCACACAAACTTCTTATGTTCATCAAGTAGAGAGCACCAGGCACCTGAGCCAAACTTTTCTAGGGGTAAAGAGCCCTGCTGGTTTTAGGGGCCACATGGCCTACTCAGCTTCTAGTGCTTAGTGCGCGCCTTGCACTGCGAGGAAATTCACCGAAGGCGTGAGGTTCTGTTAACTCACTAGATTGGGACGGGCAGTAACTATGGGCAATGATTCGTACCTTTGACTCTGAATAGAGGTATTTATGACTAGAAAGCTAAGCAAACCTCAAGAGTAGCTCTAATGCATCATTCCCGAATAAGGTGTCTGCCCCTTGCCGTCAGCGCCGAATCTCCGGCTCTAAAGGAGAAAACGAACAAGGGGACTGCGACAAGCTGTACCCACGCAGCCCACCCAGTGACACAGATAGATGATGCGCAGCACTTCGTAGGTCGCTTTAATGGGGAGGAAGTTGTGCTTCAAGCAGTGAACTAGTGTAGCACTTGTGCTCTCTGAGTACAGCTATGGTGTGTTTCTTTTAAATGACGACCAGCACCCAACCATACCAATAAATAACTACGGCTTGTAGGCACACGCCAAGAAACAATAATAAACTGAATGGGACGGCTTTGGCTGCCCTGGGGCCTTGTGTTGGTCAAAGATACAAACAGGCACTTTCTACTAGTGGCTTATATTGATTCACAATTGTCTTACCTATTGTCTATAGGATCTGAGCTCTCATACGTTAGATTTGCTGAAGAAAAGTGCTTAAAACATGCTCTAAGGGTAAACTAGCTGATGCTGTGCTGGAAAGGACTCTGTGCAGATTAGTGGAAACACTTGGATGCCTCAACTGCCCTCTAGATGTAAACTCCGAACATGAGGCCATTGAGGAGTACTTTCAACAAATCAATGGCACATTTCTACTAGCTCTTTCATGGCTGTGGAATCAAAGGGCCTTCCCTAGGGTATCGGGGGGGGTGCGGCATAGTCGTGGCCCAACTGGCCTTTCATTCAGTCTGGGGCTTTATGGGTTGAGATTAATGGACGAGATACCTCTTTTGAAAGACTATAAAAGGCATTTCAGCCTTGTGTTGCTTTCTGGTAGGGTATGTGCTAGCGAATACCCCAGAAGGCTTGCTGTTTCCATTGTTCTCCGCAGTATATACTCGAAAGGTAGCACACATTGATGAAACCTTTGTAATTTACGCGATTTAGCCTAGTGGAATGTCCGACATAGCTCGGCTTTTTCTCCGATCAGGTATTTAAGTACCCGACTCATTCAAAATCTAAGTTTATGGTAGAATATTTGCAATGCTGCCACGCATGACCACCAGAGTGCTGGATAGGGGAATATGTAGACGCAAGACACCTGCCGCTGCTTGATATTCCACGCATATCCCTCAAGATTCCATTTAAATATGCCAAAAATTTGTAGGTTCTTAGAGGGGAATTATAATTAAGTGGCCTGTGGATGTGTGTACCAAAAGTCGAGCTGCCTCCTGCATAGAAGGTGGGATTTACGCCCTAGTGCAACATGTGCACAACGCACTCATGATCTGGTAGTCAAAAGTGCTCCATTCATGCGGAGCTCAGCAATGATAATGAAATAACCATAATGGTAGCTCAAATTACCAGGAGGGCGCCAGAGAGGAGAAATTTTCTGCCGCTCCGGGTCAGATGTTTGCCACACTACAAATTGGAGGCCACACCATCTTGAGCAGCAAGCAATCGAGCATACTGCTCAGTAATGTCACACCTGGCTCTTTTTAAGAATACAAAGTTGTTTTTGCGTGTAAGCTGCAACTTTTTCCAGCAACGCCTGCTGGTCTAGCTGGTACGGTTGCCTATTGTGTCCCACACTGGGCTTGCACGGAAGCGACGCTCAAGGACTGGTGAAAGTTGGTGCAATTCGGCCGAACCGCGGCTGTTTGGATTCGAACGCCCTCCTATTTCACACTCTCTTCGACAACTTGCCATCAAGAGAGCAGTGGTGTGTGTTTGTATTTTCGTACCAATAGTGAATTCACCGGTGAGAGGAATCCAGAACCCATGTAAAAAAGTATTGAAGGGACCAAAACATCGATTTGAAAGTCGAGTTTCCTCACGATACGGTGCGGCAATGTTTGAATCCAAGGGAGCAAACATGTGTACTCAAGATCCACATACAACAGGAAGCAATCCTCCTTCCCCTTGTGCACTTCAAGACGGACACTTGGGTGCCCATGGGGCACCGCTATTGCCGACACGTGACCCTTCGGCTAGTCAACTGCGTTCAAAGAATGAAGTTCCACCCAGAGAGCATTCTGGGAAGACCGGCAGTCAGGACCTTCAGCCCCCACCATTCGGTAACCCTTGCTCTTTGACCATACCGAATGACATTACCGCCGGTAGTGCCCAAGCATATAACAATAGCGCTGTTCAACCTGTGGTGCTTCGTTGCAAAGACCTCACGTGTAAGCTCTCCTGGGCCATGTAGCCGTATAAATGACCATACCAGATATTCTACGCACAGACTAATTACAGTTTTAAAAGGCACCTTTATTTGGGCACATGAAAGGCAAATCAAGTGGTTGGCTAACCGAAATAATCATGGTGGGCTTGGCGATTGCAGATTCAGTCGCCCTGCCGCAGGAGAGCCGGTGTACCACGAGAATGTGCAGGAAGTGGTGCGCTTCTCGGAAAGTTGCTGGAAACCGGTCGAATGTAGATAGTGGCCTAACTCAGATGCCACGAAAGAATATTTTGAATCTTGAAGGACTAGAAGTATTCAACCCAGGAGATTGCGGTAAGCACAATGTTTACTCTGATTCCTACTATAAATGTGTGTAAGTAGAGTTTCCTAGACTGGCAAATACGCTGGCATATCTGTACAAACGTGTTGGCGATATTTTTGTAGTTGCCCTGATGGGTAGTAGCGGAGCGGGAAAGTCAACATTGCTTAACTGCCTGAGTGGCAGAATCACGACTGGCGTGGACGGTGAAGTGGAACTAGGTGGTGTACACTGCACTCCTCAACTGTGCAAAAGTGTCAGCTGCTTTATCCAACAAGAAGATCTCATTTACGGATATTTGACGGTGGAAGAGCATTTGTACTTTCAGGTACATGCTCAGGATAATCAACAGTGCAGTCTGGTATCCCATAATTTGTTTCGAATTGTCAGAGCGTACTGCTTTGCAAATGTTCAGTGTAGACATCGTGGGACCAGGAGGTTGGAGTGAATTAAAAAGCAAAGGAGAACTGCGAGATGTCAGCTGACCAGCCAGCACCTGTCCTGCACGACTATTCACTTTGCCTTAGCGCTTCACTCCCGCTTCTTTTGTTTGAAACGTTATTTCTATGCAGGCCCGACTGCGGCTACCTCGAGGAACTACAAAGGATGAGGCGAGACGCTCTACAACCAGCTTGTTGGAATCGTTTGGCTTGGCGCATATATCAAAGTCCTTTATAGGAGGGCCACAGGGAGCTTCGCGAGGGTATGTGGATGACACTCAGGTATTACGCCTGCATAAAGTGGCGTAAAATTGTATCAGGTCTCCGTTTTAGTAGCTTAGTGCTGAGGAAATGACACAAGCAGAGGTGCCTGTGTCTGCCTGTTATGTAATTGCAGCTCTATATCAGGCGGTGAGAAAAAGCGCCTTTGCGTAGCAAGTGAGCTTCTGAGTAAGCCTTCAGTAATTTTCGCGGATGAGCCGACAAGCGGGCTGGATTCGTTCATGGCCAAGGCAGTGTGCGACCAGTTGTACGCGCTGGCAGCAGTGGGCTGCACCGTCGTTTGCACGATTCACCAACCGAGCAGCTCCTGCTTTGCACTTTTTAACAAGGTGTGAACGAATAACCCTTTTAGGATCTTTAGAGGCTTTCATTTCAGCAGGCGCATAAGTAAAATGGGTAATATGTGCCCGAATTATTCCAAGAATCAGGTGCCTTCCCGTTAGCTGTGATTGTGCATGTGACTCAGGTACTCCTCCTGGGAGAAGGCCGCGTCATATACTATGGAGATCGCCTAGCTGCTGTGTCATGGCTAGAGCATATGGGCTGCAAACCTTGTAGAGTAGATGAGAACCCTGCTGAATATATTGTTAAGGCTACAGCACTTGAAGGTCTCGATTCAACAGCGAAAACCAAACGTTTGCATGAATGGGCTCAAGCATGGAAAGCGGACGGGGACAAATTCCTGAGAAACTGGGTAATACTGCTTCGCTGCACTAGGTTCACAACACTCATACACTCCAAGGCTAGATGGGTCCTTTTTGATGACAGCTTACTGTCTACGTGGTCATACGCATCTTGTGGGGTCCGAAGCTATGAGAGCCAGCTGATCATCATAGAGTGCTGTCCACAAATACAGAATGCATATGGCACTGAGCACTGTGTAATTTGTATCAGTGCTACTGCTAATTGCAAAAAGTTACTCAATATTTAGTATCATATGTTGACATTTGGGTTTTATGGCCCACTTCATTATGTATGGACAGGAGAATCAAGGAATTTATGACTTTAAGCAGCGCACTACCACGTTTTCTTCCATACCTGGGATGCTGGTGAGATCACTGTCAGAAACTCCAAGAGTCAATAGCTTAGTCCTACAGTTTCATTTGCGCCTCGTACCCCAGCCAACATTGTCGTTCCTTGGGTAATACTTCAAGCATACGTCTACAGATTTGAAATAATGAATGAAACGTGGTATTCTGCTATCTGCGGGAGAGCTGCTGGGGCTGCATCGAGGCTTTCTTAGTTTTTATTATTTTGTCATGTGAAGGCTAAGCCAGGATGTGATCTGTTGCCTGCAGCATGGAGCCTTCCAGACAGTAGAGGTTGAGGGGTTTGACAGATCAAAACAGTCAGTTGAAAAAGCTCTACTAGCGAAACCCTTTTTTTGCGGTGTGGCTGCGAGTTGAAATAGATATGCACGAGTGTCTCTATTGCCCTAGGGCACAAACGGTAGTGGTGTAAAAGAAAGCAGGATGTACAGATAATTAGGCTTGTGTGAGTCTGGGAAATCGAATAAAGGCGGAGCAGCGAGAAGAATAATGTCAACATCGGGATATCTAGAGGGAATCTTCAAGGCGTATTCCTTTACGTTTGAGCTTACTTTATATATGCAGAAGATCTGGCAGCTTAGAACAAGAATGCCTGCGTCCTCCGGAGGTTTCTGAAAAAGGTGGTGTCGCTGATCGCATGGACGCAATCAGCAATGCTTCCATTGATCCTCACGATGTGCTTCACGCAATATCATCTATCGAAACAGCACGGGACCTTAAAAGGGGACGGCGGATATCACCGTTTACCGAGGCCCTCATTCTGACAAGGCGGGCGCTGCTCCTGCGATGGAGAGACCCGGGTACCTCGTATGTTCGTTTGGCTTCAACATTGGTAACAGCCTTGCTACCCTCTTTCATCTATTTTCAGTAAGTGTGGCCCCAATGATTGATCGATGCTATAGTAATGGTTGGAGCTCCGTCTGTTGATTCTGGGATTGAAGGCAGCATGGACTCTCTAGCCGTCGGCAGCTGGTGCGCTTTTCAAATTGTGGCCTGCATGCACTCAGAATGGGATGGAGCCTTAGCGATGCGTGGAACCGTGTTTCTGCATGCTACCAAATAATCCTCACCCAGGTACCAGCCTTTCATCAATACGATATGCTGTGCTAGACTCCTCCAAAGGTAATAGCTATGCGATACTAGAGAAGTGTTTTAAAGGGTAGTATTAAAGATAGAAGAAAGAACCTCACTGGTCGCGTCATGGCGCTTATACTTTTCGTGCGCAGTCTCTCGCCTGCCTCCTGGCCGTTGCTAGTCTCTTCCCGCAAGCCCGGCCTGTCGCGCAGCGGGAGTTCGAGTCAGGTCAAGCTTGAGCCTTTGTTTTATTGCATTTCGATCCGATTTGCCACTTAGCTGCATACTGACCACTCCACCACCTGAAATGTCATATCGGCACTAGCCTAGCGGTCTAACTGTCTAACGTTGAAGTTTGCAAAGGGCTGCGTTCACCGCATCTCTGTGTCGATTCCAATGGCTTAGGTCGACATGGTTTTTGTGCATGCAGGTGCTATTCGCATGTGGGTACTTTTCATTGGAATATCGACTAGTGATACTTTATTATTTCTCGTGTTTCCCATCATTTTCCACACGTAAGATTCGCCTCCCCTGTAATACCACTGAATTTATCATTTGCAATGATTGCTGGGCAAAGGACAATTATCTTGTTTTGGTGTTATTAAAATTGCACTTAATGGACGTACATGACATTTCCTACCACAGGATCGCTTTTTGGATCATGGGATTGGCCTCCACAGCCGCAAAGTTCTTTTCGTCACTGTGCGTCCTACTACTTGCTGTCCTCTCCCTTCAGTCGTTTGGATACTTCATCTCTGCTCTAGTGCACGATGTAAGGCCATTACTTAATTCTTTCATGGCAATAGCCAGAGGCCATGCGAGTTTGTGCAAGAATATATGATTTCGGATTGTGAGAATCTAGTAAAGTTTCAATCTTGAGGGCTCAAGTGGCAAGCAAGCTATGCATTGCCCTTTAGCTGCCTTACAAATAATTGCCCTTCATTTCCCAAAGGCGTGTTTTGTGTCCGACAAGAGGCCTTTTCTTGGGAGGAGTGTCCTGACCCTGGAAATCCGCAGCTGCACGATGCGATGTAACCTCTCAGGAAGTTGTTGCTCTTGCCTTGACACAAATTACCCAAGTAGTTCTCGCTCTATTGTCCGGGTTTATGACCCAGATTGATCAATTGAGCGGTTTTTGGAGGGTTATTGCAGTAAGACATGCTGTAAAATAAATTTGCCGCGCCTCAAAAGTTTCTAGTCGAATTCAAAAGTGAGTCCTACTGCATATTAATATCCTGAGTGCGCGTATTGGTGGCTTTTCCCAGGCTTTGTCTCCTTTTAGATATGCTCTAGCGGACTTCAGCTTGACAATTATCGAGAATGAGCACTTCGTTGGTGAAGAAGGACAACGAGTGCTTGGCGATGACGTACGTTTTAACGGAGTGTGAAATAGCCATGGCAGTTTGGATCAAAGGATAATCATCTATACGAATATGATTTTTTGATCAGTGCATTACGCTGTTCGTTTTACAGTTCCTCGAGAAGACATTTGGGATCAAACGAGATACGTTCTACAGTAACCTGTGGGCTCTTGCTGCTCTTATCATTTTGTAGGTCTATCTACATCGTACTTTCCTTTGAGTGTTCCGGTAAAGCTGCACTCGTGTACTCCTTCGTGCATGGGTACCCGATTCCGGGAACTTGTGTATGTTTTCAGGCCACGCCTTCTAGCTTTGTGTATCATGGAGTATCAAGCACGGAGAACAAAAGAGAATGCTTGATCTTACATATGTAGAGACCCAGAGCCTTTATTTGATAAAAGTCGATTGGCTTAACTATACCAAAGTTAATACTGCTCCGCGAGTGCCGAAGTTGGAACGGTCCTCCAGGGACATTTCACGAGAAAAGCGGTATTGAAGCATAACAAATTTACTTTGCTGGAATGTGTACGAATATGTTTCTACGAATGAGCAGTCCTGAAAATTGTAGCAGATCAGCGACATTTGGCCTTCACATATTTAGGAATTTCGAACCACGGTTGGATTTGACTCATCAATGTAAAAGGCCGTTTTCCTGCATATTTATTCGAATTCTTCGAATTTTAATCTCCATATCACTGTATACAAGTTGCCTTAGGCCTCCTGAGGTAGAAGCGAAATTGCTTGCAGCATCATACTTTGAGGGAAGCAAGGCTCCTAAGAATTTTCGCAGGAAATACCTAGAAGATTTCTATGCAATGAGACAAGGAGGGCCCTCATAGTATGTCCTTATTGGAGCACCATTTCAAGCATCCTAGAGAAACTGTCTTTTGCCGCACTCACAAATGCATTGCTGCCTTCTAACTTTGTTTAAATGCGCGTTTACATCATTTTGGCACGTACACAATTAAACCCACAAATGGAGTGTTTTCTACCCAATGTAGTAGTCGTGTACTACACTGCAATCCTGTTGGGTCCATTTCTTCAACAGGGTTTTTGATTTGAACTCAAGAGTGTGAGTAACAAAGCTGGGCGCTACTTCGAGGGCCAAATCTCATTGAGAATAAATGGCGTGCGAAAAAGTGAATGGACCGGAACCACAATCTTTCAGCTCTGGAACAGCATGTTGTTGTAGGTCTCTTCCCTACAGACTCTTTTTTCCATTTATTGACACACGTTTTATGCTCTCAATAGAACCTGCCAACAACATGAGAGAATTATTTAAACCTTTGTTCTTCTGACCACCCATAAAAGCAGGTCAGGGGCGCCATATTTCGGCTTTATCTGCCAACAAATATTCTTACAGAGATATTTGGAGCCGGCCTAAACCAATGCCTATAGCACCCCTGTCTACCATTATTTTACTTTTAAAGCAGGGGCTGATATAAGTGTGCTTAACGAGGGTAAAGGTATGTATAAAGCAACACTTTTCAGCACAGATTTCTGGAGTCCGAATGTAGTCAATTACAACACAAATTGGGGAAACTGCTTATGAAATACCCCAGTTTGGTGCCAACGAGCTTAATAGACTTAGAAAAAAACATACGTTTACAAAACAATATAGTTTTACATTCGAGTAGTCACTAGCTAGCAGTTGCTGAACAGACGTAAAACTAGCACCAAACGTCAAAAGCCTAGCTTTGCGGTTTCAAGGAAACTCTACCAAAATCAGATTTTGCACCTGATAACACCCCGAATCTGGCGTTTTTACAAAGATTGCGGACTCCATAGGCAGGTCAAGTAGTCGCAACAGGCTCATCCAGTTTATCTCGCTCTCCAGGTAGGCTTGTGGCGCAAAACAGCCCAAGCATGCACATTCTAGAACACATCGTGACATGAATTACTTACTAAGGCAGTTTGTAGCCATACAAAAAACCGGATCGGATGTGACTAGGTCTTGCATAGAACAGCGCAATGTATATGCGTGCTTGAAAAAATTATGTGTGCACGAACAAAAACTGGTTTTCCTTGGCGGGTCCACTCCAATGTTGCCCATACAAGATCACACATCTGATAAGATCCCTCCCCGTGCGACTGGACGGCACTTTGGCAGAAAAGTCATGACAGCGGAGATTGAGATAGCAGCTTATCAGTTCAACAGTGCGCAAGTTGATCGTACGCTTTGAATACGGTACGTAACAATTTATCACAGCTGTGTCGAGACTTGTGCAAGCGAATCTAATAAATTATGCAATTGAGGACGAGGACATTCGAGGCCAGTTAAGGCTCTAGTACCAGCATTATTTACATTCTAGTATTGGCTGCAAGAATCAAGCGTAGAAGCGAGAAATTCTTGCTCGACAACTTTCCCTTAACTCGGACTTCGAACTCTTCACATACTTTAGCTTTTCACAATGTGACACGATGCAGCTGCATCGTAACAATAGAGCGTTAGCCCTTGTAAAAATAAGCATGTCCTATGTCAGCAACTTATTAGTATTATCCATAGAAGAAAGATTATTTTGTTTATTGCAAACTACGAAGGATGATGTGTTACTTCCAGGGTTGCCAAGGAACTGAATTGCCTGGTTCGTTCGCGACGTCTGCGGCGTTGATAAGCAATAGATGATCAAGAATTCCCAACGAATTTTCACTTTCGGCTGGCTTAGTAGCTTATATTCAGTTTGGTTGCCTGGTCAGAGTTGACCTTCATGAGCTTCCTCATGGTAGCAAACGCTTCAAATGCATCAGGCTCGAATGTTCATAGAGCTAGGATGACGCCATTTTGTATAACTGAAAGGTTTTGATGCCACAATTTTCTCTTAAAGCACCCCTCACAGTGTCTTGTGATTGTGCCCGGCATGTGTATATATATGTCTTGTTAATAATGCTTGCGTATTGACTGCAAAGTGTATTTTCAAAATAGAGCTATTTACCAAGCGTGCTAATGCTAGCTTACGTGGGCAACGGAATGTCCTCCCTTTTCAAAGTGCATTGGCTAGTTTGTATCTGCTTCCTTTAGCAGTACATCTAAAACAAGGAGCTCTAGGGAGGGGAAGTATGTTCGTGATGCGCACAGGGTAAAGTACTTGGGTAAATGTGTACTGCAACTTCTGCACTCTGTAGACCATAAAAGGGGTGACTTTAGTGACTGTGGAAAGGAAAGAGGAACAGCCTTTTATAGCAATATTGCAGATGAGAGAGTCTTCCCGCATCGGAGCAAATTGTTGTTCTCATTTTTATAATGCTTGTCAGAAGAGGAGATCCTTCAGGGAGTCTAGCTACTGTTGCACTGAACAAGACGCTACGGATTCCTTTCCATAATGGGTTACTTCTGGAATTTCTCGCACAATGGCATCGAAAAGCGAAAATTCGAATAAGCCTAAGCTGCTTTCCAGTCCACGATATTTATCGGTGTCGCACTGACTAACTAAGAAGTAGCTTCCCACGGATGTGACTACGTATCTTGAAGCCACCACTCGATTCTGAATACTTCATATATCGGATTTCAGCAAGCTTCCGCCATTTCCGGCTGCGCTATTTCAATCTCGCTTTTATATATGAATGTCCACCGAAGCCTGTGAACCCATCTAGGTCTTGAAACCCCTTCCATTGCGACTTGGGAGTTGTCTACAGATCTACTTATCTGCCTCACCGCATAGTCTTGTTCTATGCCTTCAATGCCTCCAAAGCTTGTGTAGGCATGCAAGTTATACGCTAGTTTGTAGAACGCGGGGAGCTTTTATGCCGATGTTCAAGCCAGCAGATAGCTGCCAAGATTACCCATAGGGTTAAATATTCGATCTTCGGCAAAGCCAGCCCACCTGAAGAGAACAAAGACTCCTTTCGAGTGTCTTGATTCTCCTGTCAAATAGTCTTACTAAAATTGTAGACTGTGCTGTTCTTGAGCTTGGCGCATCCCTGATATCTTTTGGTTTTTCTTCTTCAAGAATTTTTGCCGAGTTAGTACATTTATTGTAAGTTTTATTTGAAACTTCAAAGCAAGCGCTTATAGGAAAGTAAGTAGAAACACGGCCGTGCACATTGCCGCAGTGACCCCGGCATGTTGATCACAAAAGATTTGTACGTACATGAGTGCACACACCCATGGGCTCATCAAAAACGGTGACAGAAAGACAAGTATGCAATTTTGCGACCATAGAACTACGCAACTTGGATTTGCTTCGCAAATTACTGGTAGATCTCTGAATTGTTCGCACAAGTCCTGTGGGTCTCGTGACGTAATATCGCATTTTACTATCTTAGCTTATCATTGACTGAAAGGTGTTTTTCAGAATAAAGCTGTTTTACCAGGCATGCCAGTGCCTTGCAGGTAAACGTGGGTGCCTCGTGTGTGAGAGGCTGAGGTCCTTTCAAGAGAGTTCAAAATGTTCAGCATGCAGGTGCGGTCAGTTCTGCCACTCCGCAGTGCTATTACCTTCGCAATGCGGGGAATGAGATAATACCGTCGTTTGTCTCGCAACATGCCGACAAGTATTGACATTAGTACTTTCTCTGGTGTCCATGTTCGGCGAAGGTGACCAGCTTGAACAGCAATGCATAGTGCAATCCCCAAGATCGAAGCAATTAAAAGAATGCACCGAGTTTGTATTTCAATCAGTGGTTCTTGCATTTGCCGACCTGTTATCAACAATTTGAGAATCTGGACTAGCGATCCCGTGCTCCCCCCTGTCTGCGGCTATGTGTAGACGTTCACTTCATGCGGTCTTAAGTGTAACTGAACAAATTGCGCTCTGATTATGGCCCCTTACAAACCCTTTACGTAGACCGCGGGCAATCACTTCATATTTAGAATACATGGAAAGCAAAAATTTTATCGGCCTCTATTTCTGAAGGTGTTATAAATCTGCTTGCTCTGCCCTCCAATGTATCCGCGCGCACGGCTAGTGAAACAGCACATTTTCATCAGGCTAAGATACACCTCAACACTTTCCACCACAATAGTCAACTTTAATTAACAATCAGTAAGGGAACTGCTAATTGGGTCGCCTGTCTGTATATCTTATCATTGCACAGTATCATGACCTTCGCTCAACAAGACGCAGTGTTTTGTATCCGTCTGTGTTGGGTCCTAAACGCAACAACTTCTGTATACTTGGATAATTCAAAGTGTGCAACCCCGCTCAATCTGGGTGCCCAAGTCCCTCATATAGAGAATTCTGAGTGGCGGGGTCG